GGGGGGGGGTGGTGTTTACTCGTTCATACCGACCAATCGTAGGGAAATCTCCCATAGCTTGTGCTCTTTTTCTGGGCTGTACGCGTGCGGGAAATATCCTGGCGCCCATTGTCCCTCACTCTCATCATATGCCCTCGCGATTTGTACGTCCTCGAGATACTTGCCCCCCAGACCGTGAAGCGATTTCGAGGTTGCTCCCCATACCGTCGTGGCTGCGCCCTGCTCGGGACTCTTAAACTGCGGACCTAGGGTAGGGTCGGAGGTAAGTCCGGTCTTCTCTTCCTCTGACATGTGCTGAAGCAATCCGGTCTGGACGCCACCGGGTTGGACGCTAAAGGCGCGGATGTGTTGGGAGGCGTAGCGACGGTCGATTTCGTTGGCGGCCCAGAGCATAGCGCATTTGCTCTGGCCGTAGGCTTTCCATTTCTCGTATTCGCCGTCGAGGTTGATGTTGGAGAAGTTGACTTCTGAGTAGCGGTGGGCGATGGAGGAGAGGAATATCACCCGGGACGGGACCTGGGGCGTGGCGGCGGCGAGGAGGGCAGAACGGAGGAGAAGGAAAAGCAGGAAGTGGCTGAGGTAGTTGGTGCCGAATTGGAGCTCAATGTTGTCCTTGGTGCGTCCTTCGGGCGTGGCCATGATGCCGGCGTTGGCGATGATGATGTTAAGGGTTTGGGTCTTGGATAGGAGTTCAGCGGCACAGGCGCGCACGCTTTCGAGGGATGAGAGGTCCATTTCGAGGAGATGTACGCGCGGTGAGGAGATGAGCTCGCTGCCTAGGGCTTGCTTGGCTTTGTCGAGGTTGCGGGCTGTTAGGTATAGCGTGGCGCCGGTGGTGTAGAGGGCTTTGGCGGTTTCGACTCCAAGGCCGGCTGAGGCACCGGTGATTAGGATTGATCGGTCTGTCAGTTGGCCCTCTAGACCTTCGTCGTGGATGATTTGCATGGCGGTTGGGCGGGCATCGCCTGGACCCTGGGGGTTTCTGTGGACTTGCTCGTAGCGAGTAGTCATGGTGTTGGCCGGGGAGAATTGGAGAATGGCAATGAAGTGGAAGCGTCAGGATATAAAATCTGAAAGATGGATGGGAGGAGGAATGAGAGGGCCTGAGGAGATTTATATGCGCTGAAGACTCCATCATTGTGTCTCAGTGAGAACTGAGACTGACACCCTATTCCATTCTGCACGGAGATAACAAGTATCAGCATGTTTATCCGTTCATCTGAATGTCGCCAAGTATAGTCAACTCTTGCCACAACCTCTCATTGAGCGTATAGATCGTAGGGAACCATGGTTCGCTGGTCGTATCTGCAACTGTCAGCAATTAGTGCCCGATGTGGATCCAGCAATCATCGGACCGAAAGAGAGAAAAACATTATTCGCAATGGCAAACCGAGAGATTCTACCAAATTGTATGCTTCAATCTCAGGGGTTGCCCCATGAAGGGAATAAGGTTGCTTGACGCTAAATGCTGACAGGTCCCTGCACTAGTTCCTCAAAATGAGGGATATAGAAGAAGAAACAATCCTTTGTTATGTCCGATTGAGCCACTGGCGGAGATAAACGATTATCCTTGTTGAGTGAGGGTCATTGCCCCGTAGACATGATTCTTCGATGGCATTCTGCTGACAGGTGCATAAGTAGCGCAGTAGTGCAGTAGCAAGGGTGGCAATTGAACCGATGGCATAGTTTGGAGTAGGTGATGCTACTGGGCCCACAGATAACTATGTTGTAGCTCATGGCTCACACTAAGACAGTACAGCACTTGAATCCTGTGAAGTCAGACTTGTAGCTGTTGAAGGAATGGATAGCTGCAAAATAGGAGTCCGACAATGCGGGAAGAGGAAAAGGAGTGTGGCAGAGCAGACACATGACCCTGGTTCAGGTGACCAGATACAATCCTCGAGTGATTTCATCCCAAAGCAACAATCTAAAGCAAGGGTATTGTTTTCATTATGTGATCACTTGTAACCACACGAATATGTACTAAACTTCCACCCTGATCCTCGCTTCAACCAGATCAGACTGGAACCAGAACCCGATATCTTTCGTGGTATCCACAAGCTCTACCTCTCGTTTGACAAAGCCCGGTTCCTCAAATGTCTTTTCATCCTTCATATCTTCTACCTCGTCCTCACTATCCCAGCCCTCGTCGTCTTCCATCTTCTCTTTGCTGACTGGGTCCAGCTCGTCAGTCTCCCAAATTAGTCTGAAGCTGTAAGGCGGCAGCCCAAATAAACGAGACACAATAGCTTTGACTTGATACGTATCAAACGATCGAGGGACTTCTTTGACTTTGACGGCGCCCTCACCCTGTAGAGTCCCTGTCTGAGAGAGGTGGAAGACCAACTTCACCAGTCGTGCAGCAACAGACCGCGGGTTCACAGCAGCACCTGACCCAGATTCCACTCTCCTGATCACAGGCTGGCCGTACAGATCGCACAGTTCCTCATACCGAGGATGCGCAGCAAGGATACGCGGCTCTGCAGTCTCAGGAAAATCAGATAGCTCCTTTCCGATGAGAGATAGGTAGTACAGCTCGCCATTGTTGCGGTCCTTGGCGGTGATCTTGCCGTAGTTGAGAAGCTGCAGAGAGGCAATGCGCGAGAGCGTCAACATGTATGCTTCGTCCACCGTCATGGGTTTCTCTGGCACCCCTGTGATGTGGGAGGGTCCGATGGACTGGTCATACAGTGGGTTCCCGGATATTCGAAGGGTGTCCAGACCGGGAAATACGGATGGCAGCTGGTTGACAAAATCCCAGGTGGTGATCTTGTTACGGGATATATCGAGGGAGTGGAGGCTGTGTGAGAACTGAAACTCGTCATCTGAATTGTAGATGGTGGAGATGTTGTTTCCGCGAAGGGAAAGATGCTCCAGGTTTGGTAGGGAGGCGAGAGGTTTGATAGAGGATACGGAAGTGAGGTCATTGTTCTCCAGAGTGAGGCGTGTGATGGTACTGGATAGTGGCGTTGCGATCATCGAGATTTGGTTCGCTGAGGCAGAAAGAGAGGCAATGACTGGAAACTGATATGTTAAGGCTGAAATCTCCTCCCAAGTAAGAAGCGTCTCGTCAATATGAAGCGCTGTGACTCCCTCGAACTTCAACCCTTCCTCAAGGGGACCAAGCCGGTTTCCACTGTATCAAATCAGCTCACTCCGCATCATTGATTTCTAGACGATACCCACATCAACTTCAGTCTCTTCAGTAGCTTTGACCGTTCACATATCCGGGCCACAGCACTCCAAGACGCCAACAAATTCTGGCTGAGATCCAGCTCAGTAATTTGTGGACAAGTCTGCTCGATCTCCGCATATGCAGCTTCAAGTTCTTCGGCTGATGCATCATGCCCCAGCACACCGGCTACTCGTTGTCCGTCAAGAAGTACGATCTTCAGTTCCTGGAGCTTAGCAAGCTGCTTCCGGATCTTGTCGAAGCCGACTTCTTCAACAACCTTGCCGCTGATCTCGATCGGCTTAGGCAGAGCATCATCTGTAGCACTCTCGCCCTGCTTCTGTCTAGCTAGTTCTTCTTCCAGGGGCTCGGACGCGTACTTCTCGCGCAGGGCCTCGAGGAACCCTCGAGGTTTATCTGCTGGCCGAGACGGACGCACGAATGACCCTGCCGAAGGATGTTTGCTTTTGCCTGCAATCTATAAGCATTACAAACAGTGACAAAGGTTCTCTCTCTTCTGCGATGTCCAGGAGAGTATGTACCTACATGTGAAATACCTCACCCCGCGATGCTGCCCCGAGTGCTTCCCCCGAGTCGGATCATCCCATTCAACTCCCAACCACTCTCCAGCAGTCCCATCGACTGTCCCCACGTAGCGGATAGTGCACAAGTCCCCAGCATAAGACCGCCGCTGACCTACCTGAGCCTGTTCCATTTCTAAACCGTGGTATCGAGCATCAGACAGCTCCGACCAAGTACCATCCTCCCAGCATGTGACGGATTTCCCAACTCCCCGCTCCACCAATCGCAGCCCGTCCCTCGCTTACATCACTTTTCTGCCTCAGGCATCAACACAACTGCAGCAGCGGAGAACTTCACGGCGATCCAGAACTCGATATCACCTCCACCTCCACCACGAACCCAACACCGGCACCATGGATTACCAGGTTCGCAGACCTCCCATCCCCCCCTCCCACACCACCTAGGCAGCCCCCCACTAACCCCCCCCAGAACCGCGCCGGTTCCAAATTCGGCGGCGGCGGCGTGGCCTCACACTCCGCCACGAACGCCGACCGACGCGAACGTCTCCGCAAACTCGCCCTGGAAACCATCGACCTCGAAAAAGACCCGTACTTCTTCAAAAACCACGTCGGCAGTTTTGAATGTCGACTTTGCCTGACAGTCCACCAAAATGACGGCTCGTATCTGGCCCACACGCAAGGGCGCAAACATCAAACGAACCTCGCGCGGCGCGCGGCCCGCGAACAACGCGAAGGCAAGAACCAAGACCCGTCGTCTCTTCCCGGCGCCATGGGCGTGCAAGTCCGCAAGCAAACAATCAAGATCGGCCGACCGGGGTATAAGATCACCAAGATCCGGGATCCGTTGACGAGGCAGCTGGGCATGTTGTTTCAGTTGCAGTATCAGGAGATCACGCCGGGTGTGACGCCCAAAGTCCGGTTTATGTCGGCGTTTGAGCAGAAGGTGGAGGAGCCGCCGGATAAGAGTTTTCAGTATTTGGTGGTGGCGGCCGAGCCGTATCAGACTTGTGGGTTTAAGTTGCAGGCCAGGGAGATTGATCGCCGGGAGGGCAGGTATTGGACGTGGTTTGATGAGGATAGTAAGGAGTTTTGGGTCCAGATTATGTTTAAGACGGAGAGAGAGGAGCGGTTTTCGGGTGTGCCTGGGTTGGCGCCGATGGAGCCGAAGGCTTGATTGATGGTTGGGGGAGTGAATTGCTTCTATTGTCGCTATTGTTACATTGAAGATGGGCTCTGGGCGTTTCACGGTTTACACGCTGGCAAATAATGTGGCTATTGTTCGTACCTACCATTGCTGTGATTGGGTTGGAGCGGCTTTCATCAAATACCATGCCCTCTTTTGCTTCTAATGATACTGCCATGTCATCAACTTTACTACACGGAATCGGTTAACCGCAATGTAACTGGATTTGGCTAGTACTGCGCTGTCTATAGACTATCCTGCAGTCGCGGCTTCATACATGATTTTCTGATTTCCATCATATGTATCCTTCAGGCTAGATACAGTCGGTAACTAGCAATCGTCGTCTCGCGACACGGATGCAAAACAATAGGTAAGGAAGTGAACAATGCTAGGTCGTGACCAACGGAGGCGAAATGTCAAATGCGCTAGATGCTGATGAAACTGATGCACAAGGTCATCCCGAGACCAGAACCTAAATGCGCCATCGAAAAGCCATCAATGCAAGCCCGCCCGCTCTCGGACTCTTCAATGACGTCCATCGTGGGTTCACCAAACGCTGGGATGTCGACTGTATCCTCAATTTCCCTGGAAAGCGTTGAACGCTTTGTACGTGTACCCGATGAACGGAAGGCTCATCTCTGCCTCCTGCTCGTCCGGCATGGCGCGAGCCTGAGCCCGGTGGATGGCGCTAGTATCCTCCTGAGGAATTTCATCAATCGGGAAGTACGACACGTCAATGTTCGAACTCAGTCTGGGTTCGAAAGGAGCCCGGATGCTGCGCAGTTGCTCCCAGACCACGCCACGGAAGAAGGGGTGGTTCTTGATTTGCGTTGCGCCACCAAATTGGCCACCTTCGCTTCCAACACGGTGTTCCGCATCACACAGGAAACTGTTCCAAATTAGCATTGGGGCATGGGTGCGAGGCGCGCGAACTTACCTCCTGATGAGACCTTCCGAATCGCGCGACAGGGTGAGTTCCTCGGGGAAGTAAAGACACTCTCTCCAGTTCACGATCTTACGGTAGGTGTCGGTGGTGTCTTCTGCGCAGAATGGGGGCCAACCCACGAGGCACTCGAACATGATCGCACCAACGGACCACCAATCGCACAGGTAGGTGTACCCTTGCCCGTTGAAGATCTCGGGGGCAATATAGTCGGGGGTACCAACAGTCGAGTACGCCATGGCACGACGAGACTTTCTCCAGGTGTTGATTTGTCCACGGTTGGACACGGTCAGGTTGATCGCATCGTTGAAGTAACCCGAGTTGCGGTTCTTGTCCTTGGACGTTGAGTTCTTAAGCAGGTTCTGGTAGTAGGAGTTATCGTGGGTCTTCTTTCCTCCCGTGGAAAGACCAAAGTCCGTCAGCTTGACGTGACCGCCGCGATCCAAAAGAATGTTGTCAGGCTTGATATCACTATTGAATAAACTAATCAGCACATGTCGTCTTGGGTGATGCACATTTCGGCATGCAGCAGGCGAGTTTCAGCACTTACCGGTGAAGGAAGCCAAGTTTGTGAACCGCCTCAATCGCCATGACAATCTCTGCCATATAGAAACGTGTGATATCCTCAGAGAAAATCTCGTACTTGATCAACATGGTCATCAAGTCACCACCGGGCAAGAACTCCATCAGCAGATACAAATACGCCGAGTCCTGGAAGGAAGCGTGCAGCTTCACCAACCACGGGTTATCCTTGGAGTCAGCCAGGATATCACGCTCCGCACGAACGTGAGCCAGCTGGTCCTTCTTGAACATCTCGGTCTTGATCAACGACTTCAGTGCATAGATCTTGCCGTCGGTCTTCCTTTGCACCAACTTCACCTCACCAAATGCACCCTTTCCGATGATCTTGATGGTCTGGAAGTTCTGCGGGGTCTCCTTGGTACGCAGGAACCGGAGGAAATTCGACTCTTTCTTCGCAAGCACCTCGGCCTCCTTGCACTTGGTCTCCTTGGGAATACTCGGCTCGCGGATCATCTTGTCCAACTCAGCAGACCTAAGAACAACATTCGAGTCAGCGACACTAGGCCACACAGATGGACCAGGGGTAGGGGCGTGGCTACTCACCGCATGTTGCGATCGCGCGCGCGCTCGATGTTCTCATTGAAGAACACGCTAACCAACTCTTTGGCAGCCTTACCACGCTTGTGGACATTTTCGGAGTATCGCTCGGGATACCGCTGGAGCTCCTCGTTCTCGGCAGGCGTGCGAGGGCTCCGAGGCATAGGGGGCGCCAGGTGACCCGGCTGCTGCTGCCCGGGGGCGGGGGAACCGGCCGTTCGGGGTCGCTGGGCGGGAGAGGCCGAGCGAGCGAAGAAACCCGAGCGAGGAGAGTTCAGATCCTGGTTGGAGAACTGCTGGATCAAGCCGTTGGTCCCATCGTTGGCACTGTACCCCATGCGGGATTGGTAGGCGGGCTGAGGGGACTGCAGGTTCTGGCCGTAATGCGGCTGGCCGTACGGCGCCTGGGCTTGGTAAGGATTGGCCATGAAATAACCGCCTTGAGCATAAGCACCGTTCTGGGCGTCCATATAATCCTGGGGACCCTGGTTCTGGTAGATCGGCTGGGGGAAGGCGGAGGGGGTAGTGGGATAGGCGCGGTTGTTGGCCGCGGCGGCATTGAAACCACGATCATTGTACCCGAAATTCAGGTGGAGACGGTTGTTGTTGTTGGGGTCCATGGTGGAAAACTTCCTCCCCGACTACCAAACGAAAGATAGAGAATGCGGGGGGAGTGGGAGGACTGGACGGAGGAAGGGGAGGCGATAAGGGAAAGAATTGGATGGGAAAGGTTTCCAGGGGGAGGGGAGAAGAGTCCGAAGGAGCGGTGGCCTCAGGAGGCGAAGGGGCTCGACAGGCACTTTCAGGAGCGCTTCTCCGTGTCCCTTAGTTGGTTAGAGAGGGGGAAATGCTGTGGAGAGGCCCAGGCACGGTGGCGGTTGTTTTACAGGCCACGGCACCAGAAGCGGTTCTCACAAAGGACAAAACCCAGTGAGACAGTCAGTAAGGCAATCCGACAAGAACTTGATGCCAATACCACAAATACTGCAACACCTCCCAAAGGGACTATCCCGATCAGCACGGGGGAGGGGGAACCAAAGGGCCCGATCGAGGGTTGGCCCCGCGGCCTGAGGCACGCCGATGTTCCAGACTCGTACGGCACCCGGTTGGTGCCACGAATGCCACCTCCCACCATCCCAGCTGCAGGCTGGCACTCTGCTTCACGGCGATGAATCACTGGTGGTATACAACCTTGCACACGTGCTCAGTTTGACAGTCTGATGCCCCGATTCACCTTGGTACTACAAGAAATGGCAAGGCAGACTGCACTAGACACAAGGAACCTCTCTCACTGGCTAATCCAGGTCGACGGGCGCAGAAGATAACCCCAAGAATTACTGAAAATAATCTACATCCATTCCAATCAACAATTCTCCGCGAACACTGCAAGCGTGAGTTCATGGGGTGCATCTGCGTGCCATCCAAGCCGGGGCTATACTCAGGATCCTGGCCCGGATAAACCTCGTCCCGACGGAGCTGTGCAGTGCATCCCGAACTTTTTCGGTTGCCATACATTTCGCTTCACTATCATGCCATGAGGGAAGGGCTCTTGTTCCCAGTCATCTGTTTTGCGTGCTACTAAGTTGCATTCTATCTATATACCCTAATTCGCTCTGCATCTTTCATCTCCCACCCTCTACCATGGCGGAGTCCTCCAATTCCGCTGCGGCCTCAGGCCCGGCCCAGTCCGCGGCGAACGCTCCCAAGGCTCCCAACCCGGCCTTCAGAATGCTCGGTATAGCCTCTCGTCTACCCTGCCAGTATATACAAACCTAATATAAGCAAAGGCATGCCCAATCTCCGCATGAAACTCCCTTCCCGGAACTGGATGATCTTCTTCACCGTCACCGGCTCCTTCGCCGCGGCTGTAATCTACGACCGTAAAGAGAAACGTCGCGCGCAACGCAAATGGGGTGACCTTGTCGCCCACCTCTCCAAAGAGACTCTCCCCATCGAGCAAACCAGACGCAAAATCACTGTCTTCCTGTCCGCACCCCCAGGCGACGGTCTCCGCGTAGCCCGCGACCACTTCAAGGAATACGTCAAGCCGATCCTCGTCGCAGCGGCACTCGACTACCAAGTCATTGAAGGCAGAAGAGAAGGCGATATCCGTGCTGGCTTCGCGGAGCGCATTCGCAAGTTCAGACGAAAGGCAGGCGAACCCAGCACCGTGGTGGAAGAAACCAATGTCGAGACCATTGTCATGAACGCCAGGACGCAGATGGGCGTGACGGAGGAGCCCGGTCCCAAGGGTGACCTCATCATCGGTCGTCACACATGGAAGGAATACATCCGTGGTCTGCACGAAGGTTGGCTGGGACCTTTGGATCCTCCTCCCCCTCCCCCTACAGAGGAGCCCGCTTTCACCCCCGACGCTGCGGAAACAAGCCCTGCCCCCGAAGGCACACCCGCCACGGAGACCCCGTCAGAGAACAAGCCAGAAGGCGACGCCAACGCCCCCGAGAAGGAAAATAAGGACGAAAAGCCCGCCAAACCCGTCGGCCCAACACCAACCTACCTGTCTCCCACCGACTACTCCTCACAACCCCTCCCCCCGACTCTTCCTCCATCCCTCGAAGGCTCCGTCCCCATCGCCTTCCCCCACCTCCTGGGCTTCCTAAACACCCCCATCAGACTCTACCGATACCTCAACCAGCGCCATCTCGCTGAGAGCGTCGGCCGTGACGTCGCGGCCATGGTCCTCGCCTCCTACAGCCGCCCTTACACCACCGGCTCCTCCAGCGCCGACTCCGCCTCCGACTCCCCCATCGCCACCGCCGACGACACCCTCGGCATCACCTACGAACAACAAACCATCCTCGAACACGAAGAAAAAGAATGGCACAAGTCCGTCCACCGCAAGGACGAAGCCAACCCGGACAAGGAACGCGAATGGCTGAACGACATCGTCCTCGACCCCCGCATCGCCTCCCGCATGCACCGCTACACAATCTCCCCGGAGGAAGAAGCCCGGGCTCAACGTATCTTCGACGGCCAGGAATACATCCTCGGCGAGGAGCGTCCTGCCCCTGTCCCCTTCTGGAAGCACATGTGGGTTAAATACGGGTACGGCGAAGACGAGGAAACTCTGAAGAGGAAGCCTATCCTCGGTAACCTCGACGAGGAGTAAGTATTCGTTTGAATATGAAGTGGGGACAAGTCATCATAAATAGAAATTAGATTTCTCTATCTGTGTCGGGTTATGGGTATATAGACCACATCTATGTCTGCCTATTTCTTCCTTTCTTTCTTTCCGTCTGTCTGGGTGATACGAATCATTGCATGGGAAACGTGTCTATTCGGTTCGGTTCAGTTGTATTGTTCTATATGTACTATCATCTCCTTTTCACTGTATATTAGTCCAATTCAAGATACTCTTGAACATCGAACTGCTTTTGCATACCTAGACATATTGGTCCATTTGAGTGACTGCAGTAGTCCACCACAATACTAGTGTATGATATTTTAAACCGCTCTACTAGGAACCACCTATAACTCGATATAGTACTAGTGTTCGTATTGACACAAGGAGTAAGTATGCCTTGATGAATTTTTTTTAGCTCAGAGGTCTAGTGCGCTCATACTAATAGTTGAGAGCAATTTTTGCCGTGTATGACTTTGGTTCTCTCCCCCGTCACACCCTACCTGGGTTAGAGTACCTGCCAAATATGTACTGTACGTCCAGGTATCCAGCACAACAACGGGTTGTGGTTGTTTGGTTCTAAGGATAAGGAAGAAGCTAACTAGAGACAAAGAATGGTGTCTTTTGCGCCAATCATGTTACAGGTCAAATAAAGCAGGTTAAGTCCCGGTTGTTGGTGTGTCTCTTAGTCGACACGGAACAGGGTGGCCTCAGGCCACTTGCTGCTGGCCTTCTGGGCATAAGCAGCCTTTGCGGCTTGGTTGCTTCCCCACTCGTTCAGCAGCTCCAGACCTGCAAGGGCTGTCTCGATGGTGATGTCCTTGGAATCGAGGGTGGAGGTGAGATCCTGTTCGCACTGAGGCTTGGAGTCGGGCTTCAAGAGCTGACGGCAGGTGAGGCCGGCTTGTTGGTGAGAGACGCTCTCCTTGTGGGTGGAGAGGAAGGAGTCGTTCCACTCCTCGAGGTTTTGGCCCTTGGGGAGCAGGGTCTCGAATTCGGCGTTGACAACCTCGGCCACTTGAGGTGCGAGCGGCTCGGAAAGGCTATCCAAAGCCTTGCGGAATCGGAGGGTTTGGACGTGAAGAGTCGGGTGGGATGCGTCGATGGCGTGGATTGCGCTGAGGCACTTGAGGGCAAGTGCATGCTTACCTGGATTTTTGGTTAGTTGATCCGATATTTTGCGCCTAGGGGGAACATGCCTCTTCTAAGGTAAACCTCGAACCCAAGACTCTGCGCCTCAATGCTCTTAGGGCTAAGCTCCAGCAGGGGAGTCAAGAACTTGGTCGCATCCTTGAGCGGGTCTTGCGTCTGAACAAGCTTGTTGCCCAGCGGGTCAGGGTCTTCCTTCTTCACTTCGCCGTCAACATTCTTTGTGCTTGCTGCCTTTCTGGCCTCACGCTTCTCCGCCTCGAGCTTCTCCAGACGTTGTTGCTCCTTCTTGGCCTTCTTGACAGCCTTCTTGCGTTCGTTGTCGTCATCGGCAGAGCCGTTGGGCAGCGGTCCATGGGCCAGGTCTGGCTGGTCGTGGAGAAGGATGTATGACTTGATGGCGGAAACAGCCATCCGGGTGTAGAACGGGTGCTCACGCAAGCGGTCTTCCCAGCGAACCATGTCCACATACGCACGGATCATACCCTTGCGAAGGGAGAAGCTGTGGAAATCGAATTGATCCTCTTGCCAGGTGTCGAAGATGTTGTACACGGCATGGAATCGCTTCAGCGCGAGGCCAAGCTTCTTCTGGCGCAGGTAGGCCTCACCATCCTCAGTCAGGTACCAAACACATTGCATCTCGTGGAGATCGCCCAAGGCTCCGCCAACAGTTTCATTGCGAGTGAACTTGCTCATGTTGTCAAGGCCCTTATCGTTTTCGTTGTTACGAAGTTGATACTTGGCAGCCTTCGAGTTGATGTGACGATCCTTTTCATCCAGCTGCCTGGCCTTCTCCATCTCCTCTGCCGCCTTCTCCAGGTTTCCGTAGTGCTTCCATATCCTCGCCTTGGTCAACTGATACTCAACGGCTTTGGGCGACAGCTCGATGGCCTTGTCGACATTCGCCATGGCCTTAGACAAGTCGCGGCTCAGGGAGTAGTTGTAGTGTTGGGCGAGGAAGTAGTAGGAGGAAGAAAGGAAATCAGTCTTGTCGGCATCCGACTGACCTTCCGCGGACGTCGTCGCGACGTACCCTTCAACCAGCTCCTGCACCGTGTCGCGCTTGGCCGGGTTGCTGTAGAGAGACTTGATGTTGGCAAAGAGGGAGGGAACGCCCTTCTTGAGCATGCGCTGCAAGTAGACATCGGCAGCCTGCTTGAAGTCATCACCTTCCAGGAAATCCAAGGGGATTCTGCGAGGTGCATCACCACGGGGGTTCTTCTCCACCCACGAATCGTAGACGGCCTTCTGGGTTTTGTGGTCATCACTAGCAATGCCCTTGGCCCGGATCAAGGCGTCGTAGTAGAGCGAGTTCTCTGGGTTCCGGTCGAGGAGGGCGGTGTAGGCTGCCTCTGCTTCGGCCTTCCGGTCCAGTCGCAAAAGGTAGTCTGCCTTCAGCTCCATCACAGCAAGAACGTCCGAAATTCTGTGTCCAAACTTCTCAAGATGCTCCAGCGCCTGCTCCACCTTACCGGCCTCGGCCATAATCGTGTTCTTGTACAAGACGGCTTCCGAGTGCTCCATATCTGAGGTTGGCGGGGGAATCTTCAGCGTCTCCTCGTACGTTGTCAACACTTTCTCGGCCTCCTCGAGATCCCCAGATAGGTGGTGTGCAATCGCGAGAGCGGTCCAGTTCTGCCGGAATCCGGGGCGAGCCTGGAGCATAGTTTTCCTGCTCTGTATGTAGCCTTGGTAATCGCGCATTTGCATCTGCAGCAGCGCAAGGTCCCGCTGGATGGGCTGAGACTCGGGCTCAATCCGCAGAGCAAACCGGTATGCCTTGATGGCCTCCTCGTAGTTCTTTTCTGCCCGGTACAGCAATCCATACACGTGCCAGCAGATGTGCGACTTCATATCGTTCTTCAGTGCTTCCTTGGCCAGCACAAAGGCCTCCTCTTGCTGTCCCATGTTGCTCATGATAAGAGCCTTCATTGCCAGGGTGTCGCCATGGTTCGGGTTCTTCTTGAGAATCTGTTCAGCGGTCTTGATACCTGTCCGGAGTATAGCAGAGTTAGCTTTCCAGCCCACTTGCGGAGACCTCCAGCGTGTCCAAATGGAATCGCAACCCACCCTTCTTATGTTGCTTGTTCTCGTAGTGGCGAACCACTTGGCGAAACAAGGACGCATCCTTGGAGTTCAATGGTTGCGGCATGGTGATTGTGGTGGCCGGTGGTGGTCAGTGAAGGACTTGCCAAGTGACTGTGCGAAGACGGAAGCTTGAAGTGCGCGGGGAAGGAATGACGATGGCCGACGATTAGTCGATCAGGCAGCGATAAGCTATGGCCAACACTCCGACAAGATGCACGTCTCAGGGGGTATAACAATGTAACCCCTGCCCGATCCTCGAATTCACCAGTTCGGGCGGCTCGAATGGTATTCCTGATGCGGTCACTCTCGAAGGTTCTTGCCGACCGCCGTCCTCGAGGGCAGCCCGGCACCAGTCGAAATTATTATCCGAGCGGCCTGGCTGCATCTGCAACGCCCACCTCTGCCATGGTCGCCGAATTACTCTCCGATGCCCTTATAGATGGTTGATATGGAAGCTGATACTCTCGTTACACTGGAGGTTTTTACGCATGAGCTGGGTACTAGCCAGGGTTCCAGTCCGGACCCCAGTTCCAACAACGAACGCCTTTAACATGCAATATCTTACAATATCATGTACATATGGAATCAGCCCATAAGAACCAAAGTCAGTCATCTGCCAGTAGGAAGCCGAAAGTAGCTACTCCCGGGATACCTAGAGGGCTGTTGACGACAACCCATGCCGTGCTGACCAGATCATTCTGTTGACGGTGGCGCTGGCTTCTGCTGTTTATTCTCACGCCATTTATTGAGAGCTTCTTGCCAGGTTTCCGACGAGTCACTACATCTGTCGGATACCAAACCCCATGTGCGCGCGCGTATGATTTCTTCGACGCCCCGTTGAGTCCGAACGAGGTTTGCCAATGACTCCGTTCGTGCCTCCCGAGGCAAGAAACGGGCCGTGTATGGGTCTAGCCGGTCGTCGACAACGCGCTCACGGTCTAGAGCAGATTCCGTCTGTCGGAGAATGAGATCCGGGTCTTCCGGATCAGGGCTCGTAGCCACCCCGGCGCAGTAGTTCAGCACGTCCGAGCGAACCTGCCATGACGGAAACAAAACATTATTCTTGAAGCCCTGGCAAGCAGCGGCGTCGATCTGTTTCCCTTCTCCAGCGTCTACTTGGCGAATGGCTGTTGATGAGGGGTCAAAACCTTGTCGGGCTGGGTCGTACAATGCATTGAGGTTTTGCGTGATCGAATCATCGATGGTTGACCTGGAAATCCGTAGAAAATCTATACGGCAGCTCAGATACTGATTAGCCTTGTGATATTGCCATCCGACGGTGGCCATGGCTGGACATACCTCTGAGCAACCTCTCGTTGAAACAGAATTGTGGAGCTAACTGAGGAGCCGACGTCAACGTCGACGATTCTCGAGACATTTTCTGATCCTCGACCTTTCCAGAATCACGGGTTGACCTGGAGGTTTCCTTCCAAAACCACTCCACTTTGGAGGCTGTATGCTATAATCACGCCACTAGCGAGCTGTATGGTAAGGTAGATTGAGCGGCGGGAATATAGAGCGTTGTCCCGACCGACGTAGCTTAGAAAACCGAGAATAACGATACGTCTTAAAGTACCAATGGGCTAGGCTAACAAGAAAGTAGCATGCGGTGTCATAGGCAAGCCTCCCCTCAGTGCCTACTAGGAAGTGGAAGTTCCTACGAGGCTCGGCCCGCGTGCCGTATTTCGTTCTGGGGATCCTGTAGATTGCCTGAACCGGTTAGCATCCTGGAATCACGGGACTACGTGATTGTCGACGCGTGCCTCGACATTCAGCACCACCTTCTCCTAGAGCAAGGCGATTCTTAACTCGAGTCCGCTTGCACCATTGAATTGATTGGAAAGAGCACATTTGTGTATACGGGTTGTTTCCACATTATACTAACCATCCAGACATAAGCTTCAATCTTGGACGCCATGCCCGAGCTAGCGGAAGTGTCGCGCATAGTTCATTTCCTTCGCCAACATCTCGTTGGCAAGACCCTCTCCAAGGTGTCTGTGCAGAATGATGATATCATCTATGGCAAAGCCGGGACCACCGCCGCTGAGTTTCAAAAGGCAATGGAAGGGAAGAAAGTGGTCGGTGCCGGACAACAGGGCAAGTACTTTTGGCTTGCCATGTCATCACCGCCTCATGCTGTAATGCATTTTGGCATGGCGGGCTGGCTGAAAATTCGAAATGCCGACACATATTACTATCGGACAGACAAGCCGGAAGATAAGGAGTGGCCGCCCAAGTATTGGAAGTTCTTGCTCGAGACCGATGAGGACCCTAAGACAGAGGCTGCTTTTGTTGATTTTCGCCGACTTGGGAGAATTCGACTGGTGGACTGCCCTGCAGAAGAGATCCGCAAATACAGTCCACTGAAAGAGAATGGGCCGGACCCAGTTGCAGATAAAGATATTGTGACGGAGGAGTGGCTAGCAAAGAAGCTAAGGAGCAAGAAGGTTCCCGTGAAAGCCCTGCTCCTCGACCAGGCGAATATAAGCGGGATTGGGAACTGGATGGGGTATGTGCCATGTTGATTATACAGTCTGAAGTTTCAAGGCTGACTGGTATCCAGAGACGAAATACTGTATCATGCCAAGATTCACCCTGAGCAATACAGCAACACTTTGAATGATGACCAGATCAAGGAACTCCACTCCGCACTACACTACGTCTGCTCAACATCTGTGGATCTACTGGCGGATTCTGAAAAGTTTCCGGCCGACTGGTTGTTCAAGCATCGCTGGAGTAAAGGCAAGAAGAATGCCTCATGTATGCTGCCAAATGGGGAAAAGATTACTTTCCTTACGGTTGGCGGCAGAACCAGTGCAGTGGTCCCAAGCGTGCAGAAGAAGACGGGATCAGTAGCCAAAGATATCAGCAGCGACGATGTTAGCAACGCGCCAAGTAAGTCTAAGCGGAAGCGGGCACCAGCAATAAAGGAAGAGAGCGAGCCCGACACCAGCGAAGAGGATGCCAAACCCAAGAAAACGGAGCCCAAGAGACAAAACAGGAAATCTATCAAGACTGAAGACGAAGATGAGGCGAAGACTAAGCCGGTAGAAGCCGAGCCCTCCAACAGGAGGCGCTCGAGCCGGCTTAGGAAATAGAATATTCATAGATTGCGCTCTTTGGTATGGACACTCTAATCGTTGTATCTGCGGATACACTGGAAATAGGACCTGTGAAGAACCATTTCAGAGATCGTCATCTGTTCTATACCCTTCTGCCCGTCTACTTGTTCAAACCTTCAACCCATGCAGCCTCTCTCGGAAAACATCAAAATTGCTGTCTCCCTGGGCAACTTTAGACATGTCATCCAAGACCGCAAACACGATCTTTTCCCACCACCCTTGAAATTCACGTTCTTGCAAGACCTCGGACCAGCACTCCGCTACCTCAGCATTTGGGTTTGCGAATGCGCCACAACCCAGGGCGCCTAGAACAATTCGCCGATGCTTCTTATACCCTGATATGCGGAGAATGGTCCGCATCTTATCTTTCGTCAAATCTCGATCAGAACTGTGTTTATAACTTGGTGGAGTTGTCGAATCATCCACCTCTGGTTCTTCCAGCGCGGCCACACTGATCACGCTCACCACGGGAAGAAGCTCGGGCTTTTGCAGATCCATCAGCCCGTGCCCTTGCGTGAAGCTTTCACGAAATACGACAACTGTTGGAGAGTAAATGGAGTCCCGTTGTCCTATTGGATAGTACCGTCGTTTAAGGGTCGAGCTGAGGCTGCTTCGATAGCAAAGAGCTTCTTCCTGGGCCATAGCTCCATTAAGCCAACCACCGCCTGGATTTCTTTCATTGGCCATATTCAAAACGCACACATTCTGCATGTCACTTTGCCGGAACTGTCTGACATGATTGCTAAGCCTGATTGCGATGTCGAATGTGTCTCCGAATAGGACTTCGACATAGGTGGATAGCTTTGGGCTGAACCTTGGATTCAAGGCCGGGTATCTGCTGCGTGGACAGTATTGTGCCGTTGGGGGTGCCTGAGGCACTACGCTCAATATGCCGGGAAGGAGTGCTTGTGTTTCCTCTGCAGTCGATCTCAATATTGTTCTCCTATCAGTTTTGGTGACAGGCCGGGGCCGCCTATTCACGGGTCGAAAATAATCCGGTAACAACTTCGGACTCATTGTACTATGTTTCTAGCCTGCTGTGAATATTCAAATTCTCCAGGAGAATTTATATGACCGTCCAAAATAGTTTCAACTGCATCTCACATGACTTTGATCCGACTGACTTAGGCAGCAAGGCTGGGAGATGAAGCTAGCGTTGATCGGCCGCCTAAATCGTATTCGAGGGGCAACACGAAGGCGCGGCAGAACACGGGTGCCTGTCGGGCGGAGCCCGCAGGCGGTGAGCTTATCAGCGCCGATCGCGGGGCAGCCGATAAGTACTGTACTCAGAAGGGTTCGTCGCCACTGCGATGACAAAGCATCCATCTTTCCCTCACTCATAGTCACAGTTACATTTCTTCCTCCTGCCACATTTACTGTGAACGGATATTGCTTCTCACTTTTGAATTCAACCTGAAGCTTTCACGGCGTTGAATTAGCCATTCGGTGTTGTCGCACAAGCATCTGAGGCCGCCGCGGAGTGGCGTTCGTCCTATATCTGCTCATCTAGCTTGGAATCTTGGACTTCCGCCACAATGAGTGCCATTCTGTCAGCAGACGACTTGAATGATTTCATTTCTCCGGGAGTCGCGTGCATTAAGCCTGTGGAAACACTCCCTGTAAAGGATGCTTCGAAATCAGACGTATGTATTTAGGTCTCTTCTTCATCGTCCCCCACTTTATCCAATGAATGCACGCTGATTTATAATCTATCAGAATCCCTACGAGGTGACCACAGAAGACAAGGTTGAGCCTGAAAATCTTCCTCCAGCACAGATCTCATTAACAGACTGCCTTGCATGCTCTGGTTGTGTCACTTCTGCCGAGGCCGTGCTCATTTCGTTGCAATCGCACGCCGAAGTCCTTAATACCCTGGATGCGCATCCCGAGCTCCCACTAAGCCATGAAGATGGAAGATCCGCACATGAACTCGTAACGACGAATGAAGGTCGGGTGTTCGTCGCAAGTGTCAGTCCTCAGGTGAGGGCAAGCTTAGCAGCGACCTACGGGATTACGGAGAAGGAAGCAACATACTTGATTCATCAGTTCCTTAGTGGACCCCAGGGTTTGAAGGCAGGGGGCAAAAACGGCAGCGGTTTTACATGGGTTGTTGATACTAATGTCCTGCGTGAAGCGGTGTTGGCTCTTACAGCGGACGAAGTCAGCGAGACTCTGACATGTAATATGGGGTCCTCTGGTACAGACGGCGCACTTCCGAAGCGGCCTATTCTCTCCTCCGCATGTCCCGGCTGGATCTGCTATGCTGAGAAAACACATCCATTTATTCTTCCTCACTTGTCTCGACTTAAGTCCCCGCAGGCGCTGGCAGGCACGTTCCTAAAGACCGTTTTAGGCAAATCACTCGGAATTTCAGCTTCTTGCATTTGGCATTTGGCCATCATGCCTTGCTTCGATAAGAAACTCGAAGCCAGTCGCGAAGAGCTCACTGATGCCTCGTGGATGTCTGCGAAGGACGAACATCATACCCCCGTTCGTGACGTTGACTGTGTAATCACTACGCGCGAGCTACTCAGTCTCGCATCATCCAGAGGCATCTCTCTGCCTAACCTACCGTTAAAGCCCCTTCCTCAATCTTTCACACCACCATTCCCCGACAAGACTTTGAATGGATTCTTGTTTGCCAAAAGTTCTCCGAGACAGACCGCCGCTGCAGGTACATCCGGAGGTTACCTTCACCACGTCCTTGAAACTTTCCAAGCACGGAATCCAGGCAGTGAGATCGTGACTCAACGAGGCAGAAATGCCGATGTAGTTGAGTACGTCCTCATGTCGTCTGAGCGCACGCCTATCCTGAAAGCAGCACGCTATTACGGTTTCCGGAACATCCAGAACCTTGTCAGGAAGCTCAAACCTGCACGGGTATCGCGACTCCCGGGCGGTAATCGCCGGCAGCCTGTTGGACGGGCTGCTGCGGCCGCCGGTTCTGGCACGGATTACGCCTATGTAGAAGTCATGGCATGCCCTGGAGGCTGTACAAACGGAGGGGGACAGATCCGCATTGAGGATGCTCGCGAAGCTACTTCTAACACACAGCCGGGAGAAGTGCCTGACTCGTCGTCGAAACCGACACCACATGAGCAACGCACCTGGCTTGCGCGTGTGGACGAGGCATATTACTCTGCGGAATCGGATTCCGAACATGAAGTTGGCAACCAGTCGCAGTCTCTTTCCATTCTGGAGAAGGAAGACAAGGTTCATAGTGCCTTGCGCTATTGGTCTGATTTTATGGGTATTCCTCTTTCGAAGCTGGCCTATACTACATATCGCGAGGTGGAGAGCGATGTCGGCAAAAACCAGCCTGCTGTGAATGATACTACCCGCGTGGTCGAACTTGCCGGGAAGATTGGGGGTGGTTGGTAGTTCACTTGCTTCTTTAACGTTATGATATACCCTGTGATATTCTGGATGACATTGAGGACATGCGTGCATTTACTCCATCGGGCAAAAGTCTATGCATGGGCTGCATCGGATATAGAGAGATACCAAGTTTTTCTTGTTGGTTCCAGCTGGTTTGCTTTATATATGCTGATCGTATATGGGTGTATATTGTTTATATAGATATTATTCTAGCAGCTTGCAACTGATTAAATGTAACTGAAAAATCCGATCAGTAACATTAAGTCACGTAGGTTATACGAAGGCCAGAATCTATAGTGAGATTCTACTATGGACAAGCCCGTCAGTTCATGGCCTACAGAGCTTGGAAAAATTTCCAACAGAATTTTATCCCTAATTCAAAGAAAAGCCTGCAAGCACGATCATAATTATCTTCCATACCTGAAAAAAGCACTTACAAATCCACGATCGCTCCCAAACATCCCACATATACACCCAACCCCCATAACAACACAGACACAACCCGCTTACTAACCAACCCCAACCAATCCCACCCTAACCGCATCCGGCAACCCAACCCAGCCCTCCGACAAAAAAGTTCCAGAACAAACCATCATACTAACCTCCAGCGCCTCAAACTTCCCCGACACTCAACCAACCAACCCACCTACCCACCCTTTCAACAACAGCGAACCTCCAACCCTCCTACACCCTACGAATCCGATACAAAAGAAAGAAATCCCCAGCATGTCCCGCGAACAATACCAAGTGCCCAACATGGGCGGCCAGAACGCCTTCAGCGGTGATGGCATGGGCGCTGGCGCCGGCTCCCTGGATGGTCCGGTGGTCGCGTACCTGTGCGGCGAGTGCAATTCGCGTGTTTCGTTGAAGAGAGGAGACCAGATTCGGTGTAAGGAGTGTGGGCATCGGGTGTTGTATAAGGAGAGGACGAAGAGGTTAGTTTTATCCATCCCCTCTTTCTCTTTCCCGCCGGGTATTTGTTGTGTGTTGTGGGGTGGGTTTGGGAATGAATGAATGGATGCTGACGTGGTGTTTGTTTGTATAGAATGGTTCAGTTCGAGGCGCGGTGAATCGGTTTGATTTGATTTGATTTGGTGGGATGGGATGCGATGCGACGTGCTGTGCTGTGGGGTGCACGGAATTGGAGGAAGGTGTGATTGGGCTTGCGCCTGGTCTTGTTTGCTTGGTTGTCGTTTACGATGATGTGCATTTGGTGGCGCTTGGGAGTTTGCTTTTCGTTTCTTGGAGGATTTTGTTTTGTTGGAACAAGTTGGGATGGGGTGCTTGTTGGAGGGTAGTTGGAAGGATGCGCGAAGGACTTTTCTTGTCGAGAACGGTTACAGTTGCAGTTGCTTGAGGTCAATACGTTGTCCAGGCAATTTACTCGTATTCCCAAGGATTATACCATGACTTTGTCATAGTCTATGCGCGATGGCGGTTACAGCTACCCTGTATTATCCCTAAATACCCGAAATATCTATATTCAAGCTATGGTATTTCATTCCCGGCAGAGAGTCCTGGGAAACAGAAAGTGGGAGAAGACGAGAATCAGAAAATATATTCTCAAACGGGCACCTTACAGTTTGTTCGTGACTTCGACGAACTTCTCGAAGGACTTGAGCGCAGCACCGCTCTCGACGGCCCACCGGGCTCGCCGGACACCCTCCTTCCAGCGCCCGCCACCGGGGCCACGCTCGGTGATGACCTGACCGTCATCGCCAGGGCCCATGTTGCTAGTGTCCGCTTCGCAGATACCCGACACCGTCAGAAGGGCAGCCACGTTCATGAGCACGAAGCTCAGGATTGGGTCGTCACGAGGCAGCTCATTTCGCAGAATGCTCATCAGCTTGGCTGCGTTGTCCTTGGGCATCTTTCTGCCGCCCACTTCGGAAAGAGGGTGGGTTGGCAGGCCAAAGTCGGACGGCTGCAATTGGAAGGTCTCCATCTTGACCAAACTGCGGGGGACCTCTTCGTCATCACAGGAGCAATCATCATCATGGGAGTTGTCATACGCGGGGTTAGGATATTCCGACAATTGCCAGCAGTTTGTCTTTCCTGCGCAGCTGATCTCGTCCAAATCCTCTTCACCGCAAATAACCAACGCCTTCTTGCAGCCGTTCTGTCGCAAAGCCTCCACAAACACCGGTCCCAAGCTCTGGTAGGCCACACCAACAACACGCGCCTCGATGGCCCAATCGACTGGGTTGGCGAGAGGTCCCATCAGATTGAAAATTGTCCGAAGTCCGAGTCCACGACGCACCGGGTCCGCGTACATCATTCCAAAGTGGAAGTTGGGGGCAAAGAGGAAGGAGTAATTGGTCTCGGCGTAGACCTGGCTTAGGTTCTCAGCAGTGATTGCGCCAATCTTCGGGGGAACAGGGGTAACAGCGTTCAGGACATCGGCGGATCCGGAGAAAGAGGTCTGCGCGCGGTTGCCGTGTTTGGCGGTCATGAGGAGAGGGGAAGCGATGATCGAGGAGGTCGTGGAAATGTTGAAGGTAGAATGCGAATCTCCACCGGTACCAACAATATCGCACTAGAGAACACCAAGATATTAGCTGTATGCTCCAATTGAGTGCTAGATACGGCTGCGTCACTCACCAGACCACCCCTGTAGTTGCCCTCCTTCTTTGCCCGCGACTGGATAGCAGCCTTCAAGCTAGGCCGGTCGACCTGGCGAGCGGCCTCGCGCATGCGGTGGGAGCATTTGGCAATGACTTCCGCATCACGATCCAATCCCGTGGAATGCAAGAGCGTCAGAAGAGCTGCTGTCTGAATGTGCGAGATCCCATCTTCGAAAATCAGCGCGAATGCTGAAGCAATCTCAGAAGCTTCAACTCGACGTTCCGTAGCGGGGTAGGCGAGTCTCTTGAGGAGGGGTGAGATAGAGACATGCTGCGGCTTCTGGTCGTGGGTTTGGGCGGACATTTTGCCTTGAGGTAGAGCCACCGGTGGTCGAACACTGAGAAGACTCCTATATAGTCAATTGAGTCACAATTTCCTCTCAAGGCCCCTCAAGATAAGGAAGTAAGACGGAGCAGCCGGAGTTTTGGGTCGCGCCGGCGACCGCAGATCAAAGAGTCATCATTTGCGCCCGGCAGAACTCCACCGCCTATTACCCAGTCTAACCCGCTTTGGGACCCCCAAGATTTCTGCCATATTTTCGTCCAGCCGGCCTCCCTCCAGACGTGCTCAAATCGCCGGTATCGCCAATTCCACGGGCCTGGACTGATCTCGTTCGATTTTGATCTGTCCGCTGTGCTGCACCACTCCCAATCTTTCCCGCTACCTGAATCTCCTCCTCCACCTTCACAATGCCGCCTCGCGTACGCATCTCAAGCCGCATCGCTCAGCCGGTCCGCCGACAGAGGCTCTCTCAGCATGAGCTCCCAATTGCTGCCAGATATGCCAGCACCGCAGCTACAGCGACGACCCCGGCCGCATCAATTGAACAAATGACACACTCTCCCGTCCCCATCGCCCACTTCCCTCCCTCGCAGCCTCCCTCGCACCGCAACCCCGAATTCCGCCGGTCCCAGCTCCTCCGGCAATACACCTCCATCATCCGCACCACGCCTCTCATGGTCTTCCTGCAGCACGACAACCTCCAATCAGTCGAATGGTCCGCCATCCGCCGAGAGCTGGGCAAGGCCATGCAGAAGGTGGACGAGCAGATTGCCTCGGAGGGCCGGAGCGCCCCAGCCTTGGCTCCGCACATCAAGATCCAGATTGTCCAGACGCACATTTTCGAGGTCGCCCTCCGTATCGTGGAATATTTCCGTCCCAACAAGGCCGCATTGGAAAACGGCCAGGTCCCCAGAGCAGTTGACCCCGTCACGCAAACATCGGCCGAAATCCCCCTCGTCGGATCGCGCGACGACCCGTCCCTCACCCATGACCTTTCCCGCGCTGCCCATGACGCCGTCTGGAAAATGAAGGGCAGACACGAGCTCGCGGAACTTCTCGTTGGACCTGTGGCCGTGCTCAGCATCCCCCACGTTTCCCCCGAACACTTGAAGGCTGCGTTACAGGTCCTGGCTCCCAAGGCCATCGGGCTTCCTTTGCCCACGCGAAAGGGCAACCCGGGCTGGCATGAACTGACCACTCAGAACGGCCTGAACAAGCTGTCTCTGATTGCTGCCCGTATGGACGGCCAGGTCTTCGACGTCGAGCAATCCAAGTGGGTCACCAGCATCGAGGGCGGTATGGATGGCTTGCGGTCACAGCTTGTCATGGCCCTGCAGAGCATGGGATCCAGCATTACGAATACTTTGGAGGGTGCTGGCAAGAGCCTTTACTTTACGCTTGAGAGCAGAAAGCAGGATATGGAGGAGAAGGAGAACCCCAAGCCCGAGGGTGAGAACAAGGGTGATTCCGCTTAAACAGTGTAAAGCTGTTTTATGTTTGCCGGGCTTTTCATGTATAATAAAATGCCGTGTATTTTCCTATTTTTTTTTTCTTTTCCCTTTTACCCTTCAAGACCATGATTGTTTTAGCACATGAAGTTTCATTAGAACCGGAGTCTGAGTTCTAGGTACAATTACATACTCCTTTCGTCTGTCTTGTTGCTCGTAATTTTCGGGTTGCGACTTTCTTGAGAAAGGCAATCGTGTAATTGATGTATGCGTATGTATTTTTTCTGTTCCGACATCGATGGCCGGCGGAAGATACAGCATGGATTGATAAGTGAATACATCCTCAGCTCTGTCAACAACAAGGGAACGATACGCAATAAACCATAAACAACCGTGCGACTTTTCTTAAGACCAGGTATCTAATCGCTGTCATGATGTTGCTCGTCATACTGCAACTGTCTGTACAGCAACCGAGCATTCATACCCACAATGCATCGTACAAGATCCCAATCACCATCTAAGCCCACCCAGTCTGTAACCAGGATACCAGTGGACCAGTCACCGTCGCCTTCTCCGTGCGTCCTGCAGAGATGCTCCACAGTAGCGGGATTCAGTTTTGCCGCGATCTTCTCAGGCCAAGTGCCCACTTTCCAGAAGTTGCTGGCGCTTAGGAAGTTGACGTAGAATGGATGTGCTTGTGTTGCCAGAGGACCTGGAAGCACACCAAACGGGTATTGAGTGCGTCCTGCGCGTTCACACTGCTCCCGCACATATTGGATCTTCTTGTCAATGTTCTTGGTTTCTAGGACCTCGTAGAAATCCTGGATGCAGAGCTGCCCGCTGGGACAGATAGCTTCGGAACAGTTATCGGCCCAGCCAGTGGCATCGATACACCATCCCTTTCCGTCATGCATGTCTTTCAGATCATCCAAGATGTTGAATCGACGCACCAGAACGACCTTTCCGCGCACTTCGCCTAGGGTGGGGATCTTGGGTTCTATATACCACCTGCTTTCTGAATGCGCGTAATGGTCGTTGATGATCCTACTCAGCTGCTCATCGGTGTGGTTGCCCGGGCCTTCACGTTTGAGAGAGATGATGAGTGTTTCAGAGGGGTTGCTCTCGAGAAACTCGTCAACTTCGCGCATCAATTCGCGGAAGTATTTGTTGCCTGTTAAAGAGATGGGGAAGACGCTGTGCACAAGGATAAGCTCATCTTTCTCGGGGTCTTCTGGATATTGAGGCTGCACTCGGATATCAAAAAATCGAACCCCGTTCCTGAGCTGCTCTCGAGGGCTAACTGCCTGGCAGCGAACAGATGGCGCTGCAACATGGCAGGTAGGTGAGTTGTGCGTGCCTGGAATGGACAGAGAAGAGAGCAAAGTGTCATCCTTCAGCTCGCCCATCCATGCATTCAAATTGGCAGAAGAGTATATCGTGAGGTGGGATGCTGCTGTGACGTAAATCCCTGTGAACTTGAACTTAGGGTTGTCGCACAGCGGTTTCATAGTAGCAGTTTCGGTGGTCGGGACTGGGGTCTGGATCTGATGCCTTTCCCCTTCCACCTCAAAGACCCAGCGCATTCGTTCCTTTTTCGAATCAATAAACGGGGGGAGCTCAGTCTGAACCGACTCAAAAGGTGCAACATGGATATCAACGTCCTCCTGGGCAAAAGGCTGGGTGTCATCATCCAATGCAGCCACGGGTGTATCTGCGCGTGTGACATTGGTCAAAACCCGTGTAAAATTCCTTGCAAAGGTATGGACATCATCAAATGACCTCCCGGGCGCATGGAAGCGTTCAATATGTTTCAACGCGATTGGTGTGGATGTAAGATTGCGAATGGTAAGATGTTCGCCCGCCATCTTTTTGCCTCGGTCACTTTGTATCGCAGATGTTGCGTCGTTATGCGGTTGGCGTCGCCGCGAACGGTGGAGTGGACAAGGCATTTAGGACAGATTTCCAGCCGGTCCGATCAACTAAACTTTATAATCAGCAGGCTGGCGAAGGGAGCTGGCCCCAAGGAACCGGCTGAAGTATCAAGGCTTTCGGGGTGCAACCAAGGCCCGTTATTGGCCTGGGTAAGCTGGGGTGCCTGGGGGGTACTGGGGATACTCTGGAACACTAAGAGAGCCCGATAGGGATTGCGCCAATGAAGACCGGTATCCACTGGCGTAGGATCTCCCGCCGAGGCGGTACGCCGGGGCTGAACCGTTTCCAGGGGCACGAATGCGAACCAGATCAAAGGTCCGCCCAAGTCATTGGCGAATTGGATCCCACGGAAGTAGCGAGTCAGAAAGCCAATGTTTGTTATCTTGGCCCACGCCATCACCGAGAAGTCGAAGTGGTGGATGATGATCAGCCCTGCGTCGTAAGGCTCTCCGTAATCCCGATCCACCACCCGCAAAACATGCCAAGGGAAGCTCAGCTGACAGCTGGCTTGACCTCCCCGACCCGAGGGTCATTACAGGCAGTGCAGCTTCTTGGCTGGATCGGATGAGTTAACCAGCAGGTACCCTTGAGCCTCTATCAATATTAGGAAGTCTTGGGCAGATCGACTGGATTGTATGTTTTGTTTTGGCAGAGCGGGTGGGGATCGTGCGTGGGTTCCTGCTGAGCGCGAAGTTTCATGCTTATCCACGTTCGGCCCTCCATTTCTGCAAATACTTAGAGTCAACCGAGCTGAAATATGGACGGGCATGGTAGGAGTCCGAGATGGAGAGAAAGCAGGCAATCGACTGGTATAGATCGGCCCGCACGTGCCAGGCTTTAATGGCGGAACAAGTGACGGCCCGGAGTGTGGGCGGAGGTGGAAATGCGGAGTAACATCACGTGGCATGACGCCGGGCGTCGGTTACCGTCGGCCGTCGGCGACACCTGGATAACCGGGCATACTTGCCTGCTCCCCTATCACTCATCGTGCAGCCGGAATGCTGCCTTCGTTTTCTTTCCTCTGTGGGATCTCACTCTTTGACACCCTCATACGGACACCGGACTGACCATGAATCTCTTGCGCTCCAGTGGAAGCTTGTCCTGGGCTCTCCGTTCATGTCAGCGGCCGAGGGCATCCCGGTGCCAGACACTACTACCTCTTCCCCGTCGCCAATTCCATGCCGTCTTGCCTCTGTGGGGGACCAAGTCTCAGGTACTGAAGGACGTGGGCGAAGGTAGAGTAGACACTTACATTGACACTGCCCTTTTGCTTTATTGTCATCCCATATTCTCGAATGGTCGGTTGCTTACTTTGCTTCCCCACCGCAGGGATAACGGAAGTTCAAATCATTCAATGGTACGTTGAGGAGGGGGCATACATTGAGGAGTGGAAACCCCTCTGTCAATACCAGTCGGACAAAGCAGTAGATGACGTGAGTTCATGTATTTCCAGTGGATTATCTTCAAACTCCAGCTAACGGCTATAGATCACCTCGAGATACGAGGGAGTGGTCAAGAAGCTTCATTTCCAGGCGGATGACACAGTTCCTACCGGCAAGGTAACTAGCCCCATCTTCGCGCATCAGACATGCGAGAAAGTTTTACTAATCTCTTATCCTATTTAATAGGCACTCTGCGATATAGAAGTCGAGGACGGGAAGTATCCGGACGATAGCCCGCCGCCAGTGCCCAAGATCGAGCCGATACCAGTCAGTCCTGCTCCCATAGTAACCAGATCGCCGCAGCCCGTCCAAGAGATCGCTACAACGGTGAAAGAAAGCACCAATAACACATCTAAATCGCCGTATGCAACATTGGCTACTCCAGCAGTTCGAGGACTGCTGAAGTTAAATAGTGTCAACATCGAAGATGTTCAAGGAACAGGCAAAGACGGTCGTGTTCTCAAGGAAGATGTGCAGCGATTTATCGCACAGCGGGACTTGGCACCTGCGGCGCAGGCCAGAGTCTCTGAAGTCCAAGATGAGACAGTAGCCAAACTGACGCCAATCCAGTCTCAGATGTTCAAGACCATGACCCGGTCCCTTGAGACCCCGCAGTTCCTCTATGCAGATGAGCTCAACATTGAAAGTGTCACGGCAATAAGGAAGAAGCTAGCCGAGGATCCCAAAGACCCCAAGAAAATCAGCTTGCTCTCATTTGTCATCAAGGCCATGTCACTTGCTCTGAATGAGTATCCGCTTCTCAATGCAAAGATCGACACCAGCGATGCTGCCAAACCACGGTTGATTATGCGGTCGAAACACAATATTGGCGTCGCCATGGACACACCTCAGGGGCTGTTGGTCCCCAACATCAAAGACGTTGGCGGTCGCTCAATCCTAGACATTGCCTCGGAAATCTTGCGTCTGAATGCTCGCGCGAGAGAAGGGAAGCTTACACCTGCGGACCTCAGCGGTGGCACAATCACCGTTTCCAATATTGGTAATATCGGAGGCACATACGTCGCGCCGGTAGTCATACCGAATGAGATGGCGATCCTCGGCATTGGCAAGGCCAGAACGGTACCTGTTTTTGACGATGCAGGCCAGATTACGAAAGGCGAGCTGGTGAACTTTAGTTGGAGTGCTGATCATCGAGTGGTGGACGGTGCGACCATGGCCCGGATGGCCAACAGGGTCCGGGAACTTATTGAGTCGCCAGAGCAGATGCTTTTGAGCTTGCGATAGCTAATACATAGACATACCCCGATACTTCCGTGATGACCATTAGCTCCAAGTGCTACATACATAGAAGACTGCAAATGAAGCATATGCTTGCACCCAACCTGACTCTTTACACAACTAATGAAATTGTGCAAAATGAATATTTGTAACTGGACTGCTCACATCATGTGATACACGGCCGCAGCCTAGCGGAGGTTGCATCCTGGCGGAGACAGTCTCCGATATTCTTCGTATGCCACCGTAAAGGAACCGGTATAAGCTGCATCTCTTTCTACACCATATTCCCTTCTCTTCGTCCTTAACACATCCTTCTTCTCGGGCTAGGTCTTGTTTACGTGCCGCATATAGAGTGAATGTGCTGGAGTGCTCCTTCAAACGACCTTCCACCCGCATTCTGCCTTCCTCCTCCTCGCTCCGCCCCTCCTACAATTAGAAACCCGTCCACCTTTGGCTGCTCTGGTTACATTCATCGCCTTCCTTCTCTCAAAAACCCCCTCAGTCTCCACCTCCGCCTTTATAATTTCTGATAGCACTGCTAACCATCATGGGGACCCGAGGTCTTTACTTGATCCGCTGCCACGGTCGATACTTCATCTACTATAACCAATTTGACAGCTACCCTGAGGGCTTAGGTGATGCTATCGTGGAGGAGATACCTGAGGATCCAGAGAAATACAGAGGTAAGTGAGATGCTATTCTGTGTGAGTTTGTGCACCATCCAATTAACCCCCAGTCAGAATGGCTCCAATCTATGCGGGGGCTCTATGCTCAGCTTGTTAAGCAGTTCGAAACACAAGCTCTTCCAGTCATCCTTCAAGCGACCGAAGAAGAAGACTCCACCGTCGCTGTGGCTGAGCGGTATACGACGAGCTTCCTCGCTGTCGATGATAGGCTAGAACTGCCACCTCTGCAAATTGTGCTCCCAGAAGTGGCCACGTTCGATGTTGAATGGACATATACCCTCGACCTAGACCGGGAAGTTTTGACTATTGATAACTCCCTGCATCTTCACCTAACCAAGATTCCTCGTGGGGGAGCCTGGATCAAGTACCTTGATATAGACAATCAAAACCGTCGCGTAGCCGGCAGTTGTACACCAGAAGAGGTAGTTGCTGACCTTACATGGAAGCCAGAAGTTGGCAGCGCCTTGACTGAGAGATACCACCAGTTTGATGTTCGTATGGACTTACTGGAGGCCTTCAACGATCATGAACATTCTTCAGACCCGCGTGAACCCTTGCTGGATGCCACTTTCTCGCTGATAAGGAATCAATACAGAAGGGTTCTGGATGGTTATGTGTTGGAATGGGCGCCCGATGAGTTCCCTTTCAGGGAAATTGCCTTTGCTGTGTTGTCTATTGCTGCTGGGGAGGTGTCTTTTGAATGCATTCAAAGCCTCGACCGAAACCATAAAGGGGAAGGCTACTACCTGGTTCATGGCAGAGTGTCTTCTGGCTTGACAGCATCTTGTCACCCGCCAACCGTCCTTCCACGATTCCTGTACGAATCTCATCTTCCGGGTGTCCGGCCTGGTTCAGCACCCGAGGGAAGGATGTACTGGTTCGGAAATGTTCTTGTGCATCTGGCTTCTAGACTGGACTTGGTCGAGGTCGAAGAGGCGTCCGTTGCCGAGGTTGTGGAGGCTGGTCTAAAACAGGGACTAGAAGACTTCCATGCCATGGTCTTCTCAATTTTAGATGTGGTTCTACTTCATGTCCAAAAGGGCCCAGATGGCACCGTTCACGTTAACAGGTCTCCTCTGATGGCGCCATTTGAGTTTGACGGCAAAAGCCCACGTTTTGCAAACGGTCCTCGAACAACGCGCTGTGAAGAGCGGAAGAGGCAGGTAGTGAGTCCTTTTCTCGCAATCATGCGACTCTTCGATAAAGCTACCGATTCAGATTTGAAAGGTACCCGCTCGAGCGTACTTCCGAATGAGGTTTTGGGGACCATTATGGATTTCTCTGATACTCAGACCTACCGCGCGCTTGGTAAAGTGTCAGCGTACTCTCGCAGAGTCAGTAGCCGGAAACTTCGCTTGAACGATGAATACGCTGCAGTTGGCTTTGATCCTTCCGAACAAAGCTTCATCCTGGAACACTTGCAGTCAGGGCAAAGATTTCACTCCAAACTAGAGAATTACATCGATGGAAACAGGTTTCGCAGTACCGCCAAAGGTGAAGGAATGCACTTGAGACCTGTGGTTGGCATAGAAAGTCCCACTAGGCGGAGCATCTTGGACTCCGTGAGCCTATACTTCTCTGGGGCGACTTCGAGAATAGCCCCTTATTCAAAGACGATAGAGATGCCCAAACAGTAAGTTTCGATTATCCGCCGGGTTAGACATGTCTAACACCTCACAGGTCGTATTGTCGTTACACTCACCACTACCATAGCCCAGAACCTGAGCGTCTATTCTACATTGAAGACCATATGCTTATCGGGTCAGTGGAAGATGGCTGGGGTAATTATATTACCAGCCTGAATCGACGCGACGGCGCAGCGCGAGAAGCCACTTTCGTTTGTGGTGCGAGACTCGGCTGTCTTCTCCCCCCAGGGCTTCGTCAGCTTAGCCTGGACTATTGTCGCAATAACCTATTTTGTTTCATTCGCTGCGCGCATGACGAAAGTTCCGAAGCATGGGATGTGATGATGAAGTATGCTTTGCGTCAGCTTCAGTTCCTACAGGCGTCGGAGGGGGAGATACTCCCGGTTTCAGGATTACCCGTGATTATGGCCTTTTCCACGAGAGTCCGACTCTTCTTCTACGTCTACCAGTGCGCGGAGGCCCCGACTCTCGAAACCGATGCTCCCCAGTTTCTGATTAGGGCGGCGGCACAATGCACAGATCCCGAGCCTAGTCGTCGGCTTATCCCTCTCATTACCGACGGCGAAACCATCGATCTCAAAGAAAGGAAGCGGAGAGATGAGTTTGAGGAATGGATCAAGGTTCTCCACAGTCACAACTAAGTGAGATCTATCACCGAACACATGTGGCGGTCTTCCCCAGCCCAAACACGACTGAGCTAGTTGATTGGCGACAATCCACGTAAGAGGCATTAACATCAAGTCTGTCAGGTTCTTAATGTCAAGTCGGATCTTCCTAGCTTCGGTAAACGTTAACTTCTGTGTCGGTATTTTCTCTGGTGCCTAGGTGCGGCCAAGTGAGCAGGATGAGGTTTCCTTGATGAAAAGTTGCGAACGATATCTGGCGCCTATTGTTTCTTTCCTTATCTTTCAGTCGTTGTTGGGATCATGACTTCGGTAGGTGTGAGAATAACAAGTCATGGCCATAATGAGTTATCCAATATTATTCCTATCAAGCCCTAGTAAACACTCTGAGTAGAAGTGTGCTACCAACCTGGCATCCTTGCCGTAGTTGTAGCATCAACCGGCGATATAATAGAATTCCTTGGACTTTATACTACAGTTCCAAGGATAATGTTACTCCCTACGATATCACCTACACAGCGACGTTCCAGCTGCACCGAATACGACGGACCTCAATCAAAGCAGAAACTGAATATACTCCACTATATCCATTCAAATGTAATCCAAGCGCAGTAAACAAAGTGATATAGACAAAGAAACGAAGGTATCAACAACCCAAACCAAGATACAACCCACAAGACTGACTCCCAAAATACAACCAACAAATCTCTATCAACCAAACCAAACCAAACCAAGTTAAATCAACCCCAAACACCACACCCCATAACCCCTCCAAAATAAAGAATCCAAAATCCAAAACCAACCCCAAACAAACAATAGAAAAAAGAAATCAAAAAAAAGATCACCTCCCCCCCAAAACCCCCGCCACCAACCCCAACACCTCCTCCTGGACCTCCCCCTGCCCCTTCCCCATCCCCACATCCACCGTCAACGCATCCCACTCCCCCAACGGCTCCTCCAAATCCCTCAGTTGCGAATGCACCATACTACTCTTCATATAATGCGCCTGCCGATTCATGACTCTCTGCAACAACATCTGCTCATCGAGTTTCAAGTAAATAAAATGGATTTGCACCGAGGGGGATCCGTACGCCGCGACGCGCATCACGTCTCGGTATTTGCGCTTCAGGGCCGAACAGGCTACTACCACGCCGGAGGGGGGGTGGAAGTTGTTGGTTTCGGACGGGGAGAGGGCCGAGATGGCGGCGTTGCGGAGGGAGATTAGCCAGTCCCATCTGTCGGCGTCGGTGAGGGGGATGCCGGTGGACATTTTTTCTTTGTTGAGGGGGGGGTGGAACTGTTTTATTGGTATTGTTTTGTTAGTGGGGATGTTGGGGGTGGTGTGTAGGGTGGGAGGGGGTGGTGGTGGTATGTATGGAGGTGTAGGGATTACATACATCATCACCCTCCAGGAAGGGAACTCCCAGTGCTTGTTGGATGCTTTTTCCTACGGTGCTTTTCCCGCATCCCGCGGGCCCGGTCACGACCCAGATGTGTTGGACTTGCTCGGGCTGGGGCACTGTGGTCTTGCTGGTCCACATCGAGTTGGGATTGCTGGATAGTGGGCTTTTGACCGGGCCGCGCGTGGTATCTACTACTCCGGTGCCGTTGGTCATGGCGGGTTGGGGCCGTTCACCGGCGGACAACATGGTGGCGGAAGTGAGGATGTTGTAGGGTTCAGCGCAGTTGGGTATGACGTCCTAGTGAACCGTGGATAAATTGGGATTAACCGCCGGAAGGAGGAAGAGAATACGGAGGAATGCCTATGTGTGCAAGGGTCACTCGACGAGGAAGAGAACGGAAAGAAGAGATGATACCAGTCGAGGGAATAGAGTCATCGGCTATATAAAGGAGAGAGAGGGATTAAATGCTGATAGTTCCAGGGCGGCTATAATAAATCTCCTTCAAGTATGAAATCCATGTGGGTCAGCCGGGCACGGCAGTCATTGGCACCGGTTTTCTCTGGTTTTCGCTGGTTTTTCTTTGATTTTTCTAACTCAAATATCAGCCAGGTCCTGGTTAAGGGTTTGGGCTGGCGGCGGGCCGGAAATTGCTAGACCTGTTCCACTCCAACCGCATCGTCATGGCTGTGTGAATCGGGTCCGATTCAACACGGCCGCCACCGAATCAGATGCAACCGCAGCAGTTCCAGGCGCAATAGTAGGGCATGCAAGTGGGGGGCAGCGAAACGGCGAGTGGGGGACCAGCCGGCCATGAGGTATGAAGGCAGACTCAGGAGTCCGGCGGTCTGGTCATTAGCGGGAGATCCGATCGGTAGCACGTCGTATTGTCGCATACACACCTCCATACCGCTGGACAAAGTACGCGCGCATTTGGCAACACTCTGACGACCCCTTTTGTCCCGGCCTCTGGTTGGCAGCAGGCACAGGGGAATTCCTCCCGCCGGTCAGAGGCCATGGCCATCCGTGTCACCTCATCAATGCCCGCGTCGCGCCAATGAAGGACGCCGGCGTATTTGTCCGGCCATCCGCCATGATGTCACAACCGGGGATGCGGAATGGTAATTTGGGACGTCTGGCGCGGTCAGTGACGGTACCGGGACGGGTAATGGCGATGAACCCCCACACTATTCCCTTCCCGGTATTGGGTCCCCGTCCCCGAAAGGGTCGTTTTCCACGCTGCTTCCCAGGAATTCCATCCGATCCTAGTCACTAATCCGTAGTCACCGTGGCAGAAACAAGGGAAGGGACCTGGGCCACCCCAGTAATCCATGCAGATAAGATACAACGACGGATGGGGGTGATGTCTGCTGAGTCCTCAGGTCCGTTCCGCCAAGCTCGACCCTCCGGCTTCCTTCATCCGACTGGCGAACAAAGGAGTCCAACCTGCCGATTTCTGTTCCCGTGGTCTCCTCAGAAAATAGGCCTGGCTAGTCCGGGGGTAGCTTCATGCCAGCCCAACTTTGCCAGAAGACAGGTCAGATTTAAGCCTTCAGTCACGGGTATTACTTTCGCTCTAACTTTGCTGCCATCTGTGTGACAGTAGAGCCCAACCGAACCAGATTCAGTTGTGGAAGCCCGCCACTCCAGCTATGCCGTCGTATCTGGCAGCCGATGATTGATCCTGCATGCTCACCGCTGGAAGTGTGGCGTGCAGACGGGCGGCCGTGGCTCAATCCGGGGAAACTTTGATTGCTGGCATGCCAGTCGGATGCAGGTAAACTCCCGCCAAACTGTCTTGCTGGAGTGGTCAGGCAGTCCTGCTGCCAGCCAGCCCATAATTGCTTCTGTGTACCCCGTATCCAACTCACGGAAACATGTTTCCAACGACGCCAATAAGGTTACGGGTCAGCGGCTCTTTGCAGAGACTGCCAATGAGCCAACGTCGTATGGAAAGTGCCCGATGTAAGTCCTGCTTAAATGGCGACTGAGCTTGAAAGCAACCTCGAAGCGTACAAAGATGTAACCGTGCTCGGCAGATGATGCGGTTACCCCTCCTGACCGACAGGAATTGGATGGATAAAGCAAGCAGTATGCCGATTAATGCGTGCGGTCCGGCTCATTCTCGTAGTGTCTTAGCGACGGTCATATGCTGCGCAACAGCGACTTGCCTCTTCCATGGACGGCGGTCTCTCCTTCAGGTCCATGTCGATCTTGTATGAAGTGGTATAGTTGCTGTGACTTGACACATCCTTTTGGAGCAAGGTTGGTAATACCGCTTTATGCACGTATTAAAAAATCTGGCCCGATTCAGATCGCCTCTTAGCTATATGAGGGCTCTAATAGAAGAAGATATACACTAAGATCCTTCTAGTAGACTCTGACAGGGGAGGAGGGAGGATGTCTCTGCCAGGCAGGTATAACTAGTTAGTTAACTAGTTAACTAGTTGACGACGAGGGTGCTTACATAAGCCGCGATACGGATGTCTCCCACCGCCAGGCAGTCGAGATGCCGCCTAACCAGATGAAGCCGGGCGCGACATGGCCATTGTGTGATATCGCATTTCATAGGCCGCCTTATCGAGTGCTCTGCGTACTTGCCAGCTGATTGACTCTCTTATATCCCCTCACCCCTCCCAATCTCGCCCACGATGACCTCCCTCTTCTTCTCCACCCCCCTCGACATCGATGTGGTCCTCGAAGACAGCGATGAGCGCCAGACGGTGGATGTCAAGCTCGACAAGGGCCGCCGCGAGAGGGTCCCTCTGTACATGGACGGCGAGTCTGTCAAGGGTGCCGTGACTGTTAGGCCCAAGGATGGAAAGCGCTTGGAGCACACCGGCATCAAAGTGCAGTTCATTGGCACAATCGGTATGGGACATCGGCTCGCATGGACATAGTGCATCACTATACCCATTATCTATCTTCGAGACAGATTGCTGACATGGACTTCACTATCAGAAATGTTCTACGACCGCGGTAACCATTACGAATTCCTCTCGCTGGTACAGGAGCTCGCAGCCCCCGGAGAACTGCAACACCCCCAGACCTTCCCATTCAACTTCAAGAACATTGAAAAGCAATACGAATCCTACAACGGTATCAACGTCAAGCTACGGTACTTTGTTCGTGTCACGGTCTCCAGGCGCATGGCGGACGTGATCCGGGAGAAGGACCTTTGGGTTTACTCTTATCGCATGCCCCCCGAGACCAACAGCCCCATCAAGATGGATGTCGGTATCGAGGACTGCCTGCACATTGAGTTCGAATACTCCAAATCCAAGTACCATCTGAAGGACGTCATTGTCGGACGCATCTACTTCCTCCTCGTGCGGTTGAAGATCAAACACATGGAACTGTCAATTATCCGACGTGAGACCACCGGGTCTCCGCCAAACCAATATAACGAGAGTGAGACGCTGGTGCGGTTTGAGGTATGTTTGCATGCAGTATGAACTTGTGCATGACGTACAAAGCACTAACTTGCTGCACGCAGATCATGGATGGGTCGCCTTCCCGAGGTAAGTTGGTGGCTCGGACTCTCCTGGTCCCCAGGCATCCCAACACGTCACACTTGCGGGATTATCGCAACTGGACAGCTCTTTGACGTCTTCTAGGTGAAACCATCCCCATCCGTCTGTTCCTCGGAGGATTCGACCTCACCCCTACCTTCCGCGATGTGAACAAGAAGTACTCGACACGCTATTACCTCAGCCTGGTGCTTATCGACGAAGGTACGTTCCTGTGTCCATATGTTTCATCTGCGTTTTGGCCTTGTTTTGTGGTTGCCGTCCACAATTACCGCCTGGTGTCTGCGTGAGAGAACAGACCGTCATCCCACGCATGTGAAACCAGGTCTTGAATGCAAGAGTGACTAGCTCACTGGCCCACCCCTGGCCTGGCCATGCCATCCCACGGCATCCCACGGCATCCCACTCTCTAGGTCAATAGCCGGTCGGCTATTGACCCTTGATCGGGCCGAAACCTGCAATCTGGCCACAGATGGGCTCCCCCATGGCGACCCCCACGCTAAACCTCAAGCGATCCTGGTGTCGCGTGGTGGCCCCACCGGCCCCAGTTCCCTCCCGTTTTCACCTTCCGGAAGTTTCGACCGTCATTTACATACCTGTATGAAAACTAACCTGCCACCGCACTCCTCTAGATGCTCGCCGGTACTTCAAGCAATCCGAAATCGTCCTCTATCGCCAGGCTCCCGAGATCGCCATCACGCCTCAAATCGCCCAGCAGCAACAGATTCAGCAGCAGCAGCTCCTTCAGCAGCAACAACAACAGCTGCCCGCGGGTTCCGCGACCGCCGGGCCTGGACGCGGAGGAGACCATCATCAGCCCCAATTCAGTCAGCAAGTCTCAGCCCCTGCGGCTTAGTCCACGAGATCTATCCATCTCACCTTGTAGCGAATAGACCGTCATGGGCTGCTGTATCAGGCTTCGTTTGATGTTCTCCATATACCCTTCTGTCGCTGTACTTCTGTACCCAACCCGTTTATCATGAATCTGACCACATGAAAATCATTTATGACGACGTCTATACTTAATTCCTTCGTGTACTTGTCACGGCCTTGAAAAGGCAAGGTAGTATCTGACGGTTTACATCTATCATTTCCATCACTTGAGATGTAAATCTTACATGAAAACAGTCTAACATCCACAAATGCAATTGTAACAACTATAGTCATACATACAAAGGCTTAAAAACAGACAGACAAGGAGCACTGGGGACGCTTGCTATATAATCCTCTCGTCTATATAAGCATCCCACAGGTGATCGAGTATAGGACACGTGGGGAAACCTGTACATTACACATAACCACCACCAGCAGTACCAGAACCAATACCAGTACCAACTTCATGTAAGACCTTCCCGAGAGCATGGAGCACCTCGCCATCATCCTGTTCCTTCCCGGCGACCGGCACGGCCCGCACAACGAGCGGGTAGATCCATGCAAGGTGCCTTTTGTGGTCCTGGGCAGTGGTGCTAGCGGGGGCTGAGGCTGAGGCTGAGGCTGATTCGGTTGGGGTTCCGGTCGTGGGGAGTGGAGGGATTGCCGACGGCTCGCTGTGCAGGGCCACCATGCCGTGGAGGAGATGGAGGAGGGATTTGCGGGCCGGGGTGGGCTGTGGCATCAGGCCGCGTAGGGGTTGGTCTGCGATATAGCCTTTCAGGGAGACGGCACAGCGGAGGATGAGGTATGGGGTGATGGACTGGGCGAGGGTGATGCGAGCGGCAGTTTGCGTGGTTTGGTTGTGGGTGTTTTGTGTCGGGGAGGATGCTAGTTCGAAGAGTGTGTCGATGAGCATGTATGCCATTTTTGTGCGCGTTGTTGGTGGGGGTTCGAAGGTCCTTCCGGGCCGGATTTCGTAGATGTCACTTAGGGGATCGTCCTGGAGGGATTTGGTAGGGAGATCGAAGCGTTGGGGGAGGTAGATAAAGGAGGAGAGCAATAGGGCGCTCGAGAAATCCCGACGGATGGAGTTTGGGATCACGGACGCCCCGAGTGATGGGATGATGAGCGTTTTGAGTCGCTCGAAAGCAGTCACGTCAAAGGACTCGTCGGCGAGGATGGTGGCTCGAGGAAGAGAGGCGGTTCGATAGCCCCGGGCAGTGACGATACCACTTGCAATGGTGATTGCCTGCTTCCAGAAACGCTGGATTTCCGGTTGATCTGGGTTGTCGTATTGTGTTTCCACATAGGGAATCGCAACTTGGAGAATGTTCAAAGCCGCCGTAGTGGATTTTCGCCAAAGGCTTGGTTCGCGATCCTTTCCTGACCACTCATATCTTTGGACGATTGGGTGCGCGAGATGCTCTAGAGCTGTCGCTAGGGCTCCGTTTGTGAATATGTCTTTCTTGATACCATGGTCGGCGATATACCAGCTGAGGAGATCTATCGCACTTTTGGAGAAAGCGAGATAGGTTGGTCTCTTCGAGTCACTCTCAGTGGACCATTTGGATAGCGGTGAATCCGCAAGATCGGCAAGACATAAGAGAATCTCTGGCTGTGAATTGTCCTTCTCGTTGCATAGTGTCCTCAAGCATTCGATAATCATTGTCTGCAGGCGAGATGGGCGGTCAATATCTGGCGAGTATGGAGGGCATATTGAGTTCCATGCAAGAAGGCGCAAATGTCCGAGGATGCTTTCGACACGTTCCCCCTCAAGATCGTCCTTGTATAGCCGATAGATCTGTTGAAACGATTCGAGGTACGCTATGGCCGCCTCTTGATTTGGACGGTCTAGGTCTAGTAGATCTTCACTGTCGGCTGGGTGTCCCTCTACCCATAACGACCATGTGGAATTCAGAGCCTGTTTGCTCAGCCCGGACGGTGTCTGCACACGAAGAAGGATGTTCGACAGACTCGAGTATACTCCTTCACTGAATTCTAAGAGACGCAAGTCGATCAATTTCCGGAAATAGCCGAGTAGGCGTTCCCAGGATTGATCGAATAAGTCGTCTTGGACAATTGGTTCAAAGAAAGTCGTGATAAGATCGGAAGCCCCCTTTATCATGACAACCGTAGTTTCGATCCACGCCTTGAGTTCATCCGGAGTGCGACTGCTGTCCTTAGCCCGTGCAAGCGTGAGCTCGGTTTCTATCTCCTCCACCATCCGAAATAGAACGCGGTTGAGACACAAGCGCCACGCCTTTGGCGAGAGTTGTTGGCCGTAGGCATCGAATATTCTTAAGAGAGTCTGGACCGCGCAGTTTCGAATCTCTGGCCTGCTATCCGTGGTGAGATCAACTATGCGAAGAAGCAGCAACAGCCACAGTGCGTTCCGTGAGACAGAAGGATCATCCCCCTTAGCTAATCCTGCAAGCGTGTCTTCAGTCACAGAGGAGTCAATATGTGTCTCAATGCAAAACTGCTCGATTTGTCCTTGAAGAAAGTCGGACACATTCCAGAAAGACGATGTGGTTGTCAGTGAGATATTGAAATCCTGCTGTTGCAAGGCAAACTTCGAAAAGGAGTCCACAAGATTCAACCGACAGGGCAGCGGAAGCAGGGAGATAAAGTCGGAAGCTATCAACTGCAGGGACTTATACGCCACCCGAACTAGTCGAGGCGAGTTCACTATTGACGACGGCTGACGCCCCTTTCTAGGTGCTTCCGTTCCCTTGGTCTCACCAAAGACGCTTGATATGAGATCGAAAACGATAGACCATCCCTCAGCAAATGTTTCAGCATATTGCTCAAGGATACTCTTCAAGGTTTCCAAACTCTGTTCATGTACTTCGGCCACGGGCGCTGAAGGTGACCCCGCTGAGCACGCACCTGCATCGTAGAGCAATTGAACTTGAAGCTTGAGTGTCTGAAGATTCCTCATCTGCCGCGCATTCCGCTCGGAGACATCGCCGCTATCCGTCTGCCTCAGTGTCTGGAAAACGACGCTATTTAGTACTTCATTGGCTCGTAGACGAAGCTTTTGAATGTTTGATCTGTCCGCTGCGCTCGACATTAATCTTCCTGTAAGAAGCTGCCAAGCGTCTTGATCACTTTCAGCTAGTGACGAGAACCGCTCGAGGTTTGCTCTGGCCAGCTCATTTGCTTTCTCGATTACAAACCTCAGTAGCTCATCCTGCGTCCTAGACTTTCCCATAGAGCGCGATACGCGGTGCGTGCTTTTGCGCAATAGACTGGAGCGAGATTGAGGCGAAAGGACGGTGTTCGACATATTCTCAGGCGACTCTTGTGTTGGCTCTTCTGCTGTTCCAGAGAGATCCAGGAGTGCAGTCAAGACCTCCTGGAATGAATCACTGGGATAGTCGCTAGTGCTCTCCAGCATTTTAGCCGAAGCTGTCTGGACAGCCAGGATTTCGGAACCGAGGTTAGCTTTGGGCACATCGGCACCAGAAGGCGATGAAATTTCCCCGGAACTGCTGGCTTGGGACTTAGTGGAGGCCATGCCAATCAGCAAGTCCGTGTCTTGAAGTGTTCCTAAGATTATTGACCAGGCCGGCTGGTCAAGAGTAGGACCTAGGGCTATGCCCAGATTAAGCAAAGCGCGCAAGCATAGGAGGTTCCGGGTACTGAGGGACACGAATGCAACGTCAGAAGGCGCACCGGGAGTCTCGGCTGGTAATGGAAAACCGGCAAGCGACGCCTGCGAGTTCTTCGACTTTTCATCTGCCGCTGGATTCGATTGAGAAGCAGTTGTTGTGGCCACCGCAATGCTCGCAGACCTCGTGCCACTTGCCTCTGCTGGCATGGCTGCCTTGCCAAGAGTTGTCAGAAAGGCGTCGCGCGGCGTAGACAACCTAAGAAGGCCCGCCACATGAGCCAGCTTCTGGAATGACCGGACGAGATTGTGGTAAAAATCATCGTCGAGAGATGCATAGAGAAATGTTGAGCAGGCGGCGAGTATGGCAGGCCAGCAGTTTTCAATTATACCAGCACAACTTTGGATTGCTGGTAGCTGAGGATGTGACTCTAGCTGGAGAGGATTGATCGGTATGGATGATTTCTTAGGACTCAACGTCTGAGACCCTTTGGAGGAATTCGTCCTCTGGAGATCCTGTGAGGGGCGCGCAGAGCCACCATCTGGATGAGGGCTGGCAATACGACTCCGCCTCTTTTGTTTCAAATCAGGTACTGTCAAAGGGAGGATGAATTTTGCGAGTCCTTCAGCAAAACTACTGATGCAGTTGAGTACAAGACTGTAAATATATGTATCGGGAGGAGAAGGAGGATCGGTCTTGTCAAGTAATTCCATGTAGGGCGTGCGAACCACGCTCCATTGACTGCTGATTCCCGGTACATCAGTGTCCGTTGAGGGAACGGTGGTTCCGATGACACCTGCAACTCCACCTGCCTCGAGCGTGATTTGCTCTTCAGTGATAGATCTCGCATGCTCGGCACGGAAAGGCACGGTTGATCGACTGCTGACCCCAATCAAAGAAGGCTTCTCGGAAGCCAGGCGAACAAGAGAGGCCATATGGTCTCGGAGGATATTCTTCCTGCGGTCATCCTTGTCGTACAAGGAATACATAAGCCTTACCAGACCCGGCTCGAGATACAGGCCCCGGAAGACTTCCATACAAAGCACTCGCTTCCAAGGTGAGTTCCCATCAGGCTCAAGTAGATGCGTCAAGAGCCCAAGGGCCATCTCACACTCTGCAGGTAGAAGAGACATATGGCGCTTGAGAAGTACTAAGAGAATGCGACAGACGCGAACAGTCTGAGAGAAGGTATGTCTTTCAGACAGATACCTTACAATCAATGGCATAAGTCGAACTCGCAAAACCTGAGTTAGCTCAGCATGAACAACGAAAAGTTTCCCACTGTTGACCAGAATGCTTTCGATAAGCTCCAGAGTGAATGTTGAAGAGAGGGATTTGATTCGAAGAAAGTACAGAGGTTCACCATCGATAAGTCGACAGAGATCGTCCAAAACCTTCAAGTGTATTAATGGTATATTCATAGTAGCTCTAGAAGGGAGCTTACCCGTAAAGCATCGTATGCAAAAGAGCCTACGCTGACGGGGTTCCCGTCGACTTTCACAGTGGTCGTTGGCGTCGATTTATCGAAGTTTTCTGCACAAAGATTAGAAAGGAGTTGCAACAAAAGCAATAGGAGTACGGTCACTAACTGTCTTCAATTGAAACACGCTCAAATGTTGACACGACCAGTTGTTGCAACGTGGCTGCGGCGGTACTAGAGACCGCAAGCATCTTATTCCCTTGTAGAGTAGCACAGATCTCCAACGTGCTCACCAAGAGGTCTCCTCCCAGGTCATTGGAATAGTGCTGCAGCAGAGAAGGCAGCGATTGCAAGATCTTGAGTTGGATGTCCAGGCCTTCGCACCGTTAGTAAGGATCATAGGGCTTCAGTCACTGACTTACTCATGTTCGTCGTCTCCTTCAACCCAGCAAGAACATCTTTCAATCGCTCAGATGGTAGCGACCGTGAAGCCACTAGCCTTTGCAGGCATACGACACCGATGCCTGCCAGTTTCGCATGGCGACTATGGCAGGCAAGAATGAATGGGTTCGCGAATTTAGGTTTACGCACTAGATCTTTGGAGCCCTCAGCATACACACACCTTTAATGTCACAAGCATGTGGGTCACAAAAGCTCACCTGCTGATATCTGCGCTTCGGAAGTTGAAGGCAATGCCTTTAATTCATTAAGGGATTCTTCAGCCGCCTACAACCTAGTCAGCACGGGCATTCGGGCATCCCTTTTAGCACAGCGAGTAAACATACATTTCGCAGGTCAGAGTTCCTCCTTTTGGATTCCTGAATCAGGTTCAAGAGCTCCGCCTGCAGAAATTGGGAGGACATTTCTACCGGAGACTTGGATCAGAACATAGCCGAAGCCACTCGCTATCAATCAAATAGTAACACTAGGCAGATGTGGCTTCATGTGGTTGGGTCACTGGCTGGAGCAACGGAGTACAAAGCTAGGCACCTGGAGCTCGGCGATATTAGTACCATATGTTTCATTTAACAGTTTGTATCAATTTGAGCTTATAACAGCCATGCAAATCAATGACCGGCTCAAATTAAACAACCCTGAAGCATGGCATCAGGAGTGACCTCTTGAGGAGCGCCAAGGCACCCGCGGAGATAGAGCTGTCACGTGAACGTAGACGGCCGTTATCATCACGTGTGGGGTATCCTTCAGGAATCCGGCGGGACCAGATACGCAAGCCTCCGATTGCTGGAGGTGGGACAAGGTCACAGTGCCCCTCCTCCGCCCGAGGATCAAAACCCCTCCCCACAACTTCCCTTCTGACTTGACTTGGATTTCAATCGAGCTGGTTTGCTTATTTCCACAATGGCGGCTAAAGTACCCAGGAATTTCAGATTGCTCGAAGAGCTCGAGAAGGGTGAAAAGGGCTTGGGAGCAGGTGAGTGCTATCCTGCTTACAGATGCAGAATAGCATCTTGCTAACGTTTCTTCCTGTGTAACAGAGTCCTGCTCTTACGGCTTGGCAGATGGAGAAGATATGATGATGAGCAACTGGAATGGAACTATACTGGGACCTCCTCATGTTTGTCCAACGCTACCTAACTCGACCTGGATATGCAGAACAACGGCATCACTAATTTGATAAATGAGCGCAGAGTGTCCACGAAAACAGAATATACAGTGTCAATATCCACTGTGGCCCGGACTATCCCGACAACCCTCCCACCATCCAATTCGTTTCCCGAGTTAACCTGCCATGCGTTGATGCCCGAACTGGAAAGGTAAGGATTCCGCTATATTCCGGTTGCGACCAAGTGAAAGCTCAAGTTGCCGACACCGTCCCAGGTCGATCCCACCAAGCTACCCTGCCTGGCTCAGTGGAAGCGCGACTACACCATGGAGACTATCCTAGTCGAGCTCAGAAGGTACGCGATGCTCTAATCCTTCAACAATGGAAGCCAGTACGCTCAAGGTTTCCAGATATATGGCCCTGCCCCAGCACAAGAAGCTTCCGCAGCCTCCGGAAGGCTCGAACTTCTAGAACGACGGCACCATGAATTGTTCGAGAATTGAAACAGTATAATGGTTTGTTTCTGGGTCATATTCATCTGCATCTTTTTCGTTGGCTTATTAGAGCGTGTACAGTCTATGCATATCGGGCGGATATTGGCGCGGTTCCGTTTGAAGCCTAGTTACAATTCATCGGTTTAGAACGTTGCACAGTATGATCTTCATGTCCTCTCATCGCAGGTTATACTTGCTAAAACAACTTGACCCTAACTTTTTAGTGGGCTATCAGTTGTCCTTGTGAGCGTGCTCGAAAAGCACCGATACCGAAACTTAAGGCTGACCATGACCAACAAACACAATTATATCCCAAAGCGTATCTTTCTTGCATGTTCTAGATTATATAGTAAAAAGAGATGACGCCAGTTGCGCGATTCCGCCCAAGTTGGTATGGTTGATCCAGTAATGCAGCCTTTATCAAGGCCAAGCCCCGAAGATGTTGAACTCAACTCTAGACCCAGGATGCGCAACCGCGCCCTCGTGTCACACGTGACATCATTCGGGAGTCGGAGTAGTCACATGGCTCCGATAAAAGTCCAGGAAATTTATCTTGCCGACAATGTTATCTTCTCCATAATGCACAAAATAGTTGTACCCAAGTACTCTTCTGCTCACCGCTTTGCCAGTTAGTTTTCGTCAGACCGGTGTTCAAATCTAGAATCAAATATGGAAAATAACTAACAACTCATACTCCTGGCAGCTAAAGCACTCTACCGAGCGCTTCTCCGGCAATGCGCCAAACTACCAGATGCTCCAACGGAGCTTAATGCGTGCAAATCGCATATACAACATAGATTCAAGAGATACAAAGGGCTCCAAAGCCCATCCCAAACCGCAAATTCCCTGAAAGCAGGCTATGAGGTGCGTTGGAACTCGGCTCAGCGCCAATCCATCTAGGATCTAAACCTAGCGGTTTTCGCAAACACAGGCCCTCGATCTATTATACTCAGCGTCGCAAGGAAATAAAGATGGCATTCACCGGATACAAACCATAATATGCGAGCATCGATTGGCAAAGCAACAAAAAGCCGAATGGCTGAAGGCACTAGCGGAGGCGAGGGGATTTAAGATTCCGAGTAAGAAGGAAGTGAAGAAACTAGAGAATAAGCGATACCGGGATATGACTGTCAGACGACATCCGGATGCTGAGTCCGTTCTTTCACGCCCTCGACAAGTTGTCGTTGGGAAGCGCCGAATTCCTAAACTCGTGAATGCGCGTGGTTTCCCGTTCCTGCTCTACAAGAAGCCACAGCCGAAATTTCTCAGTGCTGTGTTAAATTCGAAGCTCAACAGGCGCTGGAAGAGGATGGAGCGACTAAAGAGGCTGGAACTCGAGTTGCCATTTGCTAAGGACGAGGATGCATGGGACGCATTGACCGGCCACGAGGAAGAAGTTACATGGGCTGAAGCGGTCAAGGTTTCTCTGAAGGAGGTACGAGAAAAGATAGCAGAGGGTGATAGGAAGACCAAAGAACTTGCGGAAGCCATGTGGAATGTCGTCCTCGAAGAGCGCAAACTGGCCGAAAAAGAGGAGAAGGAACGGGCCGAACTTATGAAGAAGGCAGAAAGTGGCGAGGTATATGATTTCTTAATCTTATAAGCCATTCAATGATCAAGTATGCAGCTGGCTATCAAGCGAAACTACTCAGCTCGAGCTCAGCTTGGCCAACTTGATTCATGTTTGATGACCGAACTAAACACATGTACATTATTATGATCGAATCATAGAAACCAATGAGTCGTGGCTTGGTCTTATCACGAAGGGGGCTTGATTCTGCTAGGAATCTCATCTAAAGACACCAGGCTTCTAAGCAGCTATCTTCATCTTCTCCACAGCAGCCGGCATACCATCCTCTTCATCCTCATCAAAGTCTGCCCTTCCAGCAAGTCCTCTCTCCCACAGCTGCTTGCCCGTAAGCTTCTTCTCTTCCTTGCCCGGGGCCTTCTTATTTGCCTTCTTCTCCTCCGCCTCTTTCTCTTCGCGCTTCCTTTTCTCTTCCTCCTCCATCTCTTTCATAAACTTGTCCCGCCACTCCAAGAACGTCTCCCGGTTAACAGCCGTACCTTGGAACTTCCGATTCTCTTCCTCCTCCCTCTTCGCAGCCTCCAGCTCTTTTTCAGCGTGAACGGCATTTACGCGCTCTGACATAAGAAGTTCGGCACTCTCCTTCAACGCACTAACCAATGTGAATACCATCGCCATACCCAGATTCTCTTCGATAGTCGGTTGCAGAGTCTCGAGAAGCTGGTCGCGATCCTCCTGGATATCTAGTCGGGGGTGTTTCGGTGCGTTCGGAGGCGCAGTTAACTCTAGTTCGGGGGCGACATCGGGATAATCTTCCGGGTATGTGACTTGCAGAATCAGGACGGGCTGCTCTGCTTCTTCGACGTCATTTTCGGGTGCTTCCAGAGCAATTGATATCCGGTATGAGGTGTCAGAAATATCTAGGTACGTTCATCAGTGGGCTGTGGTTCAAATAGCATCGTCTAATGCAGCCGGAAGACTATGGCGATGGGACTCACCTGTGATCTCTTCGGGAAAAATAGAGTCGAGCACTTCGCGCTCTTCGATCTGGTCTTCGCGGCCCATACTGCTTCAATTCTGCCGCCGGCGGGGCTGGAGGGGTATTCTTGGTTCTAAGATGATGGGGACAAAAGAGTGACTGAAATTCAAGCTCCAAACACTTGAATCTCGTTGTATGGTGTATCACAGGACAGACCGGAAAAGCGGTCCTTTGCCGTGCGGTCTATATGTTGGAGGGCTCGTGCTTGGGGAAATGAAATCGGTCGTAGGTGGGTAAGTAGAATACCGACGCCGCGATCCCACATGCAAACGGGACAAACAGATAAGGAAGCGCCCAAATTTGTCCCGCCCGAAAAAGGGAATTTCCATGCTCCGCCTTCTCGAAATCTAAAGCTCCAAGTTTTGTACTTGTTTTCTGATTGATAAAATCTTTTCTTTCTCTTACTTCTGTGTCTTTGATTAGCGTTTCAAATCCATCTGGTATATAATTTTGCTACAGCCGATAGACCATGGGAAAGTCAAGACCTCAGAATAAGAAGGCTTCCAAATCTCGCGCAAAGTCCGTTCTCAGCGCCGGCGGCTCGGTTTCGAAACAGAAGATGAACGAAGACCCGACTAAGCTCCTCGAGCAGGCGGCGACACAGCTTCAGACCGGTCAACCAGATGCTGCGCTGGAATTGGCTCAGCAAGCCCTCAACAATGCACCGGCCAATTCTCCATCTCAATTAGTGGCACTGAATACGGTTGGCGAAATCTACGTTGAGCTGGGCAACATCGACGCGGCCAAAAAACACTTCTTGCACGCAGTCGAGCTTGACCCGAATGGCACGATACCCGAGTCTCAGGGAGGAGGCGCTGAGAAGTTCCTGTGGCTTGCTCAATTGAGTGAACTGGGTGGAAAGGACAGCGTTCAGTGGTTCGAGAAGGGCGTCTCTTCTCTCAGACATACCATCCAACAGCTGGAACAGAACCCCGGGCCTGAGGAGGCACTTGAGTTGGTGGAGAAGAAGGGCAAGATGGCAAATGCCCTTTGCGGAGTTGCTGAGATCTACATGACCGATCTCTCGTAAGTTGGGAGCTATGCTCCTCCGCTTGGGACGGCTGGCTAACAATTCATAGGTGGGAAGAAGATGCAGAAAACCGTTGCGAGTCCCTTATCACGGAAGCCCTTCTTGTTGCTCCGAATGCGCCCGAAGTCCTACAAACCCTCGCATCGATCCGGATTTCGCAGCTACGAACAGAGGAGGCCCAAGCAGCACTTAGACGGAGTCTCGAGCTTTGGAAAGACCTGCCGCCGGAGGACTTGAGTATCCCCGACTTCGCGACAAGAATCAGCCTTTCCCGTCTTCTCATGGAGGTCGGCATGGAACTTGAAGCCCTGGAGGTGCTGGAACGCCTCATCTTGGAAGACGACCAGAGTGTGGAGGCATGGTATCTTGGAGGATGGTGTCTGCAGCTTCTGGCTGTCAAGCAACAAGCACCCAAAGACGCCGAAGAAGAAGAAGGTGACAACACCCCGGAGGCCAGGCGGCAGGCATCGCTCGTGGCTAGCCGTGAGTGGCTCAAGCAAAGCTTGACCCTGTACGACCTGATTCAGTATGAAGATGAGAGGCTCAAGGAGCACGCATTGGAACTGGTCCAAGAAATGAACAAAGAGATAGGCGAGGAGATGGATGATGAGGCCGAGGAGGGTGAGGACGGTGATTGGGAGGACGAGGACATTGAGGTGGAATCCGATAGCGATCACGAGATGGCTGACTCATAAAAGTTGGATGTTCTGTTGTTACGAAACTTCTTTTGTCATGATACCAATATAAAAGGGCATATCTTCCAGTCTAACCTACGCCAGTCCAAGGGAGCCTTCCGCAGTAGCGAACTGACTAGTTGCGATAGTCACTTCCATCAGCAGACGGCGTCGGATAAAGTAGGATCCGACCGCTTTCCCCCCGGAGATAACCAGAGCCAAATTTATTCCGGCAATTCGACTTCGCGTGGCAAACAGCTCAATGTGAGTAAGGAGTCGTTCTAGGTTGCTGGAAGTGTCCCATCTTCCATTACAGGATGGACCTCGTTTCAGCCCCCAGCGGGGAGAGCTCCTCGTTGAAGAATCCGGTGCTCGAGGTGGCCTCCGCGGATGTATCAAAGGCCGGCACCGCAACGGAGAACATCGCCGCTGCAAAGGGAGAAGTCTCCCAGTCTGAGTATGAGACCGACAGCGACGGCTCGGGCGACGAGTGGGAGACTCAGTCTCTGTACGAAGATGCCATTCAAGTCCTGCGCGACGAGCAGCTTCGGGAGGGTGGTAAGCACTCTATATGATGTCTTGACTATGCGCGCACTGACCGTGCCCTGTTCTAGTCCCTGATGCATGCACTTTGGATGAAGCCGTCGCTTATCGGAAACGACTCCATGAGATTGGCAAGGCCGCATTTGTCGAAGAAACGCTGGGTCAAGATACAGTGACGGCGAAGAAGTTGTGTACTGCGTTCGGGATCTTGCCTCCTGCCTTCCTCGACGATGCGCCGGACGAGGCCTTTCACCCGTTACTGGCTATTGCGATTTCGCGCGAATTCTCCAGGCGACCCAAACTTCCTCAGTATAATACTATCGATGATGCGGTCAGGTTGCTCAAGGAGTGCAAGAACATTGTCGTTTTGACGGGTGCCGGTGTATGTCAACCAGGGTTCCGTGCCCCTATTAGAGGCATACATATGCTGACTGATTGAATTAGATCTCTACCAGCCTTGGGATCCCCGATTTTCGGTCAAAGGACACTGGTCTCTACTCCCAGTTGGCGCATTTGGGTCTCAGCGATCCCCAGGAGGTCTTTGACATTCAGGTGTTCCGCGAGGATCCAAGCATCTTCTTCTCCATCGCAAAGGATATATTGCCCACCGAGAAGAAGTTCTCCCCAACTCATGCCTTTATCCGACTACTACAAGATAAGGGCAAATTGTTGACCAACTACACCCAGAATATCGACAACATCGAAGCCAATGCTGGGGTGCTACCGGAGAACATCGTGCAATGCCATGGCTCATTTGCCACGGCTACATGTGTCAAGTGTCAGCGTAAGGTTATGGGTGATGAAATATTCGATGAGATCAAGAAGGGGGTCATCCCTCAGTGTACTTCTTGCCCGACAATCTTTGCGGAAGATTCAGGGGTCAAACGGAAGCGTAACAGCAACGGCGTCCACCGGAGCCGAAAGGACAATGATGGGGACAGCTCCGATGATGACTACGAAATTCCTACTGCTGGAGTCATGAAGGTTAGTTGAAATCCATGCCTTATACATCTCTGTTACTCTCTGCATGTGCTGATATGAATTGTCTCTAGCCTGACATTACCTTCTTCGGGGAAGACCTTCCCGATGAATTCGGCCATCGGCTGCTACACCATGACCGTGACCGGGTAGACTTGGTCATTGTCATTGGCACTTCGTTGAAGGTCGCCCCTGTAGCGGAAGTTCCAGGCGTATTGCCTCGCACCGTCCCTCAGCTATATATCTCCCGTACTGTAAGTGATTATTTGCAAATGTTCTCATGTGCTCCACTGACAATCATTCAGCCCGTATCGCATACGGAGTTCGATATCGATCTTCTGGGCGACTGCGACGTCGTTGTGTCTGAGCTCTGTCGCCGGGCCGGATGGGAACTGAAGCATGAAATGATTCCAGCGGATGAGAAGGTCGAAGTGCTTCCAGTGGAGGGTTACGAGTCACGACATGTGTTTAAGGTTGTCGGCGCATAGCGGCGGCGTTTAGTCGAGGCCATCTCTGGTCAGTCGATTTCAGGGACGGCGTAACTGTGGGTTTTCTTGGATGGTTTGTGCGGATTTTTGCTTGGAGGTGTGTAAGACGGACGATTCATCGGATACATAGCTGTCAGGGCTTGTATGGATATTGTTTCAGTGTATTTATGTTTACTCGCGTAGCAGCAGCCTGCTCATAAACTGTTATTAATATGATTCTCGCAATGCCCTTGATTCTTGATGTATAACATCTTAAAACACCCTGTGCTGTGCCTGAGATGAGGGTGGTTGTATGACCGTAAGGGCAGAGATGGCGGGTTCCCGATCAACCATCCAATCCACTGGAACAGCAGGAAAAATCATTTCCGTTCCAGCCAACGGCCAGTGAGCACCCAGCACCCCGAGGAAACCAGACGAGATCCTCTCGAAGCCAATCTCCCTTTGTACCAAAACTCCCCTAGCATTGATCCGTCCATAAAATAAGTGGCGAGGGAGACCGCAGCCCACGATGGAGTATTTGATTCGCTTCGCCCAGGCCCACGAGTCTTTTCGGCAGCCCGAAATCCAGGCGCTGGCTGACCTGGCGGGCGTGGAGGTGGAATTTCTATACTACGATAAGACTGTACGTATTTTACTTTACTCTCAAATTCTGCTTGCTTTGATATAACATCCTCATGCTTTGTGGGATTCTACCCCGCGAAAGAAACGGGTACTGATCCAATGTGGTTGATCATTGTCCCTCCCCGCACCAATAAATATCCCAGTCCCTAATATGCTATATGCACATCACTAACGAACCACCACAGTCCCCATTCTGCATCGTCAGACTACCCGATGAAGCAGCAGCTCGCGCGGTAATCAGCCGCAGCATCATCGCCAAGGATATTTTCGAACTCTGGGGCCAAGGCATCAACTTCGAAGAAGTCTACGCCGACGTCCGCAGGCGGACAGAGGATCGCTGGGCCCAGTACAAGGAGTCATCGTTCCGCTTCGTCATTGACAGTTTCGCAGGCAAACGCAGCAATGAACAGAAGCGTCAGATCATCCAGTCCTTCTCGTTCTTGGGATTCCAGGGCGCTATTCGGATGAAGAACCCCGACCAGGATTTCTGGGTCTTTGAGGATTATGGATTGGATATGTCTTCTCCGGGGACGCCTCGGCCTCATGGGGAGGAACCGAAGGTGATTTACTTTGGACGCTGGATTGCGAATAGCAGTCGGGATGTCGTCAATAAGTATGATCTTAAGAAGCGGCGGTATATTAGCACTACGTCTATGGATGCGGAGTTGACGCTCATTACGGCGAATATGGCGCATGCGGGCCCGGGAAAGCTCTTTTATGATCCGTTTGTTGGGACGGGGAGTTTCCTGGTGGCGATGTCGCATTTCGGGGCGGAGACGTTTGGGTCGGATATCGATGGACGGAGTTTCCGTGGGAAGGAGATGATGGAGAGAGGTGGGACTATGGGTGTGTTGTCGAATTTTCAGCAGTATGGGATGGTGGGCAGGTTCATGGATGTGTTTACGTCTGATCTTACCAATACGCCTCTGCGCTCATATCAGTTCCTGGATGGCATCGTCTGTGATCCGCCTTATGGTGTCCGTGAGGGACTCAGAGTTCTTGGGAGGCGTGAGGGTCTGAAGAGCGAGGAGGTTATTATCGATGGAAAGCCGGCTCATTAGTATGATTGCTTGACGTATCCCTCGGGAACACAGCTAACATGCGTTCAGCCAACCCGGATACGTTGCACCTAAGAAGCCCTACGGCTTCGAAGCCATGCTCAATGATATCTTGGACTTTGCCGTTCGATCATTGGTGACTAACGGACGATTGGCGATGTGGATGCCTACTTCAAACGACGAGATCGAGCTCCCAGTCCCGATGCACTCGAACCTAGAGGTTCTCAACATCTCCGTTCAACCGTTCTACAGCTGTACGTATTCATTAGTTTCCCTGACACGAGATATGAGAATCTGACTGACGTCTCCCAGGGTCCCGACGACTCATCACCTACCGAAGACTGCCAGAAGGACAAGTCTCGGATGTTTCGCAGGGTCGGCAAGTGACGGACGCTGAAGGAGTCTACGCAGATCAACTGAATGCATTTAGGAGAAAGGTATCTCCCCTCCCTTTTCAGCGTTATAACCAAAACTAACATAACGCTAGTATTTCACAAAGAACCAGCGCGACACGGACTCAAAGTCCGGAACAGAAAGTCCTGCCTCATGACGAATCTAAACCCTTAACTAGAATCAACAAAAGCAATGAAACATACCTCCACCCAAAGCATCATACAGCCCATGCAAGTAACTCACCATCTATACACCACACCATCAAAGCTTCCCCATCACCACCCCAAACTCCCCCTCCAAATCGACCCCCTCCTCCCTCTTGACCCGCTGAACCTCCCTCGCCAACTCCTCCCTCAACAACCTCGCAAGGACCTCCCCCTCCTCATCATTCAAATCCTCCCTCTGCCCCCGCCCAAACATAACATAACTCATACGTGTCTTCCCCGGCCCGGTAGCCGCCGGCCGATCAGGCGGTCTGGGAATAATATGGAAATGAACATGCGGGACCTGCTGTGCCGCTCTGACGCCTTCATCCCATCAGTACATATCCCAGAAGGTAGCCAGATACCCATCCAGGCACGTAACTCCTCATTCCACATTAAGACATGTTATAAGAGCATCCATTATAGCTCCATGTTATGTTGATAAGAGGGGAGAGAAGTGGGAGGGAGGAAGAAGAAGAAGAAGAAGAAGAAGAAGAAGACAGACATACCGTTATTCTGGACCACATTCCAGCACCAATCCTCCCTCTCTTCATCCCCGTCCCCAAAGAGGACCTTCATCACGACCCGAGAGATGATAGGGAGCCAGTTCCCGATCTATTCTCATACTAGATTAGCCATAGCCCATCGCCCATAATCCAATTCAAACATAGTTGGCCCCCCAAAACAACAACCAAACCCAATCTAAACAGATAGACGTTACATAGGCAACACAGATCCCATCCACCAAACCAAAGCTAAGAACCCAAAACTAACCGCTCTAACTCTACCAATTATAAGATCATCGACTGAGTGAAAAACAAACATACCTCCCGCCCCCCCCTCACCCCCAAATCCCCCACCTTCTCAAAATGCCCCCTCGGAACAACCAACACATGCCCCCTCGTCAAAGGCATAATATCCAAGAAAGCGAGAACATGTTGCGTGGAAAGGATGAGATGGGCTTGTTGTCCTTCCCCATTACCTAGTGTAGTAGGAGGTGTAGCAATCGGCGGAACTATATTTAGATCGTGACTAGTATCATTGTTATGGGTGTTTGAGGAATTCTGCAGAGGGAGGAATGTCGTTGGGGGGTATGGGGGGTATGTGTGGGCGATGGTGCAGAAGGGGCAGGTGGTTGTTGGTGTTGTTGTTGTCATGGTTTGGGGAGATAGATAGAGGTGGGTGGTTGGTTGGTGGGTAGTGGCGTTGTAAAATACTAATGGATGAAGGTTAAGTGGTGGCTGAGAGGGATGTTGGGTATTGGGTCTCAGTGATAAGGTTCGTTCTTGGGAGCAACGCAACGGTGCAGAAATATGCGGCGCTCTTAGAAACCCTGAGGGAATCGATCGTCGCAAGGAGTATCAGGGGTATCACAGATAGGAATTCGCGATTTGGTTGCCGTGCAGAATGGCCGCAAGGCATGGATGGAGGAACAAATGGTTGTGATCCGAGGTGCCTCGGTTCCCAGCAAACGGCCGGCCAGACCATCAGGACATCTCCCGGTTGAACTCACCTGCGCATAGGGCACGTATATTGAATGATGGGCATTGGTATGATGAAAATTATGGAAGAGAATTCTGGCAGTTAAGGCTCAATTAAGCGTCTTAAACGCACATTACTGACTGCATCCCTCCCCATCCGAAGCCCCCGCTAACTCAACATCCACGACTAATACCAAAAAGTCTTTTTCTCTTCCCTCACTCCTGGGCCTTCCCCGATGCGTTTGTCGTCAGAGACCAGCTGTATGGCATTATGTATCCCGCATGCCTTTGACCAATATAATGTTGTAGCAAATAGATCGTCCCGGTCCCGTGGGAGCTGCGTGAAAGAGACCGAGTGTAGCCGACGCCGAACAAGAAATTTAAATCCAAAAGTGAAAGAAGCGAGTAAATTTCCGTCCTTGGAGTTGCCCGACGCCTGGAACACACACAGGGTAAGACGGGAGAAGGGTTATGTAAGGTATCAGAGCCAGTGCGAAACAACCCAAGCACTACCAAAAATGAAGAAATAGAACAGAACCAGATGTGCGCCGGACACCCCTGGAAGAAACGAAGATGCAAACGTCCGCAACCGAAACAGAAAAATGCCGTTCATAAACATATGCAAGAGGTGCCTAATACCATCACGAATGAAATACCATCATATGGAATCAACAAACTCCTATCCTCGGTCGTTCTGCCAGACGCCGATATTAAGTCACCAGGAAGCCGCGTGTCATTTATTCCGAGTCTTTGATGTAAGTGTACGGCTCTGTCACCGAGCTGTTGATGTACAAGTGGTGGTATTTCTTCGCCCATTGCCGGGTAAGGATGGATGCTGGTCACATGTTAGTACCCCGTGGCTCAAGTCAAGGCTAGACATGACATACCCTTTAGGAACTTCTTGCTGGCGTATTTCTTGAAGAATGCCTCATGGCAGACAGGGCGGTGGAGATAATCGATCATCAGGCGGAAGACAGGGTCGATCTCCTCTTCCTCATATCCGGCGTAGTGCGCCAGGGTGGCATCCTATCAAGACGGTTAGTCAAGAAAGGAAACGATGACACTAAGACTTACCCAGGCGCCCCGGTCAAGAATGAGTCGAGCCAGATACATAGCGGCAGCAGCGACGTGACTTTGACGGAAGCCCATAAACCGGTGATCCAGAAGGCTGATCTCCATGAGATACTTGCCAAGAGTACGGGTCTGAATATCGTAGTTGTCCGCTTTTGAGATCCGACGGAGGAAGTTCATGGGGTTGGGATAGCTCATGTTGTACTCAAGGGTAGCAAGAATGTGACGCTCGGCATCCAGGATCTCCCGGTCAGTGAAGGTTTCGTCTGCGACATGGCTGAAGTTGGCAACGTGCGGCGAAAGAACCTCCTCGTATTTGGATGCGATGAACATGGCGGCGACACCAACCAACTGCAGGCGGTCCAAAGCGACCACTTCAGCGGACAGGAAGCGGTCGATGATGTTGACGGCAAGGAAGAGCGTCTCGGGAAGGAGGCGGAAGCGAGTGTGGACTTCAATGAGCCAGTCGACAAGGATACCGCGCATCTTCCACTCCAGGTCAGGTTGATGTTCGATGTACTCTGCATTGGGCAAGGTCTCCAGCTCAAGATCTTTCAGGTATTCGAAGATGTCGACAACATATTCAGCTGCCATCAAGGGATCGTCAAGATCTTCGGCATCCAGGTCGTCGACATATTCGTCAGCGGGCTTTTGCAGAACCTTGGGATCAACCGGAACATTAACATCCTCCTTCGCGTTGGCGAGCTTCTCAGTGACGGTCTTCTTTTCGGGGACCTTCTTCTCGATGTCAACCTTTTTCCGTGGCCGTTCCTCCTCTAGTGCCTTCTCCTGGATCGCCTTTTCGCTAGATGTCCGCTTGGTGCCCGATCCACTTCCCGGGCGCTTTGTTTCCGTGGTCGGCTTCTTTGGGTTGCTGTCCTTAGGTCCAAGGGCGGAGCGTGATGAGTTGTTGCGAGTGAGCTTTTGAACCCCACCAGCCTGCAATGTCGCCTTCGATGTCAAGCCAACCTTTGTCGCAGCAGGCTTCTTGGCTTCCTTGGCCTCCCCGTTCTCGGTCTTAGAAACATTGCTGACATCTCCAAGGGCGGCACGTCTTCTCTGAGGACCGGCAGTAGTGGTGGTGGTGGCGGCCTTCTTCGTCTGGAGCGGCTTCTTAGCGGCGGGAGCCGGGGCGTCACCCGCTGACAGGGCAGCGGCCTTGGCCCGTGTCAGACGCGTCGAGGGCCCGTTTTCATCGTTCTCGTTCATCGTGCCTCTCGTACGCAGACTCCGAGCCTGTTGGGTAGTTAGCTACCGCGCGTACCAGATGAAGCTCTAGGCCCATCGAGTTCGCGTTCGAGTCAAGATAGGACGCGTAGTGAGGTGAGGAACTTACAGGTGGCATTGTGAGAGGAGGGGGAGAAAGTAGAAAGGATATTCAGAAGGGTACAGGAGAAGATAAGAGTTGCGGGCAAGACTATGGTTCTGCAGGCAGTTGGAGTCTAGTCAGCATTCCAGGAGTGATTACCCCAGTGGAGCTCAAATACCTTCGACGGGAAGGTAGATTTGCACGTACCACGCGTGAATATGTGTCCAACCCCAATCAATCAGAGAAAATGCAGGGTTGCTGAAGCCGAATAGTCTGGTGCTTGGAAGGAATTCGGCAAGTGTTGTCTTAGAATCGTGGCATATGACTTTGTTGACGCTATTGACAGGAGCTCCCAAGTCTCGAGTCACGTAACTTTTCGCGGCGGGAATGGTCCAACGGTATGGTTAAAGGAAGATATAGCAGGGTAAGATGGTTGCTTATGGACAATGACGCGAGAATTAGGCGGAAAAACCGGGGTCTGGTCGGGGTGGTGGTCGCCTCCCTGGAGTAGATGATGATGGAGAGGAGTAGGAAAAGGTGGTAAACTTGACAGGGCAAAGGCGATGTTTGGCCCTAGTCTTAGCGTGGAAACTGGCCAGGCTGGGAAAGATGCCCCACAGCACAACCCAGTTGGATCGCGTGGATTGCGGATTATTAACTGCTGTACAACGTCGTGTATATGCAAAGCCTGTGGACAATAATCACGGTTCCAGGTGATATTATGGTATGTACGGTGAAGGCCAATTGAGGGATATTAGGAAAAGTGGAGGAGGGAAGGAAGAGTGACAGACGGGAAGACACGGCAGCCAAGGGGGGGGAAGGAGAGCATTAAAAGAAGCAGGTCTATGGCTCTGTATATGTACGTGTATGCGTATGTATGACGGACGTGACTCCCCTCGCAGAGCTTCTCGGGGGAGGGAGGTGGATTGGGGGAGGAAAGGGTGCAGCCCGGATGGTATTGGTACAGTCACATTAGTCCCTCATGGAAGAGGTCGGATCGTCATCCATGGTCGATGCCTGAGCGGACCCAGGCAGGAAGACACCTCAAAACGCCCGTCGCGATCGAAACGTGATGTAGCGCGGCTACGTTGGCCAAAACAACAGCCTGTTGCGCGGCAACCGCTCGGGGCTTTTCTTTACACTTTCCCGTACCGTCTGGACGTGTTGCCGTGTCGCGCCATCTCGTGACCTCATGACTGTGCCACACTTAGTCATTCCCATCGCGGCGGTGCAGCCAAGTCATGTGCCATGGCGGTAAGCCACACCTCCAAACCATGCCAGACATTTTCGCTCCGGAGAACGAGTGGAAGTGCTACGATCGTCGCTGGTGCCTCAACAACACTCCAATTGAGCAGGTTGTTGCGGTTCGTGGTGTCAGGGACGCCTATTTTGCCCATTCTTTGTTTTGGTCTTTGTTCTTAAGCATGTTCGAGCAGTAGCTTGCTACATTGTATACTATTTTGCGGCATCGGTTTGACATCTCCGATCACGCTTGATTGACCTCAGTTCCTCCCGACTCCCCCATACCTTTCCCCGCTCAATATGCTTCAGCCTCGGATGGCCCTGACGGGCCTTCGGCTCCCTTTCAGATGCTTGTCTTCGATTGTCCCAACTCGGGCGTATTCGACTGTGATCCGCGAACAAGAGAAGCCGTCCGCCGACGAGCCTGCGACTTCGACATTCGACCCGAGTATCGCCTTCGCTCCTCCGCCCACTCGTGATGATGCGGGTATTCTCCTACGTTCCTACACGCCACGAACCCCCGGTATCAGACATTTGCGCAGACCGGTCAATGACCACTTGTGGAAAGGACGTCCGGTGCAAAAGTTGACGTTCCCTAAACGGGGTCAAAGCAAGGGTGGCCGAAACAACACTGGTAAAGTGACCGTCCGTCATCATGGTGGTGGTCACAAGCGCCGTATAAGAATGGTTGATTTTGCCCGTGCCGCTCCCGGGCCGCACCTGGTGGAACGCATTGAATATGACCCTGGTCGGAGCGCTCACATTGCCCTTGTCCGTAGCCAGGAGACTCAGAAGGTGAGCTATATCCTGGCCGCGGAGGGCATGCGCGCTGGTGATGTCGTTCACAGCTTCATGTCTGGTATCCCCGAAGAACTCTGGAAGAGCATGGGAGGTACTGTTGACCCTGGTGTTCTCGCTGCCAGAACTGCGTGGAGAGGAAATTGCTTGCCGTTGCACATGATGCCTGTCGGTACTCTGGTTTACAACGTTGGTCTACGTCCGGGCGAGGGAGGTCAGATCTGCCGTAGCGCTGGTACTTTTGCAACGGTCCTCGCCAAAGGTATCGACATCAAGGCCAAGCGTGAATATAATGATGGGGAGGAGGGAGTAGAGCAGAAGCCTCTGACACAACGTGAGAAGCAAAGAAAGGAGCGCATCTCCCAACATGTGACCCTCCGTCTGCAGAGTGGTGAACTTCGATACATTCACAAGGACTGCTGCGCTACTGTTGGTGTTGCTAGTAACCCCAACCACCAATACCGCCAGCTTGGAAAGGCTGGACGTTCCCGCTGGCTGAACATTCGGCCCACAGTTCGTGGTCTTGCCATGAACGCTGCCGAGCATCCTCACGGTGGTGGTCGAGGAAAGTCGAAGGGTAATGTTGACCCGAAGAGTCCTTGGGGTTTGCCGGTATGTATTCAAGCCTCGTTACTATCCTTCCTACTAGACCTCAATGCTAATGTATTCTGCGCACAGGCGAAATCTGGCTACAAGACCCGTCCCAAGTGGAAGATCAACAAGGCTGTGGTTACCCCAAGAGAGCGCAACCAGGGCAAGCGTCGTCGTGGATACCACTGAACACAATTGCGGACATGTACATTTATCCTTGTTTCTTGCACCTCCTTATGGCAATATTACGGTTTTATTAAGAGTGATTCCACCATCATTCAGGGTCAGAGCTTGGTGAAGCAGGGCACAGTTACTCTGGAATCTTTCATCCGCCCAAGACCCTTCAATTTGTGCTTGGGAAACATCGCCTATCCATCTTGTTGTACTATACTTCGTTTTGACTTGGCTGCTATGGAGGCCCCAGCTGTCTATATGCCAGCCACTCTGCTTCTCATCCCGGTACCCTTCATGTCTCTTCCATATGCTCCGGCGTTCTTTGTACACTACGAGGGGTTAGAAGACAATCCTGCTATTAAAGGAACTGTTTCTGTAATATTTTGACTTCCATTTAGAGTTACTATCTGCGAAGACCTGTGCAGGGCTCAATATATCGTCATAGCCTGAGGAGTAGGCGGAGCCTCATCAGGTGGATGGATTCTTGGTCTAGAACTGGCGGAAACTGTGCCGGGAGCAGTGGAGAAGAGAACCTCGCGTGTCCGCCTAGCATACTATCGCATCAAGTCATCTGTACGGAGTATAAGCGTGGAAACTGTGATAAGCGTTGACTCCATGGTTTGTTCTATGGCCGCGACAAATGCTTCAGTGGCATGATCTCTGACTAACAAGAGAGGATTCGTGGTTCCGATCCAGTCGATGTAGCGTTGGCCTAACCGACATAAGCTCGACAGTGCGCCTAAAATCCCTGTACCTTGACGGTCTCTTTCCTTTAGATGCAAGCCTGTCTCCTTCACCAGTTCAATGCACTCCGTCGATCCATGACCGGGTTACAGCATTTCCAGTGCGGCAAAGCTGTGTCTCCCTATCCGGCGATCTTGGACGACCCATCAGCTCGTCTCCCGCACCGCGCGCCCGGCCATGGCAGATAGTGTCAACAGTCTACCACAGCACTTTGGAACCCAAGCTTCTCCGTCTCAACCACCACGGAATACAGCAACAACATATGAAGATACAGCGCCGACTACTGCAGGACAGAGCGACGCAGACAGTCATTATATCCCTCGCCCCAAGCGCATCGCATGCGTACTTTGCCGAAGGAGAAAGTTACGATGCGACGGAAAGCGACCCAGTTGCGGGACATGCTCTCGGTTGGGCCATGAATGCATTTTCGATGAAGTGCGCAAGAAAAGCGGTCCGAAACGGGGTTATGTGAAGCAGCTAGAAAAACGACTGGGTATGTTGATGCTTGAGGTCTCCATCCCAAGTCTGGGGCGTGTCACATGGGCGCTGCTGATATAGGCTTCGCATGCAGCCCAGGTCGAAACTCTACTCAAAAGTCAGGAAACAAGAATACGATCAGCCCACGGGCCCGGTTCTATCGTCCCAGCGATAAACGATTCGCCTGATACGCCGGGCGGGTTCCCTCAGGATAATGCTTCTATGTCATCCCCCGAAGGAGCGGCCGACCCTGCCCGTTCGGGACAAGTGTTCCAGCAGGCAAGAGCAAGCAGTAGGACCGGGTTTGAAGGAGAGTTGATAAGCCTGGGGTTGCAGGAACCTCTCCCCATGCGGGAGGTTATTGATGAGCTGTATGTCCTCAATGTAATCCACTTTCGTGTTCACCTTTTAATGTTATATAGGACTACGATATACTTCGAGAAGATACATCCCGGAATGCCCATGATACACCGTCCAAGGTATCTGGCGGCTACAAATCTCCCTCTCTCCTCACGGCCTCCTATATGCCTGCAGTATATGATGTGGTGTCATGCAGCGTCTGTTAGCGACAAACATTCCAATCTGCAACTTATTTTCTATCAGCGGGCTCGCAAATATGCCGAACTGGACGAGATGAAAGGGTTCGGGGAGAGTATGGTGACTTTGGCACATTGTCAAACCTGGGTGCTTATCACCACATACGAATTCAAGATGATGTTCTTCCCTCGAGCATGGCTAAGTGCCGGGAAGTCCGCCAGACTGGCGATAATGATGGGGTTGAATCGTCTAGATGGACAAGGTATCGATGTTAAACAGACCCTGTTACCTCCCAAAGATTGGACTGAGAAAGAAGAACGAAGGAGGGTGTTTTGGATGGCATTCTGCATTGATCGGTACGCAAGCGTTGGCACTGGATGGCCTGTCACGATCGACGAAAGAGATGTCAGTTGTCCCATTGTCCATGATTATCTCTTCAGAGAGAGACACCCTTGTCTGACTAAGATTCATAGATATCCGCGTACCTTCCTGCCTCCGAGGAATCTTTCATTTCAAACAAACCCCAGCAATCTATACGTCTTCCAGATGCTCTGACCGGCGGGGACATCTCTTTGTTATCTCCATTTGGTGGCGTGGTAATTCTAGCGTGCATGTTCGGCAGAAATATACCACATCTGCATCGACCTGATCCGGGAGACAACGACCATGATCTCACTGGAGGGTACTGGCAGCGACACCGGGCCCTTGACAATATCTTGCTTCATTTTGCTCTGTCCATGCCGAGCCATCTTCGACTGACAGTCGCGACAACCGACCCAAATGTGATTTTCTGCAACATGGGCATCCACTCAGCAACCATCTGCCTGCATCAGGCTGCTATCTTTAAAGCTGAGAAGAATAGAATGCCGGAGCAGATCGCAACCGAGTGCAAGCGAAGGTGTATACTAGCTGCCGATCAGATCTCCAACATAATGAAGATGATTAGCCATCTGGACTTGAGCATCGTAAGCCAACAGCAAGGCTTTGCCATGGCCTTATGCTAATCGAACACAGATGAACCCTTTCATGGCTTTCTGCGTCTACGTGGCCGCACGTGTATTCATTCAATATCTCAAGTTTCGCCCCGACGACTCGGCAGCTCGTTCATCCCTCCAATTCGCTTTAACTGCCCTTCAAGCCCTGAAGGATAAGAATCCACTAGCTGAATCATTCATCGCCCAACTTGATCTTGACATCGGAGGGACAGCCTTTGGCGATGTTCGGGATTCCAACAAGGCGTGTTTCACTCGTTTAGCTAGCGTGAGATCATCCTTTCCCATACAGAGAAGCTGCTAACCATGATGCTCTAGGCCCGCGCGAGTGGTGACCCATCTCCAGAGAGTACAAGCCAACCAAGAGCACCCGCCGATGGAATATCGCCAGACATATCTCAGAGCGCTTCAGGGCTTACCCCATCTTCACTTTCAAGTCGACAGACCACAACCGAAACAATGTTAGACACGACCCCCGATCATCTCGCGACAATCCGAACCGGCAAAGCAGCACCAGGCCCGAACACAAATCCATCACGAGAACCCAACAACAACAATCTACCTACCAACTCTACATCCGCACAACTGACCTCATCCTACACGGGCCCAAATTACGCCCCATCACAACAGCTCCCTCTTGACCCTCAATTCTTCTCGCCCAGCATCTTCGCACCATTTCAATACACCAGCCCCTCATTCCCCAACCAGTCAATCCCGCTTGATTCCACAGACCCGCTCTCAGACCCTTCTACGTGGAATACTCCCAACATTACTGTCCCCGACCTCACCAGCGGAAATCCAGACACACCGTCTAATGGTTTTGGAGGTCTCAATGATGCCCAATGGACACAGCTCCTCACTTCTGGGGACTGGGAATCGTGGCAAGGACTAAATCTACCCCGTTGAGCTTGGGATCGAGATCGATATAGCAATAGCCTTTTTCGCTACCGATTCTGATGACGTGGTCTACGATGTTTATTCATGACTGATGGAGTTTGGGTACTGTTGGCTTTTTGCAATACGCCCTTGTTCTTCGTTCAAAAGGGCATATAACATATAGCACTCGAGCGCGTACAAAGCTACCTGTATCTTTCCGTTGCAGTGAAGACAATCCAAATCAACCATGATACCGTACGATTGGTTGATATTTTAGACAATACATGCCATTTACAGCATCTGCCGTGATCATAAGTAATCTCAATAGTATATCCCTACACACCAAACGCCCCCCAAAGATCCAGAAACAAACTTACATACATACATCAACCTCTATCTACAGACTCCCACCCCCCCGCAGCCCCCACAATCTTCAACCCCCCAGGCCCCGACCCATCCGCCGACGTCGAATACGCCAACCAATACCGCGACGGATGCCACGCAACAGCCGGAATGCCCGAATTAGCATTCCCCCCCGTAGGCACAGTATAGACACTTTCACCCGTTTCAGCGTGGAAAATCTCCAGCCCGTTGCCACCGCAGCCGGGTTCATCGCAGGCACCGCAGATGAATCGGCCGTCGAAACTCCAGCTCACGCCGCGGACGGCTCCGCCGTTCGGGCTCGATACGGTGCGTTTGCAGATCCAGTCCGTTGTGTCCCAGAGGGAGATGAGGGCGTCGCTGCCGCCTACGGCGAGGTAGCGGCCTGTAGGGGCGAGGGAGATTGATAGGCAGGCGGAGGTGTGGGCGTGAAGGGTGTGGAGGACGTCGAAGGAGGGGTAGGAGAGGATTTTGACGGTGCCTTCGCCGGTTGTGGCGAAGAGGTGGAGGTCGGGGGAGGTGGGGGTGGAGATGTGGTGGGAGAAGGTTGTTGCGTTGGTTTGGACGGGTTGGGGGTGTGGTTCTAGGGCTTTGTAGGTTGACGGGGTAAGGTTGGGCTTTTGTTGCGGTCCGGGGGCAGTGGATGTTGTTCCGTCGGCGAGAACGGTTGGGGTGGATGGGGATTCGATGGAGATAGGGATGAGGGTGTCGTCCTGGGGAGGGGAACATTGGTCAATTGAGAGGTTCTAGTTCGTGGGTGGTGGGTTGGGTTTTGTTACTCACCTTCCTGCCGACAACCATGACGCTGCCATCAGCCGACCAGGACAAGGTAAACGCCTCGCCTCCAACGTCAAGACGGCTCACACAGGTCTTTGACCGGACATCCCAAAGGCGAACGGTTCCATCCGTTGAGCAACTAGCCAATTCCGAGTCTCGTACGGGGTTGAACACGACTTTCTCAATTCCCGCGGTATGGCCGCGCAGTTCGGTTGAGTATTTCACCTGCGAGCGCTCGGGGTTCCAGATTCGGAGGGTGCGGTCTGCAGAGCCAGTGGCGACAAGCTGGCCCGTAGGATTCCATGCTATTGTGCGGATTCTGGAGTGCGCGACGGCTTGCGTCAGTATGAAGTTCGTTTCTTTGCACCGTTGGTGGCTTCGGAGGTGGGAACACACGTGTGAGAACCTGGTCCGCGAGAAGCAGGATCATGGTAGTTTTGCGTTTTCAGGCCCCCAAATGCGAGCGCAAAGCGGTCTTTTGGGAGAAGGTTCCGTCGAGGAGGAGCCATTGCAGAAGTGGTCTTTGATTGTTGCTGCTGCTGGTGGATTCGCGATTGCGGCAGCAGCAGCCTGGACGGACGCCCCGAGGGGCTGCGGTAGGCGGTGTAGAGGGGAAATTCTCACGAGGAGAGTGGAAAGGTAGCCGTCGGTGTGAAGAATACTCTCCAGGGACAATTGCAAAGATGCGCTGCTCGATTGCGGGGAGACTTGAGAGAGCTACTGCGCCGTGATCGATCAATGTCCGCAGAGGCCGTGATGCGTTCGGTGATTGGCTGGAGCTCTTTGTTAGGCTGGGGGACAAGATGACATAATGCAGGCACAACGCAGGCACTCGCCAGTTGACCACATTTTTGCGTGACTGGCTTGCTCAGCGCTTTAAGAGTGAAACTGAAGTCCTGTATAAAGCCATCAGTATCGTCAGACATTGTCCGGTTTGAAGTCATTTTCTCCAAGGAATCAGTGACGTACTTTCAACCCCAAGCGATTCTGAGTCCATACAGTATATGGTCAGGTGACCTGGCAGAACGTTTCCATGCAGCAATTGTCCTGGTGATCAGCCAGTAGTATACGACCGAACTATACAGAGGATCCATTGCATTCGTGTACTTGAATCTATCGAATACTTTTGATTAACGTATCTGGCCTTCTAGCCAACCTACACTGTGCCTGGCGCTACCGTATAAGGCTGGAAAATTCTCTCCGAGCTCAACCACACTTTTCATCTACCAGTATCTGAATTGAGCCGGATACTCTGAACATTCAATCGACGTTATATCCCGAAACTTTGTCATTGGCTCTTGTAGTCATGCTCGACTTTGAAGATGACGCGTCTAAGCGCGAGAAATGCTACACCACGATAGCCCAACTGCCTGCTTTTATCGATCCCAAGCAGCCACCCACAAAGCGGTCACCGTTCACGGCTATTCTAGGCCATCCATATGTTCATACGGTAAGAAATGCTTTTATTCTTTTATTTTCGAGCATCTCTTATCTTTCTCCCTAATATCTGGCAGTCTTCGTCCGATTTGTTTGTTGGCGTATATCAAAAGCACGCAGCTAACCAATGCACAGGTTGAAGTCATTCTGCCAAAGGACGTCTACTCGAATATCCAAAACTCTCTGGAGAGCAAACTTCAAAAAATCCGCTATGCTAGAGTGTTCATGTCGCTCTCGTCTCTGCTTGAGGGTGACTTTTTCAATACCTATATCAAAATTGGTATTTTTGCCCTTCTTTTTCTCCCTCTCATCCTGTTTAAGGCGCTGCGAATGTGAATGCTAACACAAGCCTTTCAGGAAATATCCTCATGATATCAGAGGGTCGTTCAGGCTCAGACAGTGTCTTCACACTCAGAGATGGTTCATGACTCCCAATATCTCCTGCACCGCCCGTCTTGACTAACAAGTCCTTAGGTATCTTGAAACTCGAACTCAGCAAAGAAATCTTCGAAAGAACGGGACTCACAGGAAAGCCTATCCGCAGTGGAGGAAGGAAACACGCTAAAGAGCGATACAGTATGCGTCTCCTTAATCCTTCCCTAAATTAAGCACGCAAGCTAACAAAAGCTCAACAGTCGTGGAAATCAACCTTCGCCTCCCCTCCATGGTTCACGGAAAGAAAGGCTTCGAGCGAATCGTCTGGGCATTCAAAAACGTCCTGACCCAATCCGTAGCGTGGCTTTTCTTCGACCTGGCATCAGGCTCGAACGGCATTGCAGAAGGTATCAAACCTCAACCCAAAAAGTTCGCCCATCACACACTAACATAAAAACAGACGATATCTCCCTAAAAGGCAACCACCCACAAATCATCAACTGCGAGCCCAACATCACCGACCGCCTCAACACTCTCGTTCCACCCCTCCAAGGAATTAACATCACCAAAGAGTCCCACCCGGCCGAATTAGAAGACCACTGCAACGAACTCTCCGAGTGGCTTGCCCTTGTATCTCTCGAATCACCCCGAGTATCTGCCGAAGACGACGTGGATCCCTACCTATGCCGTTACAGTGTCCCCGACTCGGATGACGCGACGTCTTCTGATCTGATCAGTGTCAAGTGGCGGGGCCTGATACCCTCTCGGTGGATCATGCAGTTGTTTGTTGCATTGATGTATGTCTTAATTTTGCATTCCTGTGTGATGTTGAGAGTTTTGCTGACCGATTTTCTCTCAGACGGGAAACTGCTTCCAAGGATAATGCCGAGTCTGCCTGGTTTGCGCTTTCTTCTAGTGCGTTGGGAAGAGAGGCTGTGGAGGGTCAGGATGGGTATACGGTTATGGTACTTCCGGCGTCGAAACTGGAGCAGGAGAAGGGGGGAGAAGATGCGGATAGTTCGAAGAGTGGTGGTGGTCGACACTGTATCTGTTGGGAGTATGTTGGTGCTTCGATTTTATAGTGTCCCATATCGCGCTGTTGAATATTACACTTCAATATACCCAAAACTAAAACATCTTTTGTGTTTAGATATCATTGCAAAAAGCACGTAATTGTACAGAGACCATTATACCTAAATAACATCATGTTCTTACCCAGTTCAACTAATCATTCACGTTTGTTGGTATCCAAAATCATCCTTCCCAGTGGCTTCCATATATTAGCCCATCCCAGAGACCATACCCAATACACGCCAAGCAATATTTCAAAAAAAAAAAAAAAAAACAAAAAAAAAAAAACACAAGGTATAATTACCCGATAAGGTCATTGACCATATCCTGCAATACAGGGCGATTTCCAAGAACTTTGCTACCGCTCATCAACTTAGCACCCCGTTTAGCAGGTTTTCTCAGCCCGTTCGGCGACAGTCGAGTCTGCACAGGGCCCAGGGGGTTGCGGGTTGTCTTTTTGGATGAAATGGGGCTCTTCTTCGGACTAGGTGTAGATCTATCTGGGCCGGGTTGTGTCGGGATCAGTTCGGATTCAAAGATGTGATCCGCCAGGGCATCCTTGGGCAAGTCGTAGATCCATCCTCGGTCTTGGACTAGTTTCACGTATTTTCCTAGGAGTTCGTTGCCGTCGCGTAGAGTACTCTTGCTTCCGACAACGAGGAGTTTTGTTCGTGCGCGAGTGAAAGCGACGTTGACACGTCGCCAGTCACGGAGCAGGTCACCAACGTTCTTGTCTGCGTTGCTTCGCACGCAACTCAGAATGATGACTTCTTTGTCGCGTCCCTGGAACTTGTCTGCAGTGTGCATTTCGAGCTCCGGCAGGTAGCGACTGAGGTTTTGTTTGAGAAGTGACAGTTGACTTCGGTAGAGTGTTATGACACCGATGCTGCGTGCCGGGATACCGCAGGAGATGAAGGCTTCGACGAGGCGGGTGCAAAGGGTTGCTTCGGTCGGATTTACAATCCGTGAGCCGTTGGCTACATCCCGCGCGGGTATCGAAAGTGTGTCCGTGTTGACAAGCCGAGTTTTGGCAGACGGTTGCACCAGGTCTCTGAGCCAGCAGCGACCTTGATTTGTGCCTAAGCAGAGCTGTCGTTGATTTGGTGACTGGGGGAACGCGCCGGGATGGTATTGCTTAAGACCGCCAATATTTGGAACGGTCAGAGAGCGCGCTGCAACCTCCGGGGTCCCGCATTTCAGACGGCCTGAATAGATGAGAGTGTTGGAAAGAAGCATGATATCCTCACACATTCGGTACTGGTGTTCGAGGTTGACGACCGATTCAGGATGGGAATCGGAGAGCAGCTTGAAAAGACTAACATCCAGGCCGCCTTCTTGAGCCTCTTTGTTTTGCACCAGCGGAGGCAGCTGATAGTGGTCACCAACGAGAATGAATGTTCTGGCCATTCGAATAGGTCCCAGACACACAGGAAGCGTTATCTGGGAAGCTTCATCAACTATGCAATAGTCGAAGATGCGTTGGGTGAATATGCCATGGCTGACTCCGAGACAGGTCGTTGCTACGACCTGAGAGTCTTCGTATGAGGCTTTCAGCTCCTCCATGGTGCTTTTAGGCACCGCTGCCAAGTCAGCAAACTGCTGAACATCGGGGTGCACTTTTGCAGGGGCTCCAATTCGCAGGATGCGGAAGTTGTCATCCTTGATTTTTAGTAATATGTTATCAACGGCCGTGTGAGTGTACGAAGTCAAAAGGACGCTTTTCCCTTGCGCTACCAAAGCACGAATGATATGAGCGATGGTAGTTGTCTTGCCGGTACCCGGCATACCAAGGACCAAGGCATAGTCCTGAGCGCTCATGACCTTGTCGATTGCTTGTCTCTGGTCGACGTTCAAGGTTGCCTTATCAGGTTCAGATAGAGTATAACCAGATGGAGTGGTTCTGAAAGCAGGTGCCTCTCCTTGAACAATCAACCGTCTCAGCTGTTGGGCTTGGAATAGGTCTCGTTCCATCATAGAAACCAGGTTTGTTCGGACAATAGCCATGCCGTTACTGAACTCGTCCTTGTCGAGACGGTAAACTGGCTCTTCTTCCGAATCGGCTGGTGACGAAGAGACACCGTCCTCGAGTATTTCCATTATGCCCTTAAACGACTGATTGTTTTTGGCATCGAAGCCCTTAGTTCTTGTCCTAGCATTGTGTAGTCGCCTGTCTACGGCGACGGTGATGTGTCTTCGGCTGACTTGTACGACATATCCGTTCGCAAGGGCGAAATGGCCCTTCTCATCGGAAACCACAATAGGCTCCCCAAGAGTGAGCTGAGACTCGGTGAATGAGAATGAAGAATGCGCTTCTTTCTTGACGAAAGTGTACCGGAAACGATTAATCTTGGGTCCGTCCTTTTCCTCATAAGTAGAACGAGGATCTATCACGACATTGCCGAAGCATCGGCCCAGGGCCTCACGCTCACTGCTAAGCAATGTCCAGAGCTCACGCTTGAACCGAATCATGCTTTTTTCCTCTTTGGTGAGCAGATCATCCCACTTCTTGAAAAAGTCGCGATCATTGGAGGTCAGGTGGTCCATGGCTTTGATGAAATCATCGCCGAGACCGCTAGTTTCACCATCACCATCGTCTGCAAGCTTGTGATAGATAAAGCAAGGTGTCTTTGAATAACACTTATTGCAAAATGAAGACTTTTTGGCCATTGGAGGCAGTTCTGTTCTCTGGCGCATATACCCGACTATGCGATTCCGTTGCTGAATCATCTGAAGGAGCTCATGCCGGATGCCACGGATCCGGATGATCTTTGTAGTTTCGAGGTAGTACAGCAGTCCGAATGTGCACTCCACATCTACACATTAGGATTCAACGGTTAGCTAGTGTGGTTTTGGATAGCGGCATAGAACTCTTACCGTATCGATCAGACAGCAATAAGGTGTAAAGAGCTGTCTGAGCCCTGTGAGCTTGGTTTGTGTCTCTGTTCCCTGTTTTGAGCTCAAGCGGTATGACCAGGTTTTTGTCGCTTTCTCCATCATTGCAGGCAACTTGCACGGTGGCATCAACATTGCCTTTCAATCCATACATTGGTGACCAAATGTGCTCTTCGACCTCAAGAAGTTTGTTGATACTTAGACTAAGCTTGGAGCTTCCACGATCCTCAACCAATGACTCCGCCTGTTTCGTGAAACAATCAGTATGACTGCATTGCTTGAAGACTGGCTCAACTCACACTTGGTCTTGCCCTAAGGAAACGTTCTGCCCAGGCCTGCACGCCCGGTATCCTGCTCATCACATATTCAACGGCTTCCGGTATACTCATGCGGATCAAGTATAGGTCTTCTATGCGCTTAACAGTCACGGCTTCAATCATAGACCTTAGCGAATCCGTGTCCCATCTGTTGACCTTGATAGCTTCCTGAAAGACCTCGTGGAAAATATTTCCAAAGACTTGCGCCTTTCCCAGATCAGAGGTGTATTTGATGCGATCTTGAAGAACCGCACGGCGCTGGCAACTAATCGAGTCTGCCACGACAGTTGCAGAAACCAGGTGGTCTGGATGCAGGATCACCATGTTGTTGGAGTCATCCACGATGCAATGTCCTGTTGCATCGAATTCACCTATTAAATGGATATAGGACTCCTTGACGCATGGGCTATCACACCAGGACTCTCGAAGGATAATGCCTTTCCTTTCTTTTGTCTTTTCATCCTGTACAAGAAGCATCTTCAAGGGAAATCAGTCAGATATCCAAATCTGTTGGAATTGTGGCGACAGACCTGTTCTGGCTGAACGCGTCCTTTGGGGGTTTTATACGCAGACTCGGCAATGTCAACAATTAGGTAGCGCTTGATAGCTTGTCGGTTTTTAATGTTCTATCCATAAGTCTTAGCAAATATGTAACATATGTACCCACTAAGAATGACAAACATTGTTTGATCCAGCTGCTCCAGAGTGCACCATGGACTGTTCGATAGCCTCCAAGTCTAAGCCATCATCGTCAAATTCATCACCAGAGGGTGTCTCTGAGCCCAGATCCGTTGGATTGGGCGCTCTAGATGTCGATGCAAACCGGTTTCCAGATCCAACCACGGATATCGGCTGCTTGGGGGCCAATGTCTCCGTAGAAATGATGCTTGCCAGCTTCGTGCTTGGAGCATTATCACATTCAGCGAGGAGATCCTCCATATCATCCGAAATGCCATCGAAATCATCATCAAACTCGTCAGCGTCAAGGGTATTATCGTTATTGGTCGGTTTGTCCTCATCAATTTTCGTATTCATCACACCGGTATCATTTGTTTCTTTTGCCGAAAAGCGGATGTCTGTTGGAGTGTTATTGTTCACACGTTTCTCGCTCAGAGGGATATCGCCGTGGTGATGAGACTCGGCATCCACAAATGGATCCATGGAAGCTTCTGCAAGATCAAAGAAGTCCTGGTCAAAGTCATCATCCCCATAGTCAGACGAGGATTCCTCCAAGGGTTTCCTGTCTTCAGGCACAACATGAATGACCCTAGGTTCTTGCACTTGGCTAGACTTCCTTGAAGGCAGGGCTGGCCCTTTTCTATCCTCGGTCGGAGATGCTGATCTATTACGCCGAACATGGTTGCGCGCTGGAACAGGAGACTCGTCAGATCTGTCCGGTGGTGGCCTGGGGACCTTTTGCAGAGTTTTCTCGATCTGCTTCACGAGAGAGCTGATATTGGGACTCTGGTAGTTCCCCGAGTCGACAACATTACTCCTTGTTCGTGAAAATATACTGCGTCCTGTTCCGAACTTTTCTTTATCGATCCGTCTCCGCTTTGCTTTCGAGCTAGGCCATTCAGCCATACAGCTATTCGATCGCCTGAGACCTGAAGAATCCCGGCTCGTACGCATCGACGCTGGAGTCTGTGGTGAAGAAGAAAGGAGATTTGTGAGGCGTGGTTGAAGTAGTTCTCCATTGCCGTTAGCAAGAGTCTTGCTCACATAGCTATTCCACAGGTCTGTGGCGAGATCATTCTGAGGGGTTTTGATAAGTCCCTGATAGTTCTGCAGGTCGAGGGATCTTTTTCGTCTACTCTTCGAAGTACCTGCCAGGGGAGAGCTAGTCGGGGACGAGCTGTGGCGGCGCTTCCTTCTCTGTGTTCCAGGTGTCCCATCCGGATTCGAGCTCACGGGCACATGCTGCCAGATAACATAGTCTTCTGGGGTAAACTCCTGCATTGGAGCCTGATTAAAGGCATCCTCTGCGTTGTTAATAAGATCTGCCAGAGGGATTCGGTTTCCTGGGGTGTGGGGGCATTCTTTCAATGTCTTTGGTTCAGTTGTCTCGGTTGAAGGTTTCTGATTGCTCGTCTCCGATCGCCTATCTTCCACCACTCCATTCAACCAAGATGTCTGATTTTCTTTGTTCGCATGGCCAGGTTCTGAGCCAGTCTTTTGAGGGGTCTTATCCGGACTCGGTCCATCTTGATTGCCGTACCGGAAAGCGTTCAGTTTCGATCTGGATTGCGAAGATATGTTGTGTGAGTCGGTGCCTCTATCCATCGTGCTTATAGCTGATATTTCTCGGGACTTGGAAGGCAATGGGTCCTCGCGAGACGAAAGGTCTAGATGGTCAGCAGGGGCATGCCAAGTGGATCCTGAATCTTTCAAGGACGTCTGCAATAAGTACCTGCAGTTCAATGATGAACATCAGAGTTCTCCTTGATACGAGTCATAAGTGGCAGATTCAGGAAAGAGGAGTGATAATCAAACCATGGCTGGTCGGCGCATGCAATGGCAGCTCCGATGCACGATCCGATAAGCCACTCTAATTGGTTTCGAACGCGTCGCGCGTCGAGTGCTTCTGCCTCAGGTGTATGTTTAGTAATGCCTGCAACGTCAGGCCGAAAGGCGGCATGGGAATTTGCCTGATTGGGACTAGTGGCAGAATCCCAGCAGTCATCGGCCTTTTGCGGCTTCTGAACATCAACCGCTTGACCGTCACATCACCCCTCCACCTGCCGCTCTTGCCGCTCCAACGGAAGCAGTGATATTTGAAATCACTCAATTGGGTCGACTATCGTTGTCGCTGGTCGAACGGATCCTCTACCTCGGCATACTATCCCACCGGTCGTTGCCTCACCATACCCGACAGGGATTCACCCGCCACCGCCTGTCCCTTATCATCCAGCTTGACAACTAGGGGTTTTTGAATTGCAACAGACCCTTCACATACTCACAATGTCTGCTCGTCCGTTGTCGCATTGCCTCCGCGCTCGCTGTGTCCCCCGCCGGGCCCAGAACATCCAGGGTTTCTCGACCCGCAGCAACCTCCGCGGTGACCACTATGACCCTCCCACCGGCTATCTCTTCGGCCTCAAGCCGGGCCAGAAGTACGTGAAGGAGGGCTGGGAGAATCTGTGGTACTACGGATTCATCGGCAGTCTCCTCGTTGCCGGTGTCGCATATGTCTTCAAGCCAGACACTTCGTATGTCCATACCCGTCTCTGATATGGAAGCTAAATTGGATGCATTCTGGCATGCGATTATCATAGCTTCTCTGTCTCAATGAATCGACAGCTGTGGACTGACATGATATTAGGATACAAACATGGGCTCTGGAAGAAGCTCGCCGGCGGCTGGAGGCCGAAGGCATTCTGGAGGACCCTGACAAGGTCCAGCGCCAGTAGAGCGTTTTGGTCCGGAAATCTCTTGTACTTTGTACATAAAGTGGTCGGATGCGGAAGACAATTTTCGTTTGAGTGGTGTCGGTAGGCACATGACATCCGATCCTAGACAGGGTTTTTTATTCCATTTCACTGTTCGCTTCCAATTTCCTACGTGTATCTGTCGTCATATATCCTGGATTCATATCGTTGACGTGTTTGACAATGTTCCGAAAACGGGAGGTTTAGATTGTCTTGCCTTTAGAAGGATATATATGGTGTGTATCTCGGTTGCCAGCGGTATTGGCACTGGATAACTAAGTATATCTTCAGTATTACTTAACAAAAGTCGCCTTGACTTATTTGTATGGAACGCTATTTCAATTGGGCTAGGTCATATCTAACAACTATACTTCCGGATATATGTCCGTTCTTCTGAGTAGGGGGATCTCTTTCCTAACCTTGGCAAGGAAATCCAAATCAATATCTGCAATCGCGACCTGTGGCTCCTGGTATTCATCTCCAAGCTGTGCCAAAACCTCTCCCCAGGGATTGACGATCATGGAATGGCCATAGCTTCTCCTCTTCTCGTTGTGAGGTCCAGCCTGTGCTGCGGCTACCACATAGGACTGCGTCTCAATAGCTCTAGCGCGTAGCAGGGTTTCCCAGTGTGCCTTTCCGGTAGGGACCGTAAAGGCTGAGGGATAGGTAATGATCTGAGCGTTCTGTCGCCGTAGCGCCAGACTCATCTCGGGAAAACGTAACTGTACAAGGCCGGATATGAGCGGGGCTGTCCAGACATACTTCATTGTCCACCTTCAACTTACATCAAAGCAGATAGCCAGACCAACACGCCCGACGGGTGTCTCAAAGGGGGGTAATATTTCCATTCCCTTCTCGACGCTCCTTCGTGTATGGTTAGCTGAGCATCGTCATAAATCATGACTGGAAGGTCAACTCACGCGCTTTCCTTCAACACTGGTCCGCCTTTGATGTCCACATCGAACAGGTGAACTTTCTGATAGCGTTGTGTGATAGTACCCTTGTCATCGATCCAAACAAGGGTATTCTTGATTCTTCCATCCGGCGATGGCTCATGAATCCCTACATTGATATGCAAGTTGGCCAGTTTTGCTTCTTTCTGAAGGCCTAGTACAAATTCGCTGTCTTGTACAGAGCGTGCGAGTGAGATTGTCTCTGCAGGCGAAGAAGCGATATAGTCCGAGGCCTCGGGAAGAAACAATGCCTAAAAAGATGTCAGCTGGATACAGACTGGGAGCAGATGGGGTCAAATATCGGGAGCAGGATGTTTAATACCTTAGCACCAGCTGCAGCTGCTTTGCGCACCAGCGTTTGGCATTGCGCCAAGTTTGTCGCCAGACTTGCAGTCGAGCATAGTTGCCCCACGGCCTGTTGAGAAATGTATATTAGCACTCGGTAGATATAGAGAAGAGAGTTTTTAGTAAGGTTGGACACCTACTGCGAGAACCATGACTATAAGCTATCCGTTACTCCGTACCTAAATTACTATGCAAGCAAAGAGTATGATGGCTACAGGAACTTGGATGTTGATGACGGGATATAGAATGCTTATCTCGTCACTGAGCGTCCCCGATGCGATTAACTACCCCGTCGGCACTCGGCAGACTTTCCCGATCGGGGCCAACGTCCGCATCCCGCTTCAGCACGCGGATCCAGATCTGAGCAAACGTCACGGCGTGCACCAACGGCCTAAAAAGTCCACTCTTGCCGCAAGACTCAACGACCTGCCAGAAGTGCGGTCGCTACCTAGGCAAGATGAAGAGCCTCCGGAGAGACTTCTCCTCCAACCCCCAGGCAGCAAATGTCACCAGCAAAGTCTTCGTGAGATCCACGAAAAGTGGAAAAGTTCAAAAGATCGTTCGCGAACTCTACCTCAGACAAGACATCCCTTGCTCATCCAAGCTTTGCTCGACATGCCCGTCTACTGCGCCAGCAGATGCTAATGGAAACAGTGAGGAATACAGTCTACAGTTTTTCGGTCAGTGGCTAATGCGACATAGTTTCGCCGTTCGTGCTTTCGGAGCATCCCGCGGGCACCAGCGCTTTTCCCCGCGGTCATTACCTCGTCCCCGATACGAATGCGTTGCTAAATGGAATGGACCTGTTCGAACATACTGGAGCCTTCTACGATGTCATTATCCTTCAAACCGTCCTCGAGGAGCTGAAGAACCAATCCCTGCCTCTCTACAACCGCCTGCTTTCTTTGATCAAGACCGACGAAAAGCGGTTCTACCTCTTCTTCAACGAGTTCCGATTGGAAACCCATGTTCGGAGGGGTCCCGATGAGTCGATAAATGACAGAAATGACCGAGCTGTGCGAACAGTGGCGAAGTGGTATACAGAGCATCTCAAGGCAACGGTGAGAAAGGGAAAGAAGAACGACATTCCGGCTATTGTCGTCATTACCGATGACAAGGAAAACTTGCGCAAAGCAAAGGAGGAAGATGTGACAGCATTGTCGTTGTCAGACTATGTGACTGGTCTAGAGGACTCCGATAGGCTGCTTGATATGATCAACGAGTCGAAGGAGGCCAGAGAAACGAAGGGCGCACGCGGCGAGCTCTTCTACCCCGAATACTACTCGATGTCAAAACTCATGACAGGAATAAGGGCTGGAACGTTGCATCAGGGAGTTTTCAATGTCTCGCCTTACAACTACTTGGAGGGCTCAGTCAACACACCGGCGTTTGACAAGCCCCTGCTCATTCTGGGTCGCGACAACAGCAACAGAGCTATCTCCGGTGATGTTGTGGTGATCGAAGTACTTCCTAAGGACCAGTGGAAGTCGCCATCAACCAAGATCGTCGACGAAGAAGCGGTCACTAAGAATGACAATCCCGATAGTGATGATACCGAGGCGGTGGTGACGGAGAGGGAACGGAAGGCTTTGCAGGAAGAGGTTAGGAAGGCCCACGGGAAGAGCTCAGAAGGAAGACCGCAACCAACAGCCAAGGTGGTCGGTGTCATGAAGCGCAACTGGCGCCAATATGTCGGACACGTCGATTCAGGATCGACAGGCGTCCAGGCTAGCGCCGGTCGCCGCCAGCAGAATGTCTTTGTGCTTCCTATGGACAAGCGTGTGCCGAAAATCAGAGTCCGTACCAGGCAAGCTGGTGACCTTCTGGGTCAGCGAATCCTCGTCACTATCGACGCCTGGGACCGCGATTCTCGATACCCCACTGGCCATTTCATCCGGTCACTAGGAGAACTGGAGACTAAGGGCGCCGAGACAGAAGCTTTGCTTCTTGAGTACGATGTGCAATACAAGCCATTCCCGAAGGCCGTTCTCGACTGCCTTCCTGCAGAGGGCCATGACTGGAGGGTACCGGCTAATAAGGAGGATATTGGCTGGAAAGGACGGAGGGATCTTAGAGACCTCCTTATCTGCAGTATCGATCCCCCAGGCTGTCAGGATATCGATGATGCTCTACACGCGCGGCCATTGCCGAACGGCAACTTCGAAGTCGGTGTCCACATCGCAGATGTGTCACACTTCGTCAAGCCAAACAATGCAATGGACCTGGAGGCTAGTCTCCGTGGAACAACAGTCTACCTGGTGGATAAGCGTATCGACATGTTGCCGCACCTACTCGGTACAGACCTCTGCTCCCTCAAGCCTTACGTGGAGCGATACGCCTTCTCCGTCCTATGGGAAATGACGCCCAACGCAGAAGTCGTATCTGCGGACTTCACCAAATCCGTCATTCGCTCCCGCGAAGCCTTCAGTTACGAGAAGGCCCAAAAGCGCATTGACGATCCCTCACAGAAAGACGAACTCACCGAAAGCATGCGTACTCTACTCCGCTTTTCCAAGATCCTCCGACAGAAGCGCATGGATGCAGGCGCGTTGAACCTCGCCTCACCAGAAGTCCGGATCGAGGCCGATAACGATGAAGTCGGTGACCCACTCACAGACGTGAAGACGAAAGCCATGCTCGAGACAAATAGCCTCGTCGAGGAATTCATGCTTCACGCCAACATCACCGTCGCTTCTAAGATCTACAGCACCTTCTCCCAAACCGCCATGCTCCGACGCCACGCCACCCCTCCCCCGCAAAACTTCGAAGAGCTCATCAACCAACTCTCCAAGAAGCGTGACATGAGACTCGACGTGTCGAGCTCCCGTGCCCTCGCCGACTCTCTTGACCGTTGCGTGGACGAGAAGAACCCCTTCTTCAACACCCTGGTCCGCATCCTCGCCACCCGCTGCATGACCTCCGCCGAGTACTTCTGCGCAGGAGCCCACGCAGAGTCCGAATTCCGTCACTACGGTCTCGCCTCACCCATTTACACGCACTTCACCTCCCCCATCAGACGTTACGCAGATCTGTTAGTCCACCGCCAACTCGCCTCGGCGATCAACTACGAGGGCGAAGACGGCCGCGCCGTTGTGGAAGGAGTCATGACTCGGAACCGTCTCGAGGATATCTGCCGGAACATCAACTACCGTCACCGCAACGCCCAGTTCGCCGGCCGCGCCAGCATCGAATACTACGTTGGCCAGGCGCTCAAGGCGCGCGGCGAGAAGATGGCAGCCGACGGCGTGGACGGCGGCATTGAAGAGGAAGGCTACGTCATGCGTGTCTTCGAAAACGGTGTTGTCGTATTCGTTCCCCGATTCGGTATCGAAGGTGTCGTTCGCTTGGAAGACTTCGTACTTCCGGAGGACAGCACTCTCCGTACCGTCGAGGAACGACGGGAGCTGGTGACTCGCCGACAGAGCGACTTCGACAATGAAGAGTACACTCTCCGCGTGTCAAACAAGGGACAACCCGAATCTGAACGCGGTTCGACTGTGGAACTCTTCCAGAAGGTCAACGTCAACGTCAGTTCCGTGAAGGAAGAAGGTGGTCGCGGTGCAGGAAAGAGGAGAGTCAGAATATTGATCCTGGGCAGCGATGCCTAAACTAAAAGTTCCAAGTAATGAATATTGGGTATGCAACCTCCACCACGACTATAAGGCGTCTAGCGGTGCTCATGTAGGATCCATGTCTCTGTCTGTCTGTCTGTCTGTATGTATTATTCTTGACCAATGCAATTCTATTCTAGAATAGCAATAATCTAGACATCCATCTCATGTCTAGTCTAGTCTTTGGTGTTCTGTTCTTTCGTCTTTTTCTTTTTCTTTTCAGACTAAACCCTCCTCAACGCCACCATCCCACGTAGCAAATGAATCGGCGACCACAACTCACTCTCCTTCGCCTCTGGTGCGGGTATCCCAACCGGGGCCTCATACTTCTCACCCGGTTGCGCAGATACCTCCTCTTTCTTCCCACCAGGAACCATCACACCAGCAGACGTCGACGTAACTCTCTTCTCGGCCCGCACAAGTTCCCCAATCTTCCATCCCCGCACGAGCCACAAACACACCGCACCACCTATATACATGAACCCCGTGAAGATCTGGACTTTTAGATATGAGCCGTTATCCCGCAGCACAAGAGCAATGGCCTCGGACACGGTCGTCGGGGGTACCAAAACGAGCCAGGTGATGCTAAGGCCGCTGGGAAGGTCTCGCAGACCGATAATCTCGGCCAGGACGGGGGTTACTGTTGCCCAGTAGGTGCCTGCGACTGTGCCGACGAGGATGGCGAAGAAGGAGACTACCCCCATACTGCGGGCGAAGGTCCAGATCACTAGGCAGAATAAGCCACAGAGGAAGGTGAGGAAGGTGGCAATGTTGATTCGGCCGAGTTTATCGCTGAACATGCCTACGATGGGTCGTCCTAGGCCTTGGCCGAGATTGAGCAGGGCACTGACGACGCTGCCTTGGTGGGGGGAGAGTCCGACGGAGAGGGCGAAGTTGGCGACGCTGAATAGGAGGGCAACGTAGCCTAGCATACTGAAGATTCCCCAGCCAAGGAAGAGGAGGAATTCAGGGCGCTTGAGTAGGGGTAGGGCGAATGCGTGGTGGCGGCTTCCGATGTCTTTGTTCCGGTCTCTTAGTAGATTGGCGCATACTAGGTTGACGACGCAGGCAATGATTCCGAGGATTCGGAAGGCCCAGCTTAGGCCTAGTCTGGGGATTATGGCGCCGACTGCGAGGGAGTAGATTAGGCCTCCGATTCCCGAGCCGGCTGCATTGATGCCCATTGCTAGACTGCGGCGGCGGTGAAACCATTGAGGGGTAATGCCTACGCTCCCAACAAAGAGGAAGCCCATGCCCCATCCGAAGCAGACGCCTTGGCTGAGAAAAATGTGCCAAAGCTCTGTGGCGAAAGAGGACCCAATTAGGGAGACGGTTTCAAAGAAGACCCCGAGGTTCAGGACCAGACGGGTTCCGGAAAGGTGGATGAGAGATGTTGCTAGAGGAGCTACCAGAAGAGCGCAGGAGATGCTCAGGCCGCCAGTAAAAGCGTAGGCCAACGCAGAACCGTTGGGGAACACATGATGGGAGAGATAGTAGGAGAGGAAGACACCATAGCTCTATAGTTCGAGAAATGATGTCCGTTAGTTCTGCGGCGGAGAAGAGATCCAGAAGAACTTACGCTGTTGATTCCCCACGTGTGCGCATTGATCCAGAAGACGCACGCGACACAAACCCAACCATAGCCGCCGTCTGGAAGAATATGCTGTTCGTCTTTGGTCTCTGCGTCTTTGGGAGTCAAATCTTGTTGCTGATCTAGAGACAGTGGATCTAGGCCTGGTGTCCCATCATAGTCTTCCGAGTGGATGATGTCAATTGGCGTGTTATCAGCCATTGCCCGGTGCTGATATGGGATAGGTTAGGAGAAAAAAACACGCTGCTCTAGACCAGGACCGTTGACTTCCAGGTACCACATCGAGGACTCTATCGAACATTCACATGAAGTCCCCAATAGCAGCCAAGAAAGTCAAGTACAGAAACAGAAGAGAACTCGGCGGGGTAGAGATCAAAGCACCACATGTCGCAGGATTTAAAACAAGACTCCAGGAAAAGGCAAGGTTTAAAAGGCGCCGATGTGTCATAGAAGGCCTAAAAGGAAACAAGATCGTCAGCCATGCTAAACCAGTCACTGGGCTCTTGGCCATATACAGTTCGGCCATTAGTCCGATTACTCCCGGCTCTGCCTGGTCTGTTAATTGGGTTGGCAATCAGCCGGGCATGAGCAAGATAGTGCCCATGGGTCCAGTTAGCGTAACCGTTGTGCCGACTAGCCCGGGGCGGAGGCTGGAGAACACGAGGCGGTCCACTCGAGGGCAGGGAATCGCTTCCTGGCGGTTCAGGGGATAAGAGGGTGGATCTGTAACCGAGGCTCACTTTTGGACAAAGAGTGCTATACGCCCGATATGCGACATAGGCTCTGCTCAGGCATCCAAATCATGTGCGTATCTGAGCCTGCTCATATACAAGGCGAGGAGAAATGTGAGCTCAGAGCTTGAGACACCGCGTACTTCTATACTTGGGCATTCAATACGCTGTCGAGCAGACTTTGATTTAGCATAGCAGCACCAAACGGCCTTTCAGAAGACACCGCCCCTTGACTTGTGTCTTCTACTGCGTCGAACGTGCTGAAAATGGTTCCAGTGAGAGAGTTTTCTACAGACGGTGGCAAGGGCAGCCACATCACTACCGTTGAAGAGTTAGTCCGAGTTTTCAGATCCATCGGGTCGTCCATCCCTTTTGCTGGAAGGCTGGAAGGCTTCGTCTCATCCGTCAGGAACGAAATCGGATGACCATGGTGGCATGGCGATCTTGTCCTGTGTGAGGTATGTAAGAGGCAATCCGTACGCAAGATATCCAGATCCTGAAGCGACGAGAAGGGAAGTTCACAGAAATGAATTTATTGTTCCAATGCGGGTTGCGGGTTGCACCGCAGCGTACACATAGAACTGTGAGGAACCCAGCAAATTAGCTCATGCTCCAGTCAAAGTGCAGGCTCGACATTTTCCAGAAAACTTCTGTGCAAATTGATCACTTGCGTGTTGCCTCATAAATAAGCAATCTTGACTAGATATTGTCCGCTGATTGCTAGTAGCGTCACTATGACTCCCATGAGATGTATCTGACGTGCCCTTTCCAAAGACCTGACATTCCTCTGCTTCTTAGAGTCGGTATAATCCAGTACCTCTTGCATGAAAGGGTAACGCGTGGCCGAATCACCGTGATTGGCCGTCCGCACATGCAAGCCACTTACACAGTAAGTCGTGAAATCAAAGATGGCAGCTTTGGCATGTTCTGCAGCCATCAAATGTCTCGTGGTGATACCTGCGGCCGAGATGGTGCAGCGAGTGAAACCATGGCCTGCTGGCTGGACTGTCTGGCAGGAGGTGCTTGGCCTAAAAAAGGATAGCTCGCGGGGAGCCTGCGCTAGGAATTGGGTACTCCGGTCTCTGTCGACTCTTCGAAAGGCGTCTAATGAGATAGCGCCCGAGGCACTGAGGCAGCACGGCACAGCCCCGCGTTGCCTCGAGAACCGGCACCTGATGTTTGCAGTGTTTGGTCAGGCACGTTGTTGTTCCTCGGCAGGTGATGGTCATAGCTTCTTCTTCCTCCATCCGACCCCCTGCCTATCACCAAGGCAACTCGCATCCACGAGATTAAATATTAAACTAATCCCTCCCTAACCACTGCCTTCTATGCGCGCTAACTCGCTAACCCGTCTAAGCATAACCCTTCATCGCCTTTAAGCAAGGAAAGCGGATCTAGTTGGGCTGATCCGATCTCTCTAGTTCATTCCATCCCTGGTCCACTCCCAGCCACCCTTCCGCATCTCATTGGCTCTGTTCGATTATATTAGACACTTACTTCATAGCTCTGCTGCTGAGAGCCAACTCATCATCCTACCCCTTCCTGATATTCCCCTTGACTCTCCGTATGACCCTTCAGGGACAACTTTCATGGCCAGCATGATGCACCGGCCTCCCTTTCAGAAGGCCAAAGACGGCCAGCGGAAATTCTCCCCGCCTGGTCCAACTTACATGTCCAACGATCAGATCGGTATGTGTTTACGCCGCGAAAATGAGTCGGAGAATTGCTTGCCTTGTTGAGGGTGTTGGCCGAGTGCCCGGTTGTGGTTGACGTATCAATATTAATACTTGGTATGACAGCGACCTATCTGAAAGATCTGCGGACAAATCGCCCTACGCGCCCTGGTGGATCAAGACCGCTTCCTACGAGGCCATCTGGGTCGTCTTCCGATGCTCATGAAGATCTCCCTCCGCGGGCGGCATCTGCGATGTCATCATATGGGCATTCGAGCGTGTACTCAAGCACACCGCCAGCCGAGGCCGAGCATCCTCGGGCCACCAGCTCGCTCTCTAACCATAGGCCAGCTTCATCTCGGGGCGTGTTGGGCAGCCCCGCCGGTCGCCCATTAGTTCAGGAACCGAGAACAGTCCCTCTACGGCAGAATATCTCGCCCGCTCGAGCCTTCAGCCGCGTTGTCCCTACCTCGCCCAACTCAGCTTATCGCGAGAGTCCTCAACGACGAATAGAGAAAGAGGAGGCAAAATCCTTGCGGGACGCGTTACAAGAGATGGACCTGCACGATGACATCGAGCTCCATGCAGCTGCTCAAGATGAGGCTACTGAGCTGGTATGGATGCATCAAAACCCCGGGATGCCTTATAAGAACCCATATGCACCCTATCACAACCCCGACTTGGATGCGGTCCGGAAAAGCCCAGATAGGAATAGTTACTCTTCGCATGGCGAGAGGCTGGGTTCCCCAACTCCACGGCGGGGCAGTCGCCGTCTGGCGTACCAAGGATCAACCGTTAGCTACAACGGTACTAGCGGCTCCCGAGGATCGGGTGAAATGGCAGCGCATGAACAACAGCCTGTCTTAGAAGAGGAAATTCCGAGTCCCAAGAAGAATGGAACTCTACGAAAAAACCTGAAGGTTAACTTTGCGTTGCCGCGGGACGAAGTCCCAGCCCAGCACACAAGCACCAGCCATGGGTTGGGTTTGGCGAACTTCAGTAGGGAGTCATCCAAGGGCATCTTCAGAAACCCGAATGACCAGATATACGAGGAGCCTCAGCTTTCTCCCCAGAAGGATGAGGACACTCGTCCTGACTTCTCAAGGTCAGACTCATCGGCTTTGAAAAACAAACCACGAAATGCTCTGCCCCGCGGGTCACGGCCGCTTCCTGGTCGGTTTAGTGGTCTTCCTTTTGTTGACAAGCTGTCTCGCTTTGAAATCCATAAGAACCCCCCGACCCAGTCAAGGAACCCAGAGTATAGAATGAACGACCCGCTCTCGCAACCCTCTGCGCCAAGCTCTCAGGTAGAGGAGCAGGAGATCCCCATGAAAGATGGACTGGAGATCCGCAGCGACGATATCCGAGCAGCTACTAGCAAGAGACTGAGAGATCGGAGTACGCGGCTACCCATGCCAACCGCCGTTAGTGATCGTGCCGGCCGTCCGATCGTGAGTTTCGATCCGTCTTGGAAGCCAACTGAGGCACAGAGTCCACGCAATCAAGACGGTTTGAAAGGGTGGGACGCAGCCCCTGTGGTGCCTTCTCCAGAGCCTGCTGCACCGACGATTGAGGTATCTGAGGCACCATCAATTCCCGTCATCAACTTGCCAGATGACAAGGAGCCTACTATCTCTGAGATGGCTGGTCCATCCCAGAGCCCAGCGGCTAGCACGAAGTCATCGTCGAATTCGTCAAGAGATAGCAAGCCCCCCAGCCGATCTCCGAGGAAGCCCACGACAGCACTGCAAAGTCGCTGGTTATCCACCTACACACGCTCCGGTGTGCCCACTGCAACATGTGAGGCCTGTTCTCTGCCGATTGCAGGTAAGATCGTGACTGCTGCTGGGGCGCGATTTCATCCCGAGTGCTTCGTGTGTCACCATTGCCAGACTGCCCTGGAGTGTGTTGCATTTTATGAGGAGCCTGAGGCAAGTCGTAAGGAGCGGCTCGCGGAAGCTCCGGCCGATGACGAAGAGGCTCGTGCATTGAGGTTCTACTGCCATCTTGACTTCCACGAGTCATTCAGTCCAAGATGCAAGAGCTGCAAGACTCCAATAGAAGGAGAAGTGGTCGTTGCCTGTGGAGCTGAGTGGCACGTCGGACATTTCTTCTGTGCCGAATGTGGTGATGTACGTTTCCCCCTTCACCTTGAAAACGCGAATGCTAATTCATCTGCTTGTTCAGCCTTTCAATGCGGAAAAGCCGTTTGTAGAAAAGGATGGTTTTGCATGGTGCTTGCAATGCCACTCCCGTCGCACAGCTCCTCGGTGTATTGGATGCAAGAAGCCCGTGCTAGAGGATGTCGTGATAAGCGCGATTGGGGGACAGTGGCATGAGCAGTGCTTTGTCTGCCACGAATGCGGCAATGGATTCGGCCCTGACGGTCGGTACTTTGTGCGAGAAGGCGAGCCTAAAAGAACAGCCAAGGGACGCATCATCGGCGGGCCGGTCCAATTGGCTGTGTGCGAGAGATGTGAAGGCATCCGATTGAAGGCTTCGCCATAACGTGGGTATATGTGAATGATAGAAGTCGGGATTGAGGGGTTCAGAAGCTGGCTGCCGACTATATGACTGACGTGGTGATCATTTTAACGATCGGCGTACGATAGGATGCAGGTGCTTGGCGACATGCCTGGTCCGAGATTATTTTGTTTTCCGCATTGTCTGCGAATTTCCTAGGAAGTGTCATCTGCATAGCATCCAGCGGGAGTTTCAAGAGCATATGCTTAGGTGATTTGATAGCGACTCTTGCCTAAACACTGCATTTTGGTTTAGAAACATTGTCCTAGTTTATAACGGGATCGTGCCAGGTTCGCGGGGTTTCGGTCGTTGCAATGGAAGCCTCCGAACGATACGTTAGCAGCAGTTGACAGGACAGTCCGGCCATTCGTCACCTCGGATGGTTTATGCATGGCCGTATGCTACTGCCTATTCCAGAAGAGGAAGGCAGGCTTCCCGTCACGTAGTACCCTCCTGTCACTTCGGCTCGAGGCATCGGTTCGTATCGCGGCAGCCTGCAAGCGAAAAGATGGTGGCTTTGGTCGATCAACAGGGAGTCAGCTCCTCTTTCTGGCTGCGAGATGCAAGGCATGGCTTGGTGCAAGGGTGATGCCTCGACTCGAGGCACCCCTGTCAGGTTGCTTGATGCTAACCCCAGCTTTGCGGGGCAGATAAACTTCTGCGGGGATCGCGCTCTCATTGCCGTCATTGCACTAACAATGACAGATGTATACGTCTCCCCATGGGGATTTGAGAATACAGCTGCTAGTACCTAGATCGAATGACGTCTACCCTTGTCGAGCGATGTCTTCCGACGCATCATATCATCTCCGCATTTGCGATGTCGGTAAAGGAACCAGGTCTCGAGCGCAGCAGCATAAATATCCTTCATTGGATCGGCGGTCTGACGATTGAAATGTAACACAGTCGGAGCTGGCTCTCCCTATTTTTTTCATCCAGTTCTCGATGACATTCCCGTCCTTTCTTCGTTCCGGAAAGCTCTATTTCAGTTCCCAATGGCAGGAGACTGTGATGCTCAAATCAAGTGTGACGCCTCGTTCACAGAAGAAATAGAGGATGTCACAAGTCCATCTTTCTCTTCCGAAGAAGAGAAAACCCTCGTTCGGAAGGTCGATTTGACATTGCTTCCGACCATTTGGATCATGTATCTACTCTCCTACATGGATCGAACCAAGTATGTCTTCTGCCACGGCTTCCAGTGCGACGCCTATACGAAAGGTCTTCTAACCAATACGTCAGTATCGGTAACGCAAAAATATCAGGCATGCAAACGGATCTGGACCTGACGTCTGGCCAATATTCAGTCGCCCTTGTTGTCTTTTTCATCGGATATGTCATCTTCGAGGTACCCAGCAAGTGAGTCCTATAGCTATGCCTTGAAGCCATGCGTGGATTATAACCTTTCATGGATATCATAGTTTAATACTGAGCCACTCGCGCCCTTCGTTCTTCTTATCGAGCATCATGGTAGTTTGGGGAACCTTGACCTGCCTAATGAGCGTGATAAAGGACTTTAAACATCTTGTTTTATTGCGCACCCTGATAGGTAAGGTTTTAGGAGCAGGCACATGAAGGAGCATGATTCTGATTTCAATAGGCTGCGTGGAAGCAGGATTCGCACCCGGAGTCCTCCTTGTCCTCTCATCTTGGTACAAACGAACAGAGCAGTCCAAGCGGTTTGGCGTTTATATATCTGCCGCCATCCTTTCAGGGGCCTTCGGGTCTTTATTGGCAGCAGGTATTATTCAAGGTCTAGAAGGAGCACGTGGAATTAGAGGATGGCGGTGGCTCTTCATTGTCGAAGGGTCCGTCACTGTGGGAGTCGCAATTATATGTGCGTTCATCCTGCCAGACTTTCCCGCTACCTCTCGACGCTTGTCGGAGAGGGAGCGATATGTAGCTGTCGCACGACTGGCGACAGATAATGTCAGCGCCATGACCGAAGATAGCATCCAGTTGTCACACTGGCACGCTGTTGTAGAGTCAGCCAAAGATTGGCGAACATGGGGGTTCGTGGTCGGGTATATGGTATGGTCATCGGAATACGTTGTACGGCGACAATTCTGACATCGAACAGGTCATTGTCGGCTCGAGTACACTGTCGTACTTTTATCCCACCCTCGTGGCGGGACTCTTCGGCGACTCCTCCACTGAGAGAGTAAACTTCCTGACCGTACCCATCTACGCAGTCGCATTTGTCTGCACCGCAATCACAGCTTACTTCAGCGACAAAGTTCCCCAATGGAGAGGCCTTGTCATCGCTGGCTGGCTGGCTGCATCGTTGGCTTGTTCTGTCGCGGTGTGCCTTGTATACAATTACACTGCACGATATGTGCTTCTTGTCCTAATGGCTGCCGGGCTCTGGGCCACGAATGGAGGCACGCTTGCCTACGCATCATCCGCATTTGCGAACATGCATCCACAAGTAAGAGGCGTTAGCCTTGCGCTGGTAAATGCGCTGGGGAATTTGGCCCAGATATACGGCTCGGTACGGCATTCCTCAATATTACTGATAGTACTCCGCATTAACTACTCACTTGCAGTATCTGTTTCCTTCGTCAGACAGTCCAAAGTATATTATGGGATTCTCGGTTATTTCCGCCATGCTTGCCCTGGGAGTAGTGGTCTTTATTGCAATACATATCTGGTTTCGCCGTCGTGCTGATGCCACGGGACGTGTGTGATGGTCTATACGCATATCATTCTCTAAAGCTTTGACTTATGAAACTCAGAGCTTGTGGCTTTTTGCAATTGTCCCATCCTGATCGATACCTACCACTTGGGGCAAGTATATCGGTGCACTAGGTCTTCGAGGAAAATAGAGTCACACTTTCCCGAACATACCAAACCTTACAATATCAATTGAAAGCAGTAGGACCAGAACTGCATCATCATTCCAGACAAGGCCACAAGTACCATAAATATCCAGATTTAAACTTTTATCTCAAAGCAAATCTATCAACTCCTTCAAGCCCCAAGCAAAGCCATCAAGCCCACTCCGGGTCCTGCTTCCTCCTAAACACCGCCACGTATTTATTTCCATTATTCCTCGTAACCTTCTTTCCTTCCTCCGTCGCCTCCCTCATGACCTGCACACACTCATCCTTCTCCAACTCCTCCTCCGACACCCGTTCAAACAACTCCTTCACCGTGGGTCCCTCATTCTCCCCACCCTCCACCGCAGTCTCATCCCGGAAATGTCTCAAAATCCAATGATGATACTCCTCCACATCCGTAATCGTATACAACAGACCCCCCGGCCGCAGCGCATACGCATACTCCGCATTCAACGTCTCCGAAATAATACGCGCCTTGTGCTTCCGCGCCTTGAAATGCGGATCCGGGAAACAGATAAAGATCTTCGAGAGCTGGTGCTTGTTGAAGAAATTCGGGAAGAACTTCATCGTGTTGCTGCGAATCGCAGAGATGTTCTGGTATCCGCCGGGGACGAGCGCAGTGCTGGTGTTCGGGTCCGGGGGGGCGGGTGCGTCGGACGGCGTTTCGGCATCGTCGGCGGCGGGGGTAGTAGGAGCAGGAGCGGGAGTCGAGGTAGAAGAGGGAGGTTGCGACTGCGACTGCGATTGTGTCTTTTGTTGATGCTGTTGTTGCATGCGAAGGGCTTGGATGCGAGTAGTAAGGTAGTCGAGAACGGCGACGCGGATTTCCATTCCTGTTGAACCATATTAGCCACCCTCACCATTTTCCCCATCCACTTATCCCATTATTTTATCCCACGGAGAAAGAGGAATACATACCAACCATCAAAGTCTCCGGCAACAACCCCGCCAACCCAACCAACAATCCACCAAACCCACACCCAATATCCACGACCTCCACATCCTTCAGCAACTTCCTCGTTCCAATGAGATTCGTCTGCGCCGGGTCCGGATTCACGAACGCCGGGAAATGCGATGCCCAATCCATATGCGCCGGGCTGAGAGGACTACACAGAGGTCAGCATAATGCCATTCAACCCCTCACTCAACAACCCCCACACAACACAGATAGGTATGCATACTAGTTCAACTGATGATCCGAAAACGGATTCGCATGAGCCCGCTGCCGATAGAACTTCTTCTTGGGAAGCTTGACCTTGCCCACGGGGGCGGATTCATCGCCGACGGCTTCGGCGACTTGTTTGCGGTATTCGGCGCGCTTTTGGCGCTTGGGGGGTGGTTGCGACATGGTTGTTATTTCTTCAATGACGGGCCAATTGAGGGGCTGAGGATGGGGGGTTGGTCAGTCTGGTGGACGTGGAGGGGGGGTCGTCACTGCGGAGGTGCGGAAATTTCACCGGAGAAATTATTGCAGTTGGCTGGCGGTGACGTTCGGGTGGGTGGGTAGGCGGGCAGGTGGGCTTATCGATCTACCACCACCGCCGCCGACGCCGCCTATCTTTATCTTGAGAAGCTGTGTCTGTCTGTCTGTCTGTCTATATACTCTGTGCAGTGCGTTATACCTCACGATACCAATAACCCCCATCCAAGCCATCCATCCCAACCAAGACACTCACATCCCCCACACACCCAAGAACAATGACAACCCCCTTCCAATTCCCCCTAACCTACTCCTTCCCAGCCTTCTTCACCCCCCAACCCAACACCAACACGCGAACCTCCCAACTCCAAAAATGGTCCTCGTTGATCCAGTCCTGGTGTCGACATCACCGCACGTACCGACTCTCCGTGATCGAGGCGATCGAGTCCCCGCTATTCCATAACACGACGCTCCGGAAACGGATCTCGTTGAGCGATGCGCGGGATATTTTCGATTGGATGGCGAGGGGGGAAGAGGAGGGGGGAGGAGGCAGGAGGGCGGAGTGGATTGATGGCGGGGGGAAGTCGGTTGTGTGGGTTTGGTGGAGGAGGCCGGAGGAGTGGGCGGGGGTGGTGGCGGATTGGGTATGTTTTTTCTTTTCTTTCTTTTTTGGGGGGTGGTGATTGGGTTGGGGCGTGTTGTGGTGATGGTGATGAGATGTGTGCGGTTGGTGGGCAATTGCTGACGTTGGTATAGGTGGAGAGTACAGGGCAGAAGAATGTCGTGCTCACGGTGTATGAGTTGTTGGAGGGGGAGGCTACGATGTCGCAAGGTAGGTGGTTGCTTGGTGCCCTCGGGGGTGTATTTGGTATGGCTGACTGGATAGAATGGCATGGGATGGACCCGGAGGTGATGCTCAAGTCCCTCAATGTTCTCGTCAAACGAGGCAAAGCACAGGTCTTTGGTAGCGAGGGCCAGGAGGGTGTCAAGTTCTTCTGATGGCGCTTGCTCTCGATGCGTGGACTTGAACGCGCTTCCAACGCTGGGATATGGCAACTATCTTCATATGAAAGTAAGGGATGTACATCAATCCAGGCAAACCCGAAAGAGCTATGCGAATTCCGCCGGCCATACAAGCAATGTGTCAACGCTGCACTCCTAACACCAATTTGATCCCGCTACTGCTCCATCTCGTCCGCCATCTCCTCGTTCAGCTCATATGCATCTGCCGTGTGCAGCGTTTGGGACATGGCAATATCAAGGAGCCAGTCCACGCGGACAATCCGTGGCGTTTTGCCCGCGCTGAGAACCATCTGGCGGAACCGCGGCCACAGCTTGACGTGGTCCGCAGCGGTGCTGCTCAATAGATATATCTCCTTCCGGCCCGGATCGTCGTCTCCCGAGCTCTCCTCGCTCTCCTCCCGCTGTGACCGGTATGAGACGCGACCGCGGAATAGGGTGCATTCTCCTCCATTAGCATCCACAATGGACTTGAACGCATCGAACCCGCCACGGATGGTTTCCACACATTGGATGTGATACCCTCGCAGGAGCTTGTTTTTGTTCTGCTTGGCATTTGCCTTTGCTGCTTCAAGAGAGAATCCGTATTTCTTCTCAGAGGCCATGTCCTTCAGAGGGAAATCGGCAGGGTCCAAAAGTTCGTCCTGCTTGAGGCACTGCGTAATAAACTCGATGTTCATTATCACGGGGCCATATGCAAGCGCATTGACGAATTTTGGGGTCCGCAGGATGGACGGGGCAGCAAGATGGGAACATCTCCGGGCATCTTGGACAACCAGGATACCAAGTTCACGAAGTTGGCGCTATTCGTGGTTAGAGGATTTCAGCTAGAAACATGTATACGGAGCGTATGGACAAACATACCTTATCTGCGTCTTCCTTTTTTGCGTTTCCAACCCATTTCTGGTACCCCGTAATCAACAGGTGCATTGCCACAGGAGGCTTCGACTTCTTCTGCCTCTTTGATTCCGTCATGTCCCCTTCGTCGCTCTCTTCCTCCGCTTCCATTGATCGTCGCTTCTTGCTGTTATTGAGTATGACTCGATCCTCATCGGTCTTCCGTCGACCACCATAAATCACACCACCCACACGCTTCTTTTCTTTCTCGTACAGGGCAATATCCGGCGCAATCTCATGCAGTCGAGCAGTTGCGGCCTCCTTCGACTTGCGACTGCTTGTTGTAGATGGTGTGTCATTTTCCTTGCCCTCAGATGCCAGCCGGGCGCGCGGCGTCTGTAGTTTCTGATCCGCAGCCTTTCGCGATTTGCCAACTGGCCGTGGTGTGGCACTCTGTGCCGGTGGTACTTCGCTCTCAGATTCTGTCACCTTTGCCGATGGTGGTTGCATAGTATCCGATGGCTTGGCAGCTACGGTGTTCTGTTCCTTGGTCTGCATCGCTCGACGAGGGCTTGTCGCGGCTCGGGCTTGCACCTCAGACGGGAAGAACAGGCTTTCAAGGATCGACCTGTCCAGCCGGGTCTGTCCGACGACTTCGCCTAGATTCGTCCTTTTGGGGAAGTGGGTGTAGCGAGGGTCAGAAACGGGTTGCAATTTCCATTTTGCGTAGCTCTCTTCCAGCCACAGGTGGTTGACGACGTGCAACCCCCATTCCTTTGCAGCGGCGCATTTCTCGCTGTTTCCATGGGCAGTCACGAGGTGGGTGTTTTCTTGCTTTAGCGTCTTTGTGCACTCTGCGCCCGTTGCCGTGATCAAGTTCTCCAGGTAGGCTCTGGCTTCTCCAACATAGTTGGACAGACTGACCTTAAATCCCTTGAAGCCCGGAATTCCAGAGCGCGAGACGGGGTAGTGTAGTAACCGCCGTAGAGGGGATGTCCATGTGTTGTAAGTCATCAAATGGTAGAGCCATGATAGGTTTCCGACGTCCTTATTCAGCCTTGATGCCGTGCGGTATGCGAACCCCTCTCTATAGCGACATATCAAGATATCCGCTTTCGAGATATCTGTCGTGACAGAGCCTCCACCATTGTTGATGATTTCTTCGATAGATCCGAGTAGACGGGGCCCAATGCCCAGGTCTGAGGAGAGCATGACATGCTTGTCTTGGAATACGGTAAGGCTGGGCTGGGACTCGGGCGATTTGACTGACGAAGGTAGGGTAGCTGGATTTGTCGTGGATGCGCCGATGATGTCACGATTTTCTGAGGAGCGTATGGGGGCATCCGGTGCTGCACGTAGGATTTCCGGGTCTGGGAGGGTATACGGACGCTCATCGATCCTTCGTCCAAGCTTTAAGCAATCATCAAACCTGTGAAACATTGTTAGACTGGGCCAAGCGCATCCAGGGCCGCCTTACCAATGCGGAAGAACTATCTTGACATTCAACTTCTTCGCAACGACCAGTCGAGCCTTATCAGAGTCTGCGGTCAGATCAACCAAATGAGTGACCTGCTGAGAGACCTTGGGGCTGTAAATTCCTCCTTTCGCCAGCACACCTCCGATTATAGCCTCCTTGTCGCCTCCCGGTATATCACCGCAGGTAATCACCACGTCGTTGAGGAACAGCCTCGGATCCGGACTATATTGTCGCGGGTTGGCTAGTTTTCTCTTTGATAGGCACGCATGTAGCCAGTGGGGCTTAACAACCGGTATCAGGGCATCGCTAGCTGCATCAAACGCCGGAAAGTCGACCGTGCAGGACAGAAGGTGGGTGAATTCGGAGAGGGGTGGGAAGGTGGCTGGCGGTTCGTAGATGACAGTTTCGCCGCCATGTTCTTCGAGGGTGGATGCAAGCTGTTGTCAATAATAATCGTTAGCCGGTTGGAAGTGAGACGGAGAATATTAGTGCAGGCCATACCTGATGTGCCGTATCGGCACTAAGATCTTTGGAGCATATTATACAGACTTTGCACTGGCTGAAGAGTTGCAGCTCTTCCTCCTGGTCTGCCATTGCGGGGGATGTACCTCTCAGTAAGAATATGTGTTGTATAGGTGATAGGCTTCAGGGGAAGACGGTGACATTTGCTGATCGATTCTACCTCTGCAGGAGAGAGCGCCTGTCGGGCTCTTGTGGTTCTGCGATGCGACGCGCAGACGCGCGACACCAGATCACGTGCAGATAAGATACATCGCAGATCGTCAATAAGTGGTGTCAGATACAGTCTTCCCATGTCCAGATTTCGTCATTGTCCATGTGATAGCTTCTTTTTCTTGGTGCCTGCAGTACTTATTCCCTGGTCTGTACTCCGTATGTGTAATCTACAATACCTTGTTCACTTGCCATGAAGTAATTTACCCGATTCGCCGGGTCCGACGCGCTTGGGGAAGTGACTGATCATATGTACTCCGTACCGCGACACACGACTTCCTTTTCGGTGGTACGCGGTAGAGTTCATTCGCTTTTTGGCGGGTTTGGATGGGTGGGATGCGCAGCTAGGAGGATGGGTGGCACTGATTTAATTGAATTCTGATGGGACCTCGGCGACTGCGGAGGGAATTATATACAGAGATTGAGTGGAGAGGATCACGAATGATTGATAGGGATTCCAGCGGGGTAGATAGACTCATTTGAAAACCACAGCATCCAGTGCATATCCACGGTGTCGGTAGCACGGAGTACTTCGTAGTTTCAGTCACTGCCTAATGTCCACAGTCGTCAGTACAGAGGTTTCGATATATATCCGGCAGCGGGTTACATGCCAAGCCTGCAACCTACACCAGATATTTTTATAATATTGCACGACCATATTACATGAACACACAAAGCGTAAAGCAATTGCTCAAAACAGAAAATAAAATAAAAAATCATGGTACACAGTGTGAAGCCCCACACAGCGGGGGAAAAAGGCAAAAAGAAATGACAAGAGTGGGATTCGAACCCACGCCATCAAACGATGATCAGGAAGCTGTGAAGCTGAATATTAAGGTTGACCTTAACCTGACGCCTTGGACCAACTCGGCCATCTTGCCTGGTGATGTGAAAGATGCTCATTATTTTGCCAATATCAACGGCAACAAAGCTAGCAAGGATAAACCCTCGAACCGAGCCATACCTGTAACTTTCGTACCGTAATTGACAGTATCATTCAGGCCCGCCTGGCGGCCTGACATCTAGTAGATTGCGACCGGCCGGCTTCCACGGGTATGGGCCGTCGTCGAACAGCCTCGGTTCATCGTCGACCCCGGCAGTTCCAATCCTCCGAATCTGGGGAATCAATGTCACCCCGATCCCTCTAAGCCATATATACCACCGTTGTCCCCACTACAGCAGCGGGTAATAAGCTGCTCAATAAGCCAAATAAACCATGTCGTTAGAATCCCCATCGTCTAGCCCCTTCCGCGTCGTTGAGCATATCGTCGAATGCCAACATATCAGGGAGTATCCCGCGGCTACAGCCAACGAGCAAGAAGATGTACTGAATTTGGTGGTGAAACAATATATTCCACTTGATAACCCCAATCCGCAACCAGGCGATGTAACAATCCTTGCAGCACATGCCAATGGGTTTCCTAAGGTATGAGAACCTTGCAGGAGCAGCAACGTCGCATTGAAGTACAGCAGCTAATGTATACCCCAGGAGCTTTACGAACCCCTGTGGGAAGAGCTGCATGCTCGATCAAAAGCCAATGGATTCCGAATCAGGAGTATCTGGATGGCGGATGTGGCGCATCAGGGCGAGAGCAGCGTAGTAAATGAGGATCTATTGGGAAATGACCGTATATGATGTCTCTGCTTGTCATATCACCCTAACCAATGCTGACGATGCAACTAGCAAGCTGGTTCGACCACCCCAGAGATCTCCTCCACCTTATCAACGTAAAGCGGAAGGACATGTCTCGACCCATTATCGGCATAGGCCACAGCATGGGTGGCGCCCACCTGTAGGTCCCCTTACCCTTCCCATGACAAGCAAGCGATCCTAACGCTCTTCCAGCGCACAGCTCTGCCTCATGCACCCACGCCTGATCCACTCCTTAGTCCTCCTAGACCCCGTAATCCAACGCGAATCCACGCAAATCGACGGATACGAAATGGCCCTCCGACGGCGACAAATGATAGCTAAAACGACCCAACTCTCAACCTACCGACGAGACACATGGCCATCCCGCAAAGCCGCCGCGGAAGCCTTCAACAGAAACCCATTCTACCAAGCCTGGGACTCCCGCGTCCTCGACCGCTGGATCAAATACGGTCTCCGCGAACTCCCCACAGCCATCTACCCACGAGACGGATCCAAGACCAACGAGAAAAGCAATGACCGTCCCGTCACGCTTCGAACAACCCTCCACCAGGAAGTCTTCACCTTCTCGCGTCCCAACTACGACGGGCCCCCGGGAAAGAAAATCCCCGTGAACAGAGTGACTCATCCAGATCTTAACCCCGAACATCTGGGTTCATGGCCATTTTACCGCCCCGAGCCGTCGCGGGTCTTCGCTATGCTCCCGCATCTCCGTCCAAGCGTGTGCTATATCTTCGGTGGGAAATCGGATATGTGTCTTCCTGATATGATGGCGGACAAGATGGCCGCCACGGGGACAGGACTGGGGGGCAGTGGTGGGGCGCCTGCTGGCCGGGTGCGCGATGTGTATCTGGCTGAATTTGGCCATCTTCTTGCTCAGGAGGCCCCCACACAATGTGCTGATGCAGCCAGTAAATGGCTGGGTGCTGAACTTGAACGATGGCGAACCGAGGAGAGGGAGTTCTGGGAACAGTGGAGTCGGAAGTCGAAAATCGAGAAGGTGACGATTGATCCTCGCTGGAAGGAGCATGTTCCAGCTCCTGAGAGACCAAAGAAGAATCCTCCCAAGTCGAAGCTATGAGTGCCCGGTTGTTCGCCTCGGGATTAGGGTTGTAAGTATATTGCTTGGGCGTATTGGTGGATGTACAAACCGTGTCCTCTGATAAGAACATTATAGATAACTATGCATGCACGTGGCCAGTGATACGCCTGCATATTCAACAGGATACCCCAATGGATAAATCTACATTTGTTTCTTTGTTCTCAGCTCTTCTCTATAGGCTATGTATAAAAAGCGGCTGACTGGCTCAAAACTGGCATCTATAAGCGTTTATCGATCAACCTGCACGCGAACGGTCATGCTGAGATACGAGGGCTCAAAGCTCCGGTCATTGATGCCCTTCTGAAAGTGGTCTAAGTGATAACGAACGAGGGTGTAGCGATCCAATCTAGTTTGACTTCTTAGCAGCGCCATTCTCACTCTTGCCTAAGGTGCTGGTGCGAAGAATTTCGGGGAAATTCCAGAAATGAGGCCACCACAGATGGTACTCTTCTTGGCGCTTGTTCAAGCAGTGGCGTAGCCAGATACCCCAGACGAGGTAGAGGTACGCCCCAATGCCGGTCATCACATGCCTAGCAGCAAATTAGTATATGGAGAGTGCCGGATGCATGATAACTTGGCGAACATACCACCAGCCATGGCCTTCCAAAAGAATACCCCAAGGAAGACCCACTTCCCGGCGCCATCCGCGGATCTTCGAACAGAAGACATTATCCAAGCCCCAAATAGCGAACCCGCCCAAGAACACGCTCAAGCCGTAGATAACCATAAACCACATGGTCTTGAGGGTCTTCAAGTCCCGCACGTTCTCGTAATGCTGGTGCTCTTTGGTCGGGACGGGCAGGCCCTGCTTTTCGCGCGCCAGTCTGTCCTCCTCAGTGGAATGGCGCCAGCGAGGACGAAGCGTAACCTCCATGGTGTACATACTGCGTATGAGGACGATGGCCGTCAAGATGCCGTATGCGTTTTGGTGAAACAAGGGATCCTGGAGGTAGTGGTAGTAGAGGGTGATGAAGATCGCTAAGCTGGCAAGGAAGATGCCTAAGAAGATGCGGGTGCCCGTCGGCCTGGAGTATGAGAAGGACGCATAGCACATCAAGCACGTGGTGTAAATCATGGATAATTCATCAACAAGCTGCATGGGGTCTGTGAGAGATGCAGGCGTTAGCAACATGTACCCCAGTTACCCTCCCCGCCATGAAGTATTACTTGCATTTCAATGTCGAATGGAAGAGGAAGCTGCCCGTTCCGACCAGTAAATAGCCGCAGTATGCAACCTGAAAGATCGAGTCATGACCATTATGGCGACAGCTCAGAAAGCCCTTGATTCCGAGAGCCATGAACAGCAAATTTGTCAGGGTATTGACGATCTCTGCGGAGTAGATGGTGGCATAGTAGTCCTATTTCGATCATACGATCAGCAGCCAATCATATCGTAAACTGTGACGGATAACGAGACGGGCTGAGCACCGCATACCTCTTCGCACCAATTCAGCGTCGACGTGACGGGACTCCAATATCCTTCCCTGGAGGGGGGATACGGAATATGCGGGAGAGAGAACCACGGAGACATGATGGACGGAGACAGAGCTCTCCGCAGGGAAGAGAGAGTTGGCGACGTCTCTGGTGGACGACAACGGAGCGGCAGGATTACTGGCCGGCGGGCATAGCAGGAGGCAATCTGGGAGAGGGAGAAAAGTCCCAGGGCGAGAGAAAGGCAGTTGTCGACAACTGGAGGAGGTGGTGGCCATGGAACTTACCTTACTCTGCCTTACCGGCCCTCCAGACCCGTGACGTCGATTAATTACGCCGATCTGCGACCCCGTCTGCCTAGGAAGGCATGTCAGTGGATTTCCAGGGTCCCGATTGGCCAGACCGGACTGGACGAACTCCCGCCGGGAACAATGGGCGGTAAGATTACAGCGCCCTGCGGAGGACGTGGGTGCGGGCAAGTGGAATGGCAACGCCTGCCTGCATTCTTCTGCATGCATTGGCCAAGGTAAGATGGCACCTGGTCAGACGAGATCCCTGGATTGGACTGACTGAAGCTGCTAAGCAGTTTAGCGCGGAAAATAGCAGTCCATGTCGTTGCAGATTTTCTATAGTATTACCATCAGCCCTGTGGTCCGTCGAAGTACACTAGGATACAGTATCCGGCGAACTGGACAAAGTTTAGCCCTGGCGATGTTGCCCATACCAATCTTACAGGTTCTACTGCTTCAGTTCCTGTCAGACAAGCCCAGGTACATTAACCTTAACCCGAATGCGTACCTGTACCTATCCTGTGGCTGGTCCTTACGCCGGACAGGTCGGAAGTCAGAAGCGACGAACGGCCGCGGCAGTTGTGGCTGGTGATCGGCAGCCAATCGAGATGCTTTCCGCCCGGCCTGATGACTTCACCAACAGCCGTCCGCTTCGGGGAAAACACGCTCTCCTCCTCTCGTATCTACACCGTCTCTTCAAAATTCTCCCCGTCCTCCTCTAATTCCCTCAAAACAAGACTTATCTTGCCTGTCATCTTCCATAAATCTATATATATACTATATTAACCTACCATGTTACCCTAATCACCATCAATGTGACCGCCACCGCTTGTATGCGGTCAGTCTCAAATCTCAAATTCTTCCTCAGCCTCCAACGCGCAGCGCCCCGAATGAATTAACCTCCTCACGCGGACCCTTCTCAAACCCTCATATACCTATCCCGATCCCCGGCGCCAGCCGCAGGACCCGAAACAATGTCGAACAATGCGGCCTACGCCGTACCACAGGTGAAAACAACCTCCACCTGTACGCCCACCCACCCACCCATCCAACCCTCTACCCAGGAAACCCTAACCATCAACCCACCCAACAGCCTCCAAAACCACCTTCCACTTCGCCGCCGGCCTCTTCTCCGGCCTCACCTCCTCCATCCTCCTCCAACCCGCCGACCTCCTCAAAACCCGGGTCCAACAATCCCAAAGCGCCTCCCTCCTCCCAACCATCAAAACCATCCTCTCCTCCCCACACCCAATCCGCAACCTATGGCGCGGCACTCTCCCCTCCGCCCTCCGCACGGGCTTCGGCTCAGCCCTATATTTCACCAGTCTGAACGCCCTCCGAACCGGCCTCGCCCAATCCCACCACAACCACACCCCCACCAAAATCACCAATAGCTGCTCCTCCGCACTCCCCAAACTCTCCAACACCGCCAACCTCACCACCGGCGCCGCCGCCCGAGTCGCCGCCGGCTTCGTCATGATGCCCGTGACCGTGCTCAAAGTCCGCTACGAATCGGACTACTACTCCTACCGCAGTCTGTTCAGCGCAGGGAAGGATATCATCCGCACGGAAGGATTCCGGGGCCTGTTCTCCGGGTTCGGGGCTACCGCGGCGCGAGATGCGCCGTATGCGGGCCTCTATGTTCTGTTCTATGAGCAGTTGAAGCGGCGATTGGCGGGTCTGGCGAGTTCGTCGGCGGATCAGCAGCCGATGAAGTCGTCGTCGATTAATTTCGTCTCGGGCGGGTTGGCGGCGGGGTTGGCTACGGCGATTACGAATCCGTTTGATGCTGTCAAGACTCGCTTGCAGTTGATGCCTGGGCGGTACGGGAATATGGTTCGGGCGGCGAGGTTGATGGTGCGGGAGGATGGAGTGAGGAGTTTGTTTGGGGGGTTGGGGCTGCGGATTACGAGGAAGGCGCTGAGTTCAGCGCTTGCGTGGACGGTGTATGAGGAGTTGATTCTCCGGGCTGAGGTGTCGTGGGGTAAGGCGGTATAGATGGGATTTATATAAATCGTGGTATGGTATGGGTTTCGTGTTCGGCTTCCCGGTATGAGTATGATGAGTCAGTGTTGGAGTTTGTTATTGTGATTGTTGTCGTTATCGTTACGGGCATAGAAATGGGTTCGGATATGGGATTGCATCGATCATCATTCATCATCATCATTGTATCATATATATAACTGCGTCAATCCCAACTCACGAGAAGAAAGAAAATCAACATAACGACATGACATGTCACGCATCAACGTATGTATGAGACAAGACAGGATTGACAGTCTTTATATAAGCGAAAACAGAACAGAACACGACGCAAAAAACAAGACCAAAGCAAGCAAATCATGGTATCACACTGCGTATATAATATAATGATGTTGTGGCCTTGTTTAGGTGAAGATCCAGGCCTTGGAGGAACTCGGGTTCTTCTTCCGGACAAGATACAGTTTGTCCTTCTTTCGGTCGTTCACCTTGAGTTCGGTCAGGGTGCTTGAGTGCTGAGTGACGAGCTTGCCCTCACGCAGACGCCGCGTGTGCGCGAAGAGCTCCTCCTGGAAATCTTCGGAGATCCATTGTTTGATGATAATGTAGTTGCTGTCAAGCTGTTATGAGAGCAGTTAGCATTGATGATGCATTACAACAGAATGGCTGGGCTCAACTTACATCGTCCCAATCCCAGGGCAGACGGTAGGCAATGAGGGTATCTGGCAGGAGATGTTTGTGATGGACCTAATCCGTGAGTTAGATCGACCATTCAGTCTTGGAGGTTAAGGAGCATACCTTGATCCAAGTGGTCCGCTGCGGCTCTGGTTCCTTCTCTTTTTCTTTCTCCTTCTCCTTCTCCTTCTTCTCCTCTTTCTCCGGCTCCTTTGGCTTTTCGGGCTCCGCCTTTTTCTCCGGCTCTTTTGGCTTTTCAGGCTCCTTATCCTTCTTGATGATCAGTTCAAGTTGCTCTTCGCTGCAGCCGAATTCGAGCTTCAGTCTCTCCTTGAACTCGTGATCACGCCTCTTCCTTTCCTCTCGCTCAGCGATCATTCTCCGCTCCTCGTTCAGCTTCCACTCATCAATAGCGGCCTGCTTCATAGCGGCCTCCTTGCGGGAGCGCTCCTGCTCGGCAAGGATCCTCCTCGCGTCCTCATCGCGGATTTCTTTTCTGATGCGCTCGCGCTCCTCGTCCTCCTCGAGTTTGCGTTGGAGCTCTTCAAGTTGCCTCTGACGCATCTTATGCTTGAGCTCCTCTTGCTCCGCAGCATGACGCTGGGCCTCTTCAAACTTGATCAACTTGTAGCGATGTTCCGCCTCACGCTGCTCTTCTTCCTGGCGCTGCTTTTTCTCAAACCGCTCCAACCGCCGCAGCCGATCACTGATTTCATCCTCATACCACTCCTCCTCGTCCCTGTACAGACGAAGCTCATGATGACCCCGGTGTTCATGGTGCTGGGGCTGGGGCTGTGGCTGCGGCTGCGGCTGCGCTGGCGGCGGCGGCGGGGACTGTACCTGTTGCAATTGTTGTTGGTGGTGCTGGGAGTGCTCCCGATGCCGAGCCAGTTCGCGCTCCAGACGCGCAATTTCCTGCTGCTGGCGTTGAAGCTCCAGGTCCTGGCGCACATCATTTTTCTCAAGTAGTCGCTGATCCAGCGCGAGCTCATATTCACGAGCCTGATGCCTCTGATGCTCTTGGTGCTGGGCGTATTCGCGATGCCGAGCTAGATCACGCTCCAGACGTGCGATCTCCTGCTGCTGACGCAGGAGCTCTAGGTCTTGCTTCGAATCATTTTTGCCAAGCAGGTGCTGATCGATCACTAGCTCATAGTCACGAGAATGCGGCCGTGGTGATGCCTCCCGGGAGATGCTACTCGGGCGAGTCCGAGATCGGCGATGATCCCGCAACCGGGTCTCATCCTCAGACTCAAAGGGGTCGATATAAGTCTGCTGCTGCTTGTGTTCCTGCTTACGGTTCTTGCTGGCACTCTTGTTGCGGGCGTCATTCTTGGCATCGCTCTTAGCATCTGTCTTGGCATCAGCTTTGGCGTCATATCTGTTATTGACGTCGACGATGACGGCGACGGGTTGATTGTTGCGCTCGCGGCTGGTATCCGGGCGACGACGGGCGCCGGTGGATGCCGAGCGATGAAGGTGGGAATCATGTATGACAGGGCTAAGGTAGGCATTACTGTAGCTCGGATGAAACCGTTGGCGGGAGACGGAACGTCGGCGAGTTGTCACTTTCCGGCGAGGGCTCGTCTCGATCATCGAGTAGTCCGACTCGGAATACTCAGACTCCGAGTCAGTGAGGACGTGGCGTCCGCGGCTGTACCTAGGGTAAGCCATGATGCTCCCCTGTGTATTCCGCGCAATTCTCCTTTTTGATTTTTAGCCAGGCTTCCACTGCCTGGGGGGTTGTGCGCGTGCGCGTGAGAGCGCGGGTGGTGGGTATAGTCGAGTCAAATGAAGGGTAAGCGGGGTGCCTCGATGGTCGAGGGCCGTGACGTCGGTGGTGGGGGGCGGCTGGGCCACGATAGATTTTAGATGCCCACCAAAGCACTCACGTCGTTGAATGTCGGGAAGATCTGACGGATTTGACGATGGAAGTCAAAGTACGAAGTAGGTGGGAAAGGGAGAGAGGAAGAGAAGAAAAAGAAGAAAAAGAAGGCAAGTCAGCGATCAAATAGGAGGGAAAACAAGGACTGGGCAGTGGCCCCTCGTGCCTCGTAAACGCGGGCGCTTCGCTCAGCTGAAGTGGGGGATTGGCAGCATTGGGCCGACCTGATCAGCTGCGGGCGGCAACATTTAGGATTCAGGTACTTGCCCCCGTTTCTCTTTTATAGGCAGAGAAGACGTGAAATACGGGGTCGTAGCCTTAGATGCAGGAGACGTCGAAGCTGTCGAATGAATATTTCGCGAGGGAATGTTGCCAGCGGCTGTTGAAACTGCAGTGAAGTCAATCTCATCACCACCACAAAGCCCCGGTGGTACCTTCTAGATAGATGACGTGCCTATCCTTGGGAGGTTGGGCGTCTAGGGCGCGACCCACGCCAGTTAATTATCTCGTCTTTGGTCAAGGGCCTCCGGTTATCTATCTAACATAGATAGACGTTGCTCTCGGCCAAGGAAATCCACGGGCCTAACCGCCGGCTCATCCATGGACCCTGGACTGACACCCGCCGGAAAGGGTACCTGACGACCGGACTAGTCTGGCTAGTGAGTGGAGGTACTGAACCGCCATCACTCCGACTTTCACTCTCTCCCACCCTAAGCCTATGAGAAACTCCGATGAACCTCAGCAGGCATCCAGGATGACCAGGCAATCACTGACCAAGTCATCACTGGATGCACCAATCGCTAACGCACCTGACCCGGGTGACTGATGATGCGATTTCGGGATGACTTTGTTGTGTACCCTACTGAGTGAAAGAGCTAACCTTGGTCGAATCCTGGGCCCCACGAATGAATTCACAGCCTTGCGGGCCGAGGCTGGACTGCAGGCCAACTCACCGACACCCATTCCGTTTTCTTCAGGTATCCAACAATAGGACTTCTGCATGGACTATTATCAGCCACCGCCACCTATGTCAAACATTCAAGTTCCATTGCAGTAATGCACTTCGCATAATATGAATTCCCCAGGAGGATACAAGCATCTGGCGGAATCTCGGCCCAAACCTCAGAAGTATCACAGACAAAAGAAAGAGCACTTTCAGCAGGTATCATTACCATGTACACCGTAGAGCAATGAGCGGATCTAAGATTAAAGATCGATAATGTCCTTCGCGACAAACAAACATCATTAGCTGTCGCAGCTTGCATATTCCCCACAGCGACCGCCTCATTCCTCTCAGCGTAATTTATCTAAACCAAGCTACGGAGGAGATACTCATCCTATCATAATTGCTGCCACTTGAACAACGATACTAGCGGATCTTAGTCCCATGTAGCTAACTAGGAACATTGCTCGATATGTCTTCGCCCCTACTGTGACTCAGTCATATCCTATACAACTCGATAATGATTGTACACTTCTTCGATGTCCAGAAGATATACTGCGTTAATGAGATTATGAGGTCTAATTCATTGGAGAAAGGAAGTGAGATCACAAAACACTCAAACTCGACAAAGAAACAATGCTGCAATCCCCTCATCCCAACCCGATAAAAAGTAAACGAAACAGAACGACCCGATATATACCACCTCACGACAACATAGTACTTGCCCTCAACTCTCCCTGACAGACAGACAACGCGATAGTCTTACTTCTCTTTAAGACCTTTAGCCAACTCATCCTCCTTTTCACGTTTCCGTATATACCAAAAGAGCACAGGATATGCCAGATCAAAGCCAAGATACATATAACAGCACCAGAGAATAAAAGGCTGACCCAAGAAGCCAAATACCTCCGGCCAGTATTTGATACGAAGATAGAATTCCGGAACTAGGGTCAGAGATCCGGTGAATCGGAAGAACCTAATTGCTTATTAGTCTAGAGAATCGTTGGAGGCAATGACAAGATTGGTATACGCACCATAGATGAAGGGAAAAACCACGCGTATGACCTCGCACCAAAAGCTGGCCAACGTATCCCACACTCAGAATAACCTGGCAAACGATGGCATTCATGAAACACGCCCTCGTTTCTCCAAGCTCCGCAGTGGCCGTTAGATGGCCCGCCAGGGCTAATAACACTCCACCTATGTATAACCAGGGTAGATGGCGCTGTATCATGGGTGATCGGTCCCATTCTCTGGATCCGTATTTGATGGCCGAATAGATGACACCACAATTCGTGATAACTGCGACTTGAAACGTGAGCATGACCAGCCAGTGGTCGGGGGCGTATAGGAACCCGAAGGTGATTTCCCATGCTATGTTGAGACATTGGGAGATGAGTGGCATGGCAAAGGATTTGTCTTTGTAGGATCGGTATATCATGCCTGCGTACACGTAGAGCCAGATCAGGTTGGAGTAGGAGTTGCAGACCCAGACGGCGGTGCCCCAGACTTGGAATTCGGGAGGGGCGGTGGTGAGGTCGAAGCCGTCCATGGTGGATAAATGGGTGGTAAACCTATGATGCGCAGATTAGATACTGACTTGAAAGTAGTATGGCGATGATGTCGAGGAGATCGTGACACAGCACGGCTTTATGGCCTTTATATATTCATATCTGTGGAAGTCCTGGGTTTGTGATAAATTGATAATGCGAAGGTGGTGGAAGGAGCCGACGGAATCAGGTGGACAGGCTGCAGCATTACCTTTGATCAATTGTCCGAGTAACCCTGGCTTCTGCATATCATTCGATGGCTCCATTATCTTGCATGGTATGTAGTGGACTCCTGAGATATTGCTGGGTCATTTCAATCCAGTCGAGGGATATTTCCTCGAGCAGGATGACATGTTGACAGTCTCGTTTTGAATATGATGTTTGATGTTTCAGCTGTGTTCTCGTGCGCTTATGTCCTTCATTCTGTCGCAAAGTCGACAGATATCATATAATAGTAGCGGCAGTAGTAAGATACCTTATCCCTGAACCTCTCAGGAGGTATAAAGTCTTGCCAAACTCTGGGGTTACATACGAACTGAAGAGCACAAAGACAATTCAAGCACATGACACTATGAAGATTTCTTTGCGGCGTATTTCGCTTCCATTGGGACATGAGATTTCGACAGAAGTCAGCTTGGATCTGGCATTCCGAGTTCCGGGTTAGTCAGACTGCAGTATACCATTGTCCAAGCGCCGGGGTCTTCGGATGTTCATGATATGGAGTCGTTAGTTCCAGGGTAGTTCTGCCGGGTTTATCAATTCAATATCCAGGACAATGCTCTCATGATTGGTTGGCGGTGACACAAATGCATCGTTATACTTCTGAAAGATTGCTCCTGCCGTGTAACACTCACAGCTCGAGTCAAGCCGTTGTATCACCCTATGTTCGTGCTATAAATTCCAGCCTATATCTCTTTCCAGCAGCCATAATCGAAGACGACTGTGGTTCGGGAAACGAGAGGTAAAGAAACGACAAGCTATTCACTTACCCACCATGACATAGCTCGCAGAACAGGCTTGCCACCCCAGCGCTTAATCTTTTACGTTCCTCCTCTTAATCCCGAGTCAAGAAAATGAATACGGTATTTGACTCTCTCCCCGGTGTCCATGGACGTGGAGTGTTCCAAGATCCGGCACCACGGGAGTGTTTTACTCCGAACCAACATCTACCGAGAGATTATCCATCCTTCATGGCTGATTGGTGTATCTACAAAGGGACCAACCGGGACTGGTGTTATTCGTGGGCTCGATCTAAAGCGTGTACATGTACTCCGTACTATGTACAGCAATCATGCAGGCCGTGGCAGGTAACACAACTGACCGTGGCAATGGCCCCACCATTGATGGCGGGTCGGGCTTACAGCTCGGCGTGGTCAGAGCTGCCGATCGGGTATTTTGGGGGGTGAACCTCTCGTTTTTAAACCATGACGAGCTTTTCATAGTTCGATTATATATAGTATACCGGATTCTCCGGGTCATTCTCTAGAATTCTTGACCATGATGAGCTCTCTTCCCAACATAAATCCAAGATTCTCTACTCCCAATCCTCAAACAAGACCATGATTACCCTAATAATCCTGATAGACCATAAAGCTTTCAAGAGCCCAGGGCCTGAAGAAAATACTGGGTGCATTAAAGTACTATGTCAAATTATATAAAATGGCTCTAGACCACGCTGAGGTTTTCTTAGACGACAACGAGCTGCGACCCGAAAAAGTCTCTAATACTCTACTCTTGAGCACGATGAGCTCTACAATTCATAAGAACATACGGCTCCCTAATTAAGATCCGTGAGAGACCCTAAGTACTCTAACAAACTTAGTGCTGCCTAAGTTTTATGAGAACCCGAAATATCGAAAAAGAAAATGCTTGTATTACGAGAGGAATTTCGCTGATGAATAGCGAGAAGGCTTAGACCACGACGAGCTCCAACCCGCAAATGTTCTAGTAATCTACTCTTAATAACGATGAGCTCTACATTTAACACGAGTACACGACGTCCTTATTAAGATATAGTAGAGACACCAATTACTCTCATAACCCTAAAACTCTCCAAGTTTCATTGAAATCGAGGATACTAGAGAAGATGATTGTAGAATCAAAGGATTCTTATGATTTATAGAGGAATAACTTTAGATCACGCCGAGGTAATTCAAGACCACGATGAGCTGCGAGCCGAAAAAGCCGCGAGGGTAGATTAGAGAAAGCGATGCCTAATGGAGATTTTAACCACGCCGAGCTGCATCCGGGGTTGAACCTAGAATCTTTGCCCACGCCGAGCTTCTTAACCATGATGAGCGTGAACATGCCACTCCACAGCAAGATCCACTGCTGGCGGCCTTCGATAACCTCCAGCCTTTCAACTTGCTGTAGATTCAATCTTACGGATCATCGCCCATCCCTTTAAAGGGGCTCAAATAAGGGTAAAGTTAACGAAAGTTGGTTAATTGGATATTAGCTGCTGTCGAAATTGACTTGCAGAGGACCGAAATAGCGCATGAAATAAGCAGATAACTAATGAGTGGATCATTTGGCTTATACTGACAATTTCAATCAGATTCCGCTTTTGCTGCAGCCCTTCAAACCGTTATTCATCATAGCCTCCGGAACTTCATCGCATAGCAGTTCCCCACTACAACTACCATCCAGCTCGTAGTTGATAGAAACAGGATACCAAGCTGGAGCCACACATCTTGACGCCTACTTATTCCCCTCCTACAGATGTGTGTTAGAGGGTTGGGTATCACATTAGACACTGGGCACACAAGAGATAGAAGATGCAAGACGAAGAGGCAATTCTAATGAATGCTACTTACCGCCCAGCAAGCAAAGGGATAATTTTCTTGGCCACAATGGATATTGTTGGTGTTCTGTTCATGCAATTTTAGCTTTATATCTTCAACAAAGTTTTCAAGGCTGTTATGGTCCACTTACACTCTGTGCAGTCTGTATGCAATCCGAACTCGAGCGGCAGTCCGCGTCCGAGTGACACTTCACGCCGGGTCAGTCAGAATCAGCAGCCAACCTCCACGTACAAGTCCACAGCAGAGGGGACAAGATAGCCATACCTCGATACCTGCAGCGCATCCATGCCAATAATAAGCCCTTGGGTCGAGGCTCTGAGGAGCGGGAGCAGGAGAAGCCAGGCTTCCGGCACCAAGGCTTAAAGCCGTAGTGAGGAGGAATAGGAATTGCATGGTGAAGGTGAGTTGTTTTGGCAGAGTGCAAAGGGGCTGGTCAAGATTATCAGAGTTGAGGAGTCTGATATCAGCTTTGAAGTTGCTGGCCTCACTCGACTCGAAACGACGTATTTATATCTTTGATGTAAAGTTAGGCGTTCAGTCGTCCGTATTGTTGAGCTCCCTGAAATGCAGGCTTAGCTGAGTGAACGAGAAACATGGCGAATTGGCAGCGTTTACGGCATTCGCATCTCGTAGAACAATAGATGGGGTGGTTTTTGAGGAACAATATGATCGATAGTCTGGTTATGCAGGATGCAAGGGACCCTTGATGGGGGGCCTGTCAGTCTCCGACCTCGTACTGCTGAGTCTTGTCGGGTCTTGCATTCCTATTTGCCATGTGTACGTACGTAATTGTACGCATCGGATCTAGACTGCCATTGACCCTAGTCTGAACGAGCCCCTTCAACAAGAGCATCCAATGTAGGGCACATTTTAGCTTCTCAAGTCCGCGTTAGCGGCGGCTACCGCAATAGAAACGACCATTGTGGGAATATCTATACTTAGACGACCCGCATGTTACACAGCCTCAACGTCACCACGAGCTGGTTCTGGGAAGGAAAATTCTAGCCTCCGGGTTGATCATCGATACAGAGCACCGGATGATGGAATCTGTCTCAGTTCCTTCCGCATCATGAAATCATGTAGAATGTGGACCAGCCACTCATCAGTGGTGTCTTTCGGCGGCAAAACCTTGGCGTCAGCGTCATGTTCAGTCTGGCCGGTTAGGACAAGGCGCACTGAGACACATCACTCTATTTCAGGTTAGGCTTTACAGCATCATGGAACAGTTGCATAAATCGGGCTTCCTCAGTTGCGCTTTCCGTATGGTAAATGGGAGCCTTTGATGGCTGGACAATGGCAACACACGGCGATGCCCTGACCGGGGGGCGAAAGGGACGGGGATTATAGGCGCAGGCACTTTCGACGTTGAGTGCCCGCCCGTACCACAACGGGAAGAGACAGCCGCATGGCGCGTGTGGCGGATTGCAGATCTGTCGGATTTGCAGCTTATTTCTCTCAGCTGCTGAGGGATAGGCTCTAGGTGGGGAGTGGGGTGCACTCAGCTTTGTTGAGTAACATAGAAGAGGCCCGAGAGCTTTGCACGAAGTAATGCAAGCCAGGTCTGGGTTCCACCACACTTTTGCTTTGGAAATATCTAGGTTCGTCTTTGGAGGGTTCCATCCATGTATGGGGCTCGCCACCGCATGTCGAATGATCCGCCCATGACGCTAGAGTGATAATGCTGTGTTGCTATTCCTGTCCCCCAGGGACTTGAAGTTCCATCAAGATGGTATGTTGTCTGGAGGATGTCGAACCGGAAAGAGGGCGACAAAGATGCGGCCCCACAAAATGACAGACTATTAAACCTCTGCTAGCCCCAGAGCGATTTTGACACTGCTTGTGCATGATTGATTTTATCAGGAATGTGGTGGTCGTCGCGGACCACGATGGTGGTGGGACCTGTATGGCGATGTGGGAAGGTGGGGCTTTGTGGTGTGTAGCAAATTGACTGCAGTGAGATGGAAAACCAGCAGCCAGTCGTGTCGCTTATATGCCACCGTGCCAGGCATATGATACACAGGCTCGTATTCTCGATTGCAATCTCGACTGTCGTCCACATATGGGCTCGTCGTGTTCGATGCTGGCTGATTGGATGCAGTACGAAGGCGTCGTTGACGACTGGGCGGTCGTATGGCTGCCTGAGGACTACCCCATATAATTGAATCCAATCACGGTGGTCTGCTACCGGTCTTCCTGAGGCAGAAGTCGAGATCTGAGTATAAACCCCCCCCTCCTTTCCCGTGTTCCTCCACATCCTCTACAACCATTGCACGCTCACACATTGGCAACATAAACCCCCAAGCAGAGGCTCCATAGCGTCTCATTTTGGGTCAGTTCTGTATCTTTCTGTAGAGCGACGTACTCTGGTAACCTTTCGCTTGCGTATTTCCCAACCAGTCTATAGCTTGCGGTTTTGTGAACTTAGGGTGCCTTGTACACCAACAATGCTGGCAATGAGGCGCCCGTGGAAATGACAAGAGGGCAGCCAAAGAACTGTCATTGAGCTCATCAGATCATGACTGTTCAGTGTGTCCATTTACTTGCAGAGAATGACCTCCTGACACAGACCCCAGCTCACTCATACTATGTGGTATCCGAGACCTGCCAAGCAAAGATATTGTAAGCAGGAGTGACGAGGTGGCATACTATTTCGTGTGAAATCGCCTGGATTTACAGTTCCAGGTAGGTCGGGCAATTTGGAAGTCAATTCAATGTCTATCGGGTCTTCATGAAGACCAACGGCAACCCGGGAGAGTGTAGTGCGAGAAAGGTTCCTGGCCAAAGCTTGCGAAAACGAAAGCTCGAGAAATCCGAAGCAAGGGAAGCAAGGTATTCCTGGTGTAACCGGCACTTAAGACCGAGCAGGAATCGGACGATCAAATTGACTTGACTAGGCGGGTAGTCGGCATTCCTGATAGCTGGAACTGTTCAGGATAAGTCGCTACATCTAAGATTCCTACATATCTACTTCCAAATTCTACACACCATGTATTCTGCAACCAGCCTGTGCTCTACATAGTATCTGCTATGGTTTATCTACATAACTAGTTGACAATTCGATCCTCCGCCCCATAACCACACACACCCTGCTCCGATGTGAAATGTAGTACATACATAGCTCTTAAAGTAAGAATTACTTATAATACTCAAGCCTCGGATTTAGATGTCCTTTTTTTCTACTAAATGACAGATTCCATGCCCAATCTGTTGGGCTCAGTTCCTCATTGCAGAACCATCAATGTCGGGAAACCTGACCCGTCGCTCTTAGTACCAGTGTTAAGATGAGGGGAACGTCTTGTAGCCCAATAGAAAGAAGTGGGTTAGCTCGCTGAGGCCCTCCATTCATCCATGACTGCAGCTCTCGGAAACGAACGAACCCGTCATTGGCCCGCTTTATCTCTTCTTAGCCATGATAGATTTCTGCACCAACTAGTTACCTTCAACCCCGCTTTCATACAAAGTACTATCTACTCTCCTTGGTAGTAAGCCCAGCAAAATCTGCAAAATATGATGGCTGGATACGAATCGGCAGTACGTTTGGCTGTCATTCCGCTTTCCAATAATGACATGGTGTCAGTTCGACCCATTTTCGCAGGAGGGTCTGTCTTATAAGTACGATCTCCGAACTCCTCATCTTGTCAGATGAGCCTAGACATCATCTACCAGTTTGCAACGCAGCCCCCACATTCAATTGTATATCACTTTTATCAAGATGGGAAGAACTGGCCACAAGGATGAAGCTGTCCAGCAGGACCTGGATCAGCTCTTATCTGCCGCAGAAAGCTACCAAGAGAGTCTATCAGCTGATAGCCGTTACAATCTGCTGACCAAGGCGACACGTCTGGTACAAACCCTTCGTGGCCCAGCGGATATGCTCTTCGCGCATCTCGAGAATGTAGGCCACCTTATCCCGTTATAATAAAGGAAGTTATGAACTGTTTTCCAGGCTGCCAGTATAGCAGCTATAAGAACACTCCTGGAGGCTGGTGTATTCCACGCCATCCCCACCGGAGGCAAGCCTATCTCTGCTGCCGAAATATCAGAGAAGACAGGCGTGGACAAGGAATTGGTCGGTACGTTGTAGTCGCTCAACCCGACCTCCCGGCTCAACCCCCCTAACAAGAACCCCAATAGTCCGGTACATGCGCGCCGTCACCTCACTCGGTCCATTCCAAGAAGTCGGAGAAGAACAATACGCTCATACACCATTCTCGGAAATCTACCTCTCCCCACAAATGAGGGCAATCTACACCCTTACGTACTACAAGCCACACCATCATCCCACACCAACCACCAAGCTAACAACCAGATCAGGGTCGACATAATCGCCCCTCCCATGCTCCAAAGCCACGAGTTCTTCCGCCAAAAGAACTGGAAGAATGGGATAACTCCCCGCAGCAACCCATACACATTCTTCCACGACTGCGAGGGCCAAACCATGTTCGAGCACCTCGCTCAATCTCCCGACCATCTCAGCCTCCTCAATGATGCGATGATGGCCTCAGATTCCAGCCTAGTCACCGTAGGCATATATCCAATTACCGAAGAACTAGGCCCACTCGCAAGCGAAGACACCGTAACCCTCGTCGATGTCGGTGGCGGACGAGGCCACGTCCTTCGGCAAATCAAAGAGGGTGCACCCGATCTCAAAGGCCGGTTCATTCTTCAAGACCAGGAACACGTCCTCCACGATAACGGAGAGGAGATCAAAAATCATGGAATCGAGGCTATGGCTCATGACTTTTTCCAACCACAGCCGATAAAGGGTACGTACACCCCCAACCCTCACCCTCAACCCACCTACAAACCTAACGCATTCACCCTAGGGGCTTTGGCATACTATCTCCGCCGCTGTCTCCACGACTGGCCCAACGAACCCGAAGCGCAGCAAATCCTATCTAACATAGCTGCAGCCATGGACCGAGAAAAATCCCGTGTACTGATCGCTGAATGTATTGTCCCGGAAGTAGGAGCAAAGATGTTTCATGCGTGGATGGATCAGGGTGTGATGATGATTGGGGGTCGCGAACGCACGGAGAAGGATTGGGCCCATTTGTTGGATATTTCGGGCTTGAGGTTGGTGAAGGTGTGGCGGACGCCGGAGATGCCGGTTGGGGTGGTTGAGGCTAGGTTGAAGTGAGTATGAGTTAGTCAACATATATCTGGTTTAGATTGGCTAGGAGTCAAATATTCTGCTTATGAGGAGGCTGGCATGTTGTCCAACGTCAGATCGGTAGGAGGGTCGGGATATTTTCATACGTCAGAGGCTGACAATCCTTTTAATGTGGTCAAGGCGCGCGGGCATTTGATTCATGAAGAAACCCAATCCTTCGCCTGGGGGCCGTTGGCTCATCCAGGTAGTATGTTTATCCGGTATCATTTTCGTAAAGTAAGCAATCGATTTGCTGACAGTGTATTTTTATGCTGTGTAGTACAAAGCTTTGTGTTTCATGGCGTGCCAATCCCCGATCATACCCAGATGAAACGTCTATATCTATGGTACAAATAGAACCCATCTCTGTATATCTGCGGGCAAGGTCTATTCAGCGATCCCTATGCTACCCTCAAGAGCTGGCCGTAGCAGTCGCAGTCGCTTCACACGCATATGTAGCAACAAGCGTAGATGTGATCGCATAAGTAGTAGACGCAGGGGTCGGGTTCACAACCTGGAACCAGTTCGCTGCCACGGGGGTACCCAGGCCAGTCACTTCCTCGAATTCATCAAGGTCAAACCCGAGGCGTGCGGCATCAGTTGCAGGCAGCAAGCTCTCGAGACAGACGGGAAGGGAGTAGTCCTCTGGCTGGCTGTACAGCAGCAGAATATAATCGTGCGCGGGTCCTTCCAGCGGTGTCGGGTAGACATATTCTGCGCTTGGGGCAGACGTGTTGCTGATCTCAAGGACACCGGAGGAGTAGGCCAGGTATGGTTGGTACCAGTGCAGGGCAGTCGTCAAGACACCGTCTTCGTTGATGGTTGGATCAATCATGATGATGGTGTACTGGCCATCCGTCGAGGTAGTATCCTCTAAGTACAGGGTAGGAGCATCAGTGGTCCCTAAGAGAGGGATGTAAGTACGGGTTCCGAGGTGCGTGAAGGAAGAGCATGTTGGCTTACAGTTCTGGCTGATCAAAGTCCCAGCTGTGAGAGTGAGTTGGCTTCCATCAGCCGAGAAAATGACGCCTACATCCGCTTCGACAGACGGAGTGAACGATGAAGGGGTCGACGCAGCCGTGAGGCCGATGGCAAGAAAGGAGGAAGTCAAAATCGAAAGGAACTGCATGGTTATGGCTCAATGATCTCCTGTAAGAAAGAGATAGATGCTGTTGCTGCTTGTTGCTCAATCTCTGGTCATTCTACTTGTTCTTATACTCATTTTCTGAGTGCTTGCTTCACTGCCGGAATGCTCGGCTCTGGAAAGATACATCATCATCATGGTAGCCATATATCTCCGTAGTAGTCAACCTTATTCCCCATAATATTGATTTGCAGGAATGTTGGATGGCTTAGACAAGGCATGGCCCGAAGCTTGTAGATGAGGATCTCGTATTTAGCCGCACTGTCAAAGCATTCAGAGGATCTAGTGTGGTGGCGGCTGTGATATAGCGGGCATCATTTACGCATGATGGCAATTCTATACCGACAGGTATTATCAACAGAACCAACAAGTAGTCGAATAAACCTATTGTATAGATGTTGCAGGGTCAATGGATGAGACGAAATGTTGGGCGTGGGATCTGATCCAGGAACACCACGTGGACCCGATCCTTCCGACATTCGCGTGGCAGACTGACTTCAGCGGGTCAGATTCCGTATTCGATAAGACACTGCCTCTCCAAAATTGCCCTTGTGGAGTCACTTTAATTGTTGTTGGGCTAGCGCTTACGATGTGAGTAAGTCTGGTGCCTGCAGTGGTCTTCATTCCTCGCTTTTCCGGACGGAAGGTTCGACCATTTCATACACCAGCCTATTCGTACCGCTCAGGACCTGAGACACGGCATCAACCCTCGTTATTACCGTGCTTGGCGAGGTCGTAGAAATTCGCATATGTGGAAAGTACATGCTTTCAATATATTGACCGCAAAAATCCCGACATTTTCCCGATTCCTGCAATGCGCGGGAACACCAAATCCATTAGCGTGAGGATCTCATATTGAGGGAGTCGTAATCCTTGAACAAGCATTCATACTGCAAGATCTCACAAGCCAAGGATCTTCGTCAGAATATAGCGCGTATCCCCGTACACTAGACTCGGGGGAATTGGGATGAGAGGCTGCAGTTCTGGCATCCTCCGGAAGTGTTCTATATCCAATGACGCGAAGGATCGAATCACTCGCCATCGCATAAGCCGCCACACCCAGTCACTGAAGATAGGTGAATCATGGCTTGCAGCTGAGACAAGGCCGAGACCTACCTGTTTCTTTGTGGGCGTTAACCTTGAGATATGAGACACATCAGGCTATTTCGAAATAATCAAGCATGGATACCGGGTCTATTTCCTGGTTCGGGACTCGAGATCCATGGGACTTTCAGCTTGTATCACATTGCATGATGATTTTGTGCTACCTTGTGCTTCTATGGTGGGGCTCCTCGAGAGGACCTGAAGCAAAGGATTCATCTAGAGCGCACATGGAGGGCCAATCGTTGCTTGAGGCACTATCATTCAGTTGGTCAACAGTGGCATGATAAATGCAACCTGACCTGTGGGTCTAGATGGCCTATGTCTCATACCTCAGAGGAACAGGACTGTTAGCCATTGTAATACAGCATATTGATTTTCAAGCCCGGCATGATCTAGACAACCAGTAAATCAAGACGTCATTGTTGTAAGTAAAGGCGCAAGAAGAACCCTGTATTGCATATACTATGGCTAGTGATACAGGTCAGAGACCTCTATAGATCACCAAGTCCCAGCCCGGAGAGCGCTGAGCGCTCCGCGCATGCAGCAAACATACCATGACTACCGGTAGCCAGCGCGGCCTTCCCGGTACCACTTTAGGAAGGACCAGCAGAATGCAATGCAGCATCCGGAGACTACCGCCCGGACCTTCATCCTGGTGTGTGTTCTCCGTGCAGCTATCCGAGGATGTCGTCCCATCCATCCCCTGTTTCCAGAAAAGGGAGGTATGTCTAGCATAACGGCATCAATTATCAGTTCAATTTACCCTCCTTCCATATCCAAGCAGCCAACGAGACAGCCCCTCACGCCTTGCCGCCGGACTTGAGGATCTGCTCCAAATTCTCCCGGCTGTTCTTATTTGTCATCTCAAGGTAATGAAGCTTCTTCTCCAAGCCCGTAATCTCCGATTTCAGATCGCCGCTCTCGCTTGACAGACGCTTATCGATCGTGTTCAAGGGAACTCCCACGAACCTGTAGGAATAGTACTTGTTAGCATGGCTTTGTGATTGTGTCGCCTCCGTAGAACTCCAACAGGGTAGCATAACAGCTTGTCGGGTGAACGCACATCTTTCCTACCCCCTCATACACTCTTGTATCCTTGGGCAGAGTGCTGATCTCCTTCGACGTGAGTTCCAACATGCGGATGTCTCGCTGCTTGGTTGTGATCTGCGCCTTGGTGATCCCGATCTGTTGCTGGGAGCTGATAGCCTGGGCTTCGATTTCTCGCAGAAGCTACACGTTTAGAAAAGTGTGAGTGACGGAACACTGATAGGCTAAGTGGGGGAAGTCACCTTCTGCAGAGCTTCGTTCGGAATAGACATCTTGGGCAAGGAGAGGGGAGTCCCGCTTTGGTATTGAGGGGTAATCTGGGGTTGATGGGTTTCGCGTTCTCGGAGTTAAAGTATGCGCGTATATGGGGAATCCCAATTATGGTGACTCGGCTATCAGTTAAGATGCTGAGTGAATTGGGTATCGGAATGATTGAAAAGGTTGTTTGTTGGTAATGGTACCAATCGAGCTCAACGATGAACTCATCTCATCGGCCGTCTGCTGTTATTGGCTCCGAGGCCCGGGCGGTAGAGGTTTCCGGATTCGGACATGGAAATAGGGCTTAGGGTTCCGTGGCAGAACAACTACTAAGGACAACGACTGTGCAAGATCGATCATAGGTGGCAATTAAATGGACAGAATATATTGGAAGCTGCTAGTACATCATAGAAGCACGCATTTTGTTATACTCCGCCTGGGTGATTGGCTTATACTTGGCCGGGTTTCCCTCACTCATGCATGACGGAATGCATTCGATGACCATATCCGGGTCGGGAGACATGAAGTAAGGGATCGAATATCGTTCACGTGTCATCCGATGCGGCCCTTCAAACCGATCAGAGAGCTGCGGTAGTCTGACACGGTGGTTAGTAGACCGAAGGCGATCTGTACAATCGGTTAGATATCCCGTCGCCAGACCTGCTAATGAGTCGCAGGACAAAGGTAAGACCAACCATTGCTCCACCTTTGTAGTAAGTCTCCAACATTTAAAACGATGGAGTTCTTCAAAGGAGCAGAGGGGACAAATATGCCCGGTCGAGAAACGTCCTCCACTTCCAGGCCACCACAATCATCCTGGAAGAGCATTGTTATGGAACTCCAATCTGTATGAGCCGGACATCGGGCTGTTCGTTCTTTTTCGAGATCTTCGGCTGGAACAGGCAGATAATGCAGCAGCCGCAGCTGGTTGTTGTAGCCCGAGTGCCTCTTCGTTAGGTAGCATTCGTCTTCCAGATCGAGCCCGGTAGCCAGAGCACGTAAAATTTCGCTTCCAACCTTATTACACTCCCAGTAAAATCGGACCATGAAGGCCTGGAACCCAGGAAGTGTTTCTTTGGGTATCCACTGGTTGGGCTGGGCGGCATTTTCTTCACTGCCGATATCATAGATTTCCTGTGCTCCGCGTCAATCCGAATCTCAAAGATTGGATGGTGATCTGGTCTGCCGGCATATTTCTTTGTATCAGCCCACTGGGATAATGAAAAGTTTAACAAACCTTGACATCAGGGACCTCTCTCAGCTTTTTTCGGGCCTCATCATCATTCCCGCTGCTCATAGTCTGAGAGACCTTTTCCAACCCAGGCCATGAGTAACCTCGATGCACAGCCCAGCCTTCTGGATGGGGAGCCTGCATCTTCTCTTCATCCGAGAGTTCGAAAAAGCGTCTCATCCAGTCAAACGCTGCATTGAGGATGGTTTCAGACAGAGAGTGATTCACGATACAGACAAATCCGACTTCTCGGCAGGCCTCAACGAGTTCATGTGCGACCCGTTGACGAGAGGATTCATCCTGAGTGTTGTACCACGATGAAAAGTCCACGACGGGAATCTTCATCTGAGCGGAGTCATCGATAGAAGGCATACTGGCTCATTTAGCGGTGTCGTACTCCGTATAGCCTTAGGCTCGTCAGGTCAAAAGTAGGCGTGACAACAAAAGGTTGTATTAACACCGTCACAGTGCTGTTGGAAGATGAAAGGTTAATGCATCAGCTGCATCGGTGCTTCGTCACTAAGGTGCCTAAGGTTTCCAGTCACATGCTTTACGATCCTCAAAGTGCGTGGAGAAACCCGACTGGGTGTCAGCATCTGAAAGAATGCCGTGTTGGTGTAACCAGGACATTGAGAATGTCCGAGTCTATCTGATAATCAAGAGACTTAAGGTAAGCTCATCCACATGGCGTGAATTGACTTCGACGTGGATAGTGACATCATCTGTTAGCAGACCCTGATCGGAGTCTGGAGCAGAATTTATCCACTCGACGATAGCGATCAGGGACACCGGCGGAACCCCGGGCGATTCCCTGGCCCGGATGCTGATTTTCAACCAATGCGGCGGGCCAAAAATAGGTGAACACTGAACAAGAACCGCCTCGCACGGGCGGCTGGTTATTGAGGGGCCACTGGGGACGCTCCGTTGCTGTGGCAGGGGATCGGTGGACCCGGCGCTGCCTGAACAACCTAAAGATGCAGCGTCCATCACCCACTCCGCCCGGTGTCCGAACCGGCTTGCTCCAGAGAAGCAAACTCGGAGAGAATCAAGACCAAGAAGAGGGGAATTGAGCGACACGTATGTGAGCTATCAGCCGCCCACTGTCCCGTTCGTTGAGCTCCTTGCGAGCTAGCTACTCTGAGCGATCCCTACTGACATCTACATCTCTACCGCTTTTAGTAATCTGTTGATCGCCATCCTCGAGTCGTTGCAGAATACTACCCAGCCTTCGACATCTTGCAATCGGACTGGTCGCAAAGCCACAACTGCGACCATTTTTTTCAGAATCATCCCAACATACGGAGTATACCTTCTGCTATCCTGTCCCATCCCATTCGGCGGGCGTGCTATAGCCCTAGCCCTGACAATGAAGCTTTCCGGGTGGATCTCGGCCACATTCTTCGCCTCTATTGTGTTATCGATAGAGACGACGCCGGCTCCATCAATCGACACCGTGTCATTTTATCCTCCACGCAATGCAGACGCGACCCGGCGGGCCTTTGAAGTGCTACAATTGTTGAGGAAGCGGAGCGATAACTGTCCTTCTGGCTATGACCCTTGCTCGAACCTCGGCCACTCAAACATTTGCTGTTCCGATGGTACAACGTGCACTCGTGACGCCGCTGAGAACATTGCTTGCTGTCCGACCGGAGCGAGCTGTACCGGCACACTCTCTGAGACTGGAGCCGTAGTTGGAGGTTCAACCAGCAGCTTCCGATTTCCTCAAACGGCAACAGCAACTCAAACTACAGATGGGACGAGTGTCACCCTCACGGGTACTACAATTGCCGGAGCGTACCCTTTTGTCGACATACCGACAACATTTGCGAACGCCCGCGTTTGCTCTTCATACTATTCTTTGTGCCAGAGCGAATATACAGGCTGCCTTTCGGAGCTTGGAGGAGGCTACGCGGTGACCGTAGCTGCAGAAGGTGGAGGCGTCACCCGCGCCGGTGGAGGGGCTGCGGCAGCTATATCAACATGCTCTAGTCTGAGCATGGATGCCTGCCACGGTCTCAGCATAGGATACTGCAGCAGCTACAACACCGACGTATACGCGAACCGGGGAACGACCCCAAAGCGGAGCTCCAGCCTCGAGGATATCTTCTTCGGTATGTTCATCGGACTGGCCGGGATGTTTCTGTAAAGCCACGGCGAAGTTCGATTTTTATGTGAATATGTATGTATGAGATATGGACATACGCTTGCTGGTATATGACCTGGGCCCTTTGAGGTTAACAATGGTCGCTGCAACTACCTCAGACGATCTACTGGTTTTGTTTCGGAGGCTTGTGCCCATGACCCTAGATGAAAATGACGGACTTACGAACTGATTGATTGATGATGTGCGATGGTGAGAGTCCATGGGATCTACGAATCTGGTACTCTTCTGGCGTTCTGTATATAGCAATAGCAGATAGGATAGCAACTATGAAACAAACTAAACAAGTGGCGCCCCTCGTCGAGCCATTGCAATCGCAACCTGCTTTGCATTGATTCATAGATATGCAGGCACGGACCTGGTGCCCGGGCCACACCGCTTCACCACCGCATCATTGTTAGGGCTTATTGTACGTAGGACTCCGTACACGGAGCAGGAACAATTTAAGTGCATCTAGATAATAGGCCAGGCGGACTCCTACATGCATCTGCATATGGAGTCATCCACGCCACACCACGGCCCAAGTATGGATTCACTCCGTTGGGCGACACGTAGGACTCCGCCTAGATACCTGATTCGCACCGACGACGGAGGAACATGCAGCCAGTACCTGACGGACGGAACTCCGTCGAATCAAGGCATGCGTTGGCCAGACCGACTCATCACGGGATAATAATAATCTGGCGGTGGAACCACCAGCACAATAGGCCGAGTCTATCCAGGTTCCGGGCCTTCTATTACGGAGACTATTGGTGCAGAGAGGATGACGCTGTCAGGAACTGAGGGCGGGGAGAGTTGGTGATGGGAGGGGCAGCAACGGCATCATCCTCTGCCACCTCTCTACGATTGGGTCATGGCGGGGCAACAACATGCAAAGACCAAAAAAAGTGGATATCCCAGCCTCCGGAATTTCCTTTTATAATCCATGATCTAAGTTTATCTTCATCGCTGATTCACTCGGCGTTGCAGTGATTGGTGGTTGCCGTCGCAGGAAATGCGGTGGTTGGGAAGTCGACTGGACGGAGGCTGGGATCAAGAAGAGCGGACGGCCTGCTCGGGGGGGATGGCACCTTGCTCGCTCTTCTCCTCGCCCGACCACCCATACTTTTTTCCCCCTCTCTAGATTCATTCTCTCATTTTTTACTCTGCAAGCTAGAGATTTGTGATAGATTCGCGCATTCCATCTATTGCTTGGCTTCCCCCCGGCCCTGTTTCATTCCATACCTCGCTTGTCATACAACGCATACATCGAGTCGGACGTCGGGACAGGACGTCGTCCCTGGCAGCGATCGGAATTCAAATTACTAATTCCAGTCGCATCGTGGCCTGGCCTCGTGGTTGTCAAATATCCAACGTTCTTCCTTCGCCATGCATGCGTCGCGCATACTCCAGTCCACCATATCTATACTGGCCCTACTAAGCCAATTTCAACTCTCAACAGCATCGCCATTGGAATCCGAGGAAAATCTCGATGAGGCGACTCTAGAGAAGCGCTGCTCGAACCCTTGCGGTTACTATAGCCAGCTTTGCTGCAGCTCAAGCCAGACATGCAGCACCAACAGTGACGGCGAAGCCGAGTGTGTCGACAGCGGCAGCTGGGAGTATTTCACCACCACATATGTCGTGACCGAGACTGAGCGTGCCACCTTCACTTCGACATGGAGCTCCTACATTTCGGCGACAGCGACCTCAACTTGCAATGCTGAATATGGAGAGACGGTCTGCGGCAGCGACTGCTGCGGTCCTGCATATGTCTGTTCTGACAATCAATGTATCCTGGGAAGCACATCAATCTGGGCGACTGCGACTGCTACACCACCCGTGCGCGGAACAACACTGTCTACCGCCACGCATACAGCCACAACCACCGAGCCTTTCATCGCTCCCGTAAGTACAAGTGGAACGCCGGTGGTTGTGAAAGACGAGAGCAAAGGACTCAGCGGCGGAGCAATCGCGGGCATTGTTATCGGAACGATTGCTGGTGTATTTCTCCTGCTGCTTCTCTGTGCTTGTATGTGCTGTCGTGGAGCACTGGATTCCATTCTCGCTTGTCTGGGACTCGGGGGTGGTAGGAAGAGGAGAGAGACGACATACGTCGAAGAGCGTCGTCGTCATCATCATTCTTCTTCCGGCGCTAGACCTGAGCAGCGTACTTGGTTTGGCAGTCGACCCGCACCATCGACAGCAGGTGGTGGTAAGCAGAAGAAGTCTGGAATGGGTGCTTTGGCGACCATCGGGATCATCCTGGGTGCACTCGCGCTGTGCCTTGGGTTGAAGAGGCGCAGAGACAATCGGGACGAGGACGAGAAAACCGATTACTCGTACCCGAGCAGCTATTATTACTACTCCTCTGACTACTATACCAACGATGGTGAGTGCTGGTTGCTGCTGCTTACTTAAGTGACGTTACTAATAGCTTTGTAGGAAGCACGGTAGTGACAGAAGATCGACGGACAAGAGATACCAGACGAACCAGAAGATCTCGCACGCGATCACGAAGATCATGATTTGATGAAACCCACCTATGATATAAGATGACTTTCCGAATACGGAATACAACGAGCCCCTGTTATGCTATTTCCCTTTTCTTTCTTTTCTTTTTATATGAGTGTGCATGAAACGGCGTTGATTTGGGGTTATGGTTGACGTGCAGTGTACGATGATGAGATATGTCTTCATGTTCTAATGCCTTTGACGCTTTCTGATTCCCCGTTTTTTTCCTTTTCTTTTACCTCTTGTGTTTGTTTTTCCTAGGCTTTGCCGTTCGCGCCTTTCAATCTTCTTTTCAACCCTCCTAGAACTTCTTGTATGGAGGGAATGGGAAAGGAAGCGAGATGTAAATATGAGACTGGACATAAACTGACTATGAATGATGTTGCACATACTAAAAGTGTTAAAACGGGAAGTTGGTAGCAAACCCAGGATCTTTTATCCCTTGTTAGGAGACGAGGAGGGAGCATATCGGACTAGAGACATAAAGAGCCGAGAAGAGAGACCTCCGGCTACACGGCCAGAACTGCAGGTACAGCCCCGAGCACGTCCCTCTAGAGCCGGCACCAGGGAAAATTACATGCATTTTCGGTTCAAATCCCAGACTTCCTAGCTCTCAAGACCCAGTGCCCGTGCATCCCTGGAGTGAGAGCCGATTCTTGATAATCATGCACCTGCCGGAGTAACTCGTGCGCTTTCCAGGTTACTGCAGCTGCAAGGCGGCCATCAACGGTCAGCATGCCAACTCAAGACAAGTGTGGGAGGATATGGCCTCATTCACACAACAGTATCCGTTAATCTGGCAGTAAGGTAATCTGAACGAAGAGATAGTGAGTTGATCCCTGTCGCCGACCAACGGGATCGGTTATTGGAGACGGGTTGAGGCCAGGGTCCAGAGGGAAGCTCGGCACCTCCCAAGTCCCAAGTCCCAAACGGCACAAACTGCCCGGGCGGAACCTGCGACTCCCCGCCTCCCGTAGTCCCAAGTCATCCAATCCATCATTTCACGCTCCGTCTGTCCTTCCAAGCCCGCAGCCAATTCCCCCCCTCCCCATCGACACCCCCTTCCGTCTCCACTATTGTATACAGAATCACATTATCCATGAGGCTGCTCCCGAGTATCCCATTCTGACAATACCTACTCAACATCATCAGTCACTCTGCCCTTGTCCGGCCTTCCCCCGATCGTCCAGGGCTGTCAAGTCTTCCCTCCTGAGGATTACGAGTCCCGTTGAGCTCTGATTCTTCGCCGGCCCGCCATGCTCCAAACGCAGACTCAGCACGTTTTCTCTCACCAGCATCAGTATCCGCAGGCTGATCCGTCCTGGTTGCAGCAACAGCAGCACCACCAAAGCCACCCGCACCAGGCTCAGCAACAGCATTCTTCGTTGGTCGCCCAACAGCATGCCCAAGTTCAGGCGGCTGCAGCCGCAGCCGCAGCCGCTCAACAACAACATTATACCCGTATCGCTATGGCTGGAAACGCTGGTGCCGGTAATCCCGCTCAAGGAGCCGGTGCAGGGGGCATGGGCGGAGACGGCGCTTTGCCCGGTGCGGTGTCAGTGATGGACGGTGGCATCAGTGATGAGAATCGCAAGGTTTTCATCTGGGTCGCGGAACTCCTCGATCCGAATCGCAGAGAAGCAGCTCTTATGGAGCTCAGCAAGAAGAGAGAGCAAGTCCCGGAACTTGCGCTGGTTATTTGGCATTCTTTCGGTATGGGCTTCCCTTTGATCGGCTTTGGGGTGGTGGCAACTAACGGGACGGGTACAAGGCGTCATGACCGCTTTACTCCAGGAAATTATCTCAGTATACCCTTTGTTGAACCCTTCGCAATTGACTGCGGCTGCATCAAACCGGGTTTGCAATGCGCTCGCTCTGTTGCAGTGTGTTGCTTCCCACAATGAAACTCGCACCTTATTTCTAAACGGTACGCAGCAAGCCCCTCAGACCACCTTATCCCTGAATTCCAAACTAACGACACCCATCTGAACAGCTCATATTCCTCTTTTCCTCTATCCATTTCTTAATACGACATCAAAGTCGCGGCCTTTCGAATATCTCCGTCTCACCTCCCTCGGTGTGATCGGAGCGCTGGTCAAGAACGACTCATCCGATGTCATTAACTTCCTCCTCACCACAGAGATCATCCCGCTTTGCCTTCGCATTATGGAGACCGGCTCCGAGTTGAGCAAGACTGTCGCGATCTTCATCGTACAAAAGATTCTCCTCGATGACATCGGCCTCGCATACATTTGCGCGACCTACGAGAGATTCTATGCTGTTGGGACGGTGTTGAGTAACATGGTTACTCAACTTGTGGAGCAACAGACTGTGCGATTGCTCAAGCATGTTGTGCGCTGCTTCCTTCGGTAAGTCATACCTCAACACTCCCTGCACCCCGCGATTATACTCTGCCTCTATGTCAAGTGCTGACTTCCGTAGCCTGAGTGATAACAGCAGGGCGCGAGAGGCGTTGCGCCAGTGCCTCCCCGAACCTTTACGTGATGCGACATTCTCCTCGGTACTCCGCGATGATGCCGCCACGAAACGCTGCCTTGCGCAGCTTCTCATCAACCTTTCGGACAACGTCTCCGACGGCGCACCCGGTGTTGCGATGTAAAAAGTTCAAAAGCATTTGTTTTCGTTTTGGTTTACTTGGTATATTTGACAACCTTACGACATGCATCGGGCGGGCTTAGGCGAAACACGGATCACAAGGCGCAAACTGTGTGGAATGGCAATGCAATGATGAGATCTAAGAAAAGTTGCAAAAACAACAAAAGAGAGAAAAGAGTGAAGACATGGGCGGTATGGGAGCACTGGGCTTGGGGGTTTCTGTGTCTTATTATGTTTCAAAAGGTTTTGCTGTTTTGCTGCTCATTTTATTCTTCCCTGTCCCTGGCTTACTGTGGCTTTCTCGATTTCCCCACTTCCTGTTTCTGTCGAACACTTCATTCCCATTTCGGTCATAATGGTATGGCTGTGCGGTGGCGTGGATTCGGATGGCGCTATCTGTCTATGTGCATTTTGCTTGTCCTCTATGAACCCCATTCCCCATCCTCCATCTGAGTGAGATAGACCCTCTTTGAGCGAGATACCAAGATCTAGTTTTATGTTTCGTTGGTTGGTGCTGGTTCTGTTGCTTGAGATGCATTTGCCTGACTTGACTACATACGGATGTGAGCAATTCTTATGATAGTCTGTTTATTCTTGACTCGACCAATCTGACCTATTGATAATCCGACTTTGAACCGGAGTGCCAACTCCTGTAGTGTGCCACGGTACCCTGTAGAAGGAGAGACCTCGGACCGCATCGAGTGAGAGGCTTATCGGCACGGGATCGACCAATCGGCGGGTGGAGGTCACCTGACCGGGGTCTCGACGCGCCGCCCGGCGATTCTGTGAGCTCATCTCTTCTGCCCAGCCCGACACGCCCGCCCTGGCGAACGATTTCCTGTCTTCACGCCGCTGTCGATCACGCCCATATCCACTCGTTGCGCCGTTTAGCTGAGACCGCTACGTGCAGTCTCCTTCTTGCATATACGCTCCGATAATTCTTTCTAGCCCACCCGCCCATCTCAGCCGCAGATCCGCCGCCCCGTTGGAATTTCGTCCTGCGCTGCGGCGCCTTTAATGGTCCATATCCGCCTCGATGGTATCGCGAAAGCGCACCCGCTCCGAGGTGGACGCTGCCCCGGAGCAGCCACCTGAGGAGCCGGGCTTACTTCAACAGCTTCGGAACTGCTGGGAGTTTGCGAGTCTGATGCAATACATTGCCATATTTGGTAAACTCATGAAGATTGACGAGGATTTTGGGATTGAGGTGAGCAGGAACAAATGAATACCCTTCTTCCCCCTGCCTTGAGCGCGGCCAATGAATGCTAATCAATTACCTTGATGTGCCGATTATAGGATTTGGAAACTGAGTGTCTTAAGCCTACCCCTTCGGAGAAACTGCTGGAGATCGGACTCTGTCTTTTGAAATGGGTCTCGTCGCATCGGGGCCTTACGTATGTGGCCGCTGCTCTGGCCATATCTGAGGTTATGCTAATAGAATACGTATGCCTTTAGTTTCGACAACTTTGATGAATATACGCGACGCCAGTACAATGCCAAAGCACCGCATATTCCCAACCCTTTCGGGTATGAGGAAGTTCCGAACAGATTCCTCGATTTTGATGTCTTCCTGAAATTGCGCGTCTTGCACCAGCTATCCATTTGGACATTCTGGAATCTCGATCGCATTCGCGAAAAGATGCCGGAGCAGAGGGAGTTGGATCAAACGCAGTGGGTGGGTTTATCTGACATACACTAGGCCCCTGGAATATTTGCTGACTATTTACAAGCGCATTGAGGAAGTAGGTTACGATCGCGAAGGTCGCTACTACTATATCCTCGACGACAATAGACTCTATCGTCGCACCGACCCCCCTATTCCCCCTCCAAAACCGGCTAAGTCGAAGTCGAGAAGAAAAAGCGCTCGCGCCATGAGAGCATCGAAACGGAGAAAGGTTACAGGAGCAGATCCTATCGAAGAGTCTGATGGAGAGAACAATGTTAACGGCGATGCCACAGAGGACCCTTTCGAAGCGATGACGTGGGAATGTATTGCTGTCACACTTGAGGATTACCAGCAGTTCCTGGAGTCGATTCGGAAGACTAGGGATCCTGATGAGAAGATTCTGAGAGATAGGATTGACGAACAAGTCATGCCTATTATTGAGAAGGAAGAGGAAGCCCAGCAGCGGCAGAAACAGAAGCGCGAGAAAGAGCTTCTTAACATGCAGCTGCTGGCTGGCGCTAAACGATCTAGTCGCCTCGCTGGAAAAGCTGAGAAAGAGCGCCAGGAACGTGAGGCCGCTGAAGCAACCCGTAAGCGCGAGACAGAACTGGCTGCAGCTCTGAAGGAGGACGAAAGGGTGAAGAAGCTTGAGACAGAAAGACGCTCGCGCATCATGACCCGGGAACAACGTATCAAAGACCGCGAGAGGAAGCGGATACTGCATGAAAACGAGCTTCAGCGCATCCAAGAAGAGCAGGAGAAGGTTGCCAGGGGTGAAAGCAGAGCTTCCGAGAGGCATCTTCAAGCGGAGATGGAGAGATACCGCAAGAACTTGGAAGACCTCTCGCAAGAGGACCAATGGATCTTCGACTGCTCCGGCTGTGGTGTGCATGGGCAAAACCTGGTAAGCTTGAGCCTACTTCCGCGTGTTTCCGACAGGTGTGCTGACCTTGAATAGGACGATGGTTCCCACAGTGTTGCATGCGAGAACTGCAATGTGTGGCAACACAGCAAATGCCTCGGAATCCGCAAGGACGAGGCAGAAAGAGAGGACTTTCATTTTGTTTGCGAAGACTGCAAACGGCGTGAGGAGGAAGCCAAAATGCCCAAAATCCCGCCGTTGAAATTCCGCGTCGGCTCAACGTCGCCATCCTCGACGGCTGTCGAGGGAGACGCGAAGATCAAAAGTCCAGACGTGGAACAATCTCCTACACCACCCATCAAAGAACCTCAGCACGCCTTCCAGTTGCCGTCCATCGGGTCTCCGCACAAGCCATCACTCCCCCCCGCCTCCTCCCAAAACCCCTCTCAAGTTGTTTCTTTCCCTCCTCCATCACCCGAGCGCCGGCCACAGTCTGCACACACGACGTCATTCAGCCCTCCTCGAGCTCCATTTTCTCCGTCAAAGGGCGCAAATGGCTTCACCCCGTCGTCCAAGGAGCAGATACCGAAGCTCCCTTCCATCCATCAAGCAATGCATCTACCGCCTCACGGTGGCGACTCCTTCAATGGCTCCTTTCCTGCGCGACGACCGTCGTCCTCACACTCTGTGCGGAGTCCAACTTTGCCCTCTCCTATCCAGAACCGTCCTTCCATGTCTCCAACTCAGGGCAATCGAGACGTTGGCCCGCTTGCAGGGTTTCCGCCTGTAGCTTCGTCAGATCACCCCGCCCCATGGACGCCGTACGGTCAACATCAAACCCCACGTCCAAACACGGGCAATCACGCTTCCTTCTCTTTACCCAATGGGCGTCCGTCATTGATGGCTACCCCAACTACTAGTCGGTCCTCGCCTCCACATAGTTCCCACGGTATACCATTTTCCGGAATCAGTCCGACCAAGCAATCCCCCCGACCTATGACTTCCGGCAGTGTCACAGGTGCTCCTGTTCTTCCTCCGATTCAAAAGCTCGAGCCGAGTCCTAAATTGATGGGCCGAAGCTCACCGGACGCGCCGATTCCGCCGCCGGTGAAATGTATGACGCCTGAGCAAGAAGAGCGCAGACAGAGAGAGAACGCCATGCTGCAGGCCCAATTGCATGGGACTAACGGTCAGTCATCGGTGATGTCGTCACCATCTCTCAACCGTATACCACCTTTAGGGCCGTCTGCGGTTGCTCAACAACCTGCTCCGTCCCCTCCGGCCGGTCCGAAATGAGGTCTACCTGATGCTTTCATAAATAAGTGGCCGGGGCTCGATTAGCTATTGATTATACCCCTCGTTCGATATTGAACCAGTCCGTCTTTCGACAATCTCCTTGGATTGATTACCGATCGCTATTCACCATGGGCCTATTCATTGGGTCTGGGTCTGGTGACTCTCCAGCACAGTAAGCTTGGTCAGCTTGGCAACACCAAGCCATGTGGACAAGCCTCATGCTTCCGTTTTCTTTCCTTTGTCTCCCGTAGTCCACGAGGCTGGACAGCCAGCTGCCGATCGCTGGGATATTTTATTACTCTATTTCTTCGGAATTACCGCTGCATGCATTATCTACCAACGTGCGCTTGTCAAGCTAGTGCGCCAGTCAATATTCTATGAGGAGCTTTTTGATCTTGCTCACATTGTGCTAACATTCTTGCATGGTTGGGACGGCTGGTCGATGTTTCTGTGTCTTACTTGATATACTGAAGGGTGGCGTTGCAGGTAGTGAGCTATAGAGGGATGCGATGGATATGGACGTGAAGTAGACATGGCTAGATGTAATAAAAGTGGATGATTACATTTGCAGGCCTCTCCTGTTGATAACAAAATCAAGTACACCTTGAAACGCAGATGTACAATCTATGATGCATTGACACAACCCATCACCGCCCGACAGATAAATATATAATGATCTGACCCTTTGCAAATCTGGCCGATTGACAAATACTCTGCCGGAAAACTACCCAGATGCCTGCACACACCTACATATAAACATGCACACCCATTGCATCAGCAAACAAATTTATTTCAGCCCCAAACCGCACCATGTCCATGCAGACACTCAGCCGCACGAACCCTGTAAAGCCGACCAGAAGGCAGATATAGTCCAGGAGGACTTATCAGCCCCATGTCTCACTTATCTCCGCGCATACATATCATATCTACTCAGATCTGTCACCTGTCATTTCGATCCCGACCGATGTGCAGCTTGGCGCGTCGCACTGCATGCACGATAGATTGCCTCTGGGCGTGTTCAATATCCGACTACATTATATATCCAGCTGCAGATGTGACAAGCAACCCGAGTGTGATTAGCATGTCAGACCGCTTCAGGACCTGGAGAGTCAGTTGGGCTGTCAACGGATTTGTTCGGTTGGATGTCTACCCTACCTATAAAACAAACAATATTGACTGACTGACTCGTTTGCTACTAGAAGACCATGCATATATCCCATCTACTAACGAACTGATTGATTGCTTGCTTGATTGATCGATTCATGTCCCATGAGGCCATGTGTGCTGACAACCCAGCATCTGGGGATTGGGGAGTGAGACAAACACCCACCCTCGACTGACACATACAAGGATATTGTTGATTACAATGGGTACTTTGTCAGCCTGATCTTCCCTGCCTTAGTTAGTACGCTGACACCAATACCAGCACCAACTCCCTAGTAATTAGCCCCCTTCCTTCCAGTTCCCTTGGGCTAGTAAGTACGGAAGTACTCCGTCCTCGAATCTCTCTCCAACCCACCTCCTAAATCTTAGCAACGCTCACTACTCGCAACTAGTGAATCAATACGGAATCCGTTGAAGTGAACCGAGTCTCGACCCCGGCGGAATGAACCGAACAAACCAGCCTAGCCTAGCCTAGCCTCCTTTTTTTTTTTTCTTTTCGGGGCACTGCGGGCGTGGAATTGATTGATCGATGAATTAATAAAAATAAGCCCATCACATCAACTGCCCCGTTTTGTCGAGGGGGTTAATTCCGTCCGGAGATGACAACTGTTTGCCCCGACTCCGACCGGATCCGGGTCCGTGTCCGGTGGGGGGGGGGGGGGGGAGGATTCGCGAACGCACGGTCTAGACGGTCCTCTCCTCCGTATCCTCCTCCGTGCGGTTGACACTAGTTTGATGGTACCGTGGGTGGGATGGAGCCGCAGCTATACTACTCATCGTCTCTGGCTGCAGCAGGTTGGTAGGCAGGCAGACACAAAATGATTGATCGACACAGGCATGAAGCAGATAGGTACGGTACGTAGGGAGGTATGTAGCGTGGCGACTAGGTCTAAGCCTTGGTCTAAGTCTGGAGCCTCAAGAAATCGCTCATGCCGCATATCGTTCCACGCTCAGGCACTATCCCTCATGTACGTACTCGGGACATGGCACCATCAAGCATAGAATACACAAAATCCCTATAAATACAAACACGCATACACACATATACACATACACATCTAGCAGAATTAGAATAATACCAACCTCAACCCCAAAAATAACAACCGAAATAAATATCCCCTACCCCAGTGTCCTCAAAACCGAACTACCTAGAGAGTAGAGAGTAGATACATAACACTAAGTATACCAAGCACAACGCTACATATCAACCCCCGACCCCGACCCCGACCCCAAATCCATCACTAGTCCAACGACCGACCACCAAGTGTGATCGATCGCACCTGCATGGAAGGGAAGGGAAGGGATGGGATGGGGCCCGGGGGGCACCGGGCACTCTTCTGATACCAAACACTGGAACCCCGATGAGTTCCGTCCACTCAAGGCCCGTTGTCGGATGCGAGCGAAACCATATTTAGGATTTGGCGCGCACAACCCCGGCCTACCACTACCACCAGTACCACTGCCACTAGATAGATACCAGTGCGCCCGGCTGTGTACTACGGAGTACCTAGGGTACTTAGGTAAGACTCCACTAAACCGTCCGGGTGATCGTCTGGTGTTGTGTTGATACTGATGATACTATGTACACTGTACTCCGTACTGTAGATAGTACTTCTTACGTATGTCGGTATATACGGGATATCTCGCTATATGGTAATATATGCGACCTAGGATAGATTTACGAAAGTACCCATACTAACCATCTATTCCCACAAACAAATACATAGGTACATACACTTGGAGATAGGTAATCAACTCTCGGAAAAATAATACATAATAAAATTCTAGAACAAGGTTAGAGGTTATATCATGTTAGGTTAAGTTAGCCCCTCGGTACAGAGTACAGAGTACAGTAGGTTAAGTTCGGCCCTTGGCTTGTCTGTCTGTTGACAGAACACTGATGAAGTTGGTTGCGGTGATTGACATAGACATAGGAGTGAGTCTGTTACAAAGCGGAATGGTTTGTAAGCGGTGGCTCGGTATCTCGGCTGGTATCCGTACGGTACCTTGAATGTACTTTTTGGCGGGGATTTGGTTGGGGAAGGTACCTACCTACCTGGGTTCTTGACTTTTTACCTATCCCAGGGGGGTAGTCGGAGGGGGCAAAGGGGGACGGGGGATGTTTGGGTCGGGCGCCCGCGTTGTTGCACACATGTGTTTTGGGTATCCGTGGTTGGCTTGGTTTGGATGTGTAGGTTCAAGGTCGATCTCGGGGGGTGTGTGTGTGTGTTCATGTGGTGGTGGTATACCTTATCTTGCATTTGCATTTGCATTGCATTCTTGGTCTCGTGTTGTTTTGGTTTTTGTTGGTTTCCTTGGGGTGGTTTCTTGGTGTGGTAGATGGTGTCTCACCGACTCGACTTGACGATGGATGTGATGGAATTTGGATTATGTGTAAGGCTGAACTGCGTCTGGTGTTAGTTTCTTAGTTACTGTTTGTTGGTGGTGGTGGTGGTGGTGGTGGTGGTGGTGGTGGTGGTGGTGGTGTTGGATGAATTTGAGTATGTTGCCTGACAAGGCTGGCTTATGCGCATCGCGGCGCAGCGGCACAGCGCTTAGCGGGCTCATTGGACGGGAACATGTATGACTACGGGTGTGTCTCAGATGGTGCGTTATGAGGTTGTGTGCGGCTGTCGGGTGTACGCCCTAGTGCAAGAGTAAAGATGTTGGTGTTTTGATTGGTATCAAATACTAAATTCCTTGGCTGTCTGGTTTGATTGGATTCATTGATATGTCTCTCCTGTGTCGTCTGCTACGCCGTAGTAGGTAGGTGGGAAGAGAGCTGGGTGATTTCGGATCTACTGGCGGTAGAGTCCCTATGCTGGACTGCGTACTCCGTAGTGTTATCTTAATTCGATGCTAAGTCTGTAGAGACGGCCCCTGATTCATTTAACTAAGTGACAACCTAGTACCTAGGTGTAGCCTCATAGCGAGCCTCCACCAGATGTGGATAGCTTGGTTGCTTAGTACCAGGTACCTGCTCCACAAGGCTACGGAGAACTCGGTCCCGTGTACCGGTGACCTACGGGGGTTTATGCCAGTTGGTTGGCCGCGGAGAAGCCCGAAGAGAAGCCCGACGCAGCGCGATACTGCAGTAAACGAAGAAGCCAATGGTAGGTCGATTTGGTGTGATTGATTCATCACTGCGTAGAATCCTTTTTTCAAGACTTGCACGATGTGCTGGTGGTGGTCGATAACCAGGGCAGATCCGCCTCCCAGGGGCTTGCCCGGCTGTCCCCACTGGTGGTTGCGCGGAGGCTAAGCTACCGTAATTTAGCGGGGTGCGGTGGGCCCGTGAGACGACGACGTTGTTACTACCCAGTACGACCAAGGCAGCACTGATACCACGCTAGGCTGGATGCGTACGGTCTAGACTGGGCCCGAGGTGTCGCGGGACTCGCTAGATGTCTCCAAATCGGTTATGCAATGCACAAGCGGGTGGTCGGGGTAATTCAGCTGCCCTCGAGGATCCCGTCCAAGCCATTTGGCAATCCTCTGTTAGTGTAACCTGAAATCGCTCAGCGAAGGTTGCAGATCCGTCAAATCCTTTGGCTTGTCTGATGATGATGTTCCTTCCTTTGCCTACTCTGGCTTACTGCTTGTTCGTATTGTATCCCCCGTTGGAATATCAACCTTAATTCCTTCGCCTGAATACTTGCATCACCCATTGTGTCATGTCCATTCTAGCGTCATAGCCGCCACTGGCCCATGTTGCAGCGCAACCCAGCATTTGTATCACTTCAGATTTCCTGCAAGATCTAGGTGATGTCAGGTCTCCTGAGGTGTACACCCGGCAAGGAATCCCGTCGTACGAAGTGCACCCGTGTAATTTTACC